TATGCATTGTTCATAAATTAGAAAATAAAAACTTTAGTCGCTATTCTATCTGAGTTGATAGAAATAATGGACATACAATTTATAACAAGTTCAAGTTGGTAGAATTATTGAAAACTTATCTAAGAATTGATGCTGATACGGAATCATCAATAACGATTGCCTGTTTCTAGTTATGATGGTAATTTGTCTTCATCAGGGATGGCAATTTTTTATATTGGTTGCCATCAATCTACTACAGTATTGGGTGCCTTCTTAAATGAAAGGCTAAGACAAAAGTGACTACAATTTGATCGTTTTAATGATTTTCTTAGGTATTATTTTAAGCTCTATCGATAAAAATTGCTTCATGATTATCAAAAACGATGCTGTCTTGAATCTAGTTGTTGCTAACTAGTCCAGAATATAATCTGCGTTGTTTTAGCTAATTATAAGGGTTAGAGTTTAAATCGTTTTCATAGGCCGTTCTAACATACGATAAATATGATCTGCTAGGACAACAAATAGGATTAACGAATCATATTCTAGAACGTGGATAGGATAATCTTATGGCCAATAATTATCTGAGTGTTGATATCAATTAACTAGCAAAAGCCAGCTAACGGATCTTAAAAACCAAAGGAATACTACTATATCAATCGTACGTGGTTGAAAAAATGGATTAAAGCTAGACCAATTTCAACGTAATTGATCGCACTTTTAAAAATACAGTTATGAATACACAAGACGTAATAATAGGAATGATTGAATGTTCCAAAGTTAAATTGACATCATCCAAGAAAAAGTGAAGACAGTTTATTGACTTACGGGTTTGGTTAAAACATTTTCTTCATTCATGATCTTTGATGAGGAAGAAATTAACCCTATTAAAATCCAAATGACATTGAATAAGGGGGCTAACAAGGCAAATTATTGATACCAGATATTTTTACTGCTTCATTAACCACTTTATCAATTTTTTCAACATTTCCTTAACAACTATGGTATTACTTTCACATTAAATATCTTTAATTATGACTTCATTATAGTTGAATATAAATAAAATCAATTTTTTTCTTTCTAGGCTAGTTTAATTTATCCAGAATTTAAAAAAAATTAATCAAGAAATAACCATCAAGTCAACTAGAATGATGAGGACAAGATGATAAGTTATTAAACGTACTGATAGATTTACCTAATCGTTTGCCACTAACTTCAACATTCGAATGATGGCTTTTGTGCTTTGATATGACGACGATAGGGATATGAATAAACTGCTCTAGTATAGGAATGAATTGAAGTAGACCTATATCAATAATAATATCTTGAATATTGAAATTATTGAGGAAAGTATATGAATAGAGTGGAGAACACTATTAATTCATAGAAAGTTGGAACATGCTCCAATTGAATGTTCAATCATTGCTGTCATTATGGTCTTCTTTAGTCTGTCAATGTATTGTTCATGTGGGCCATATTTTATAGATACTACTAAAACATAAGGACTATAACCCTATTTTAATAGACTGATTTAGCGTTAAGCTTAAACGCTATCGCCGTCGATAGACTAGCAGCAATAACGGACATGCTTGTTGTTGTTGTTGTTATTTTTATTGTTTCCATAAGAATAGATTGCATCCATTCTATTTTTGATTATTATTCCTTTTTTTTGGGGAAATGGAAGGGAGAGTACATATTGAATAGTTTACAGAGTAGATTAGAAGAAAAGAATTATTCTATTGGCTTGCTTTCATTTTTGTAAGGTAGGAAAGTCCATTTTTATAATAAGAAATTTTACCTAGAATAGCTTGAATGAGTATACAAATAGATAATAACCAGCTCAAATTAAAAGTAAAATAGACTATTTATTTGTCTTTTATTCATTTTTGATTGTCTCCAACTGATATCACTTTTACTCTGCTAATCAAATAAAAATTCAGGCCAATAACATGATTGACCGATAAATGGAAAAGAAAGGCTATGGTGTTATTGCATTCCTTTTCACTCTAGTTCAATCTTAGAAAAGGTAAAGGTATCTTTTGTTCAGCATTGATCGTAGATATCAAATTTTACTGCAATAAGGTTAGAATACAATACCTAGCCATGGGAATGGAAAGCATGTTGATACGCCTTGTCTGGTAGAACAGATTGCTTTGTAAATATATACTTTCTGCTCCACAATAATACCTACTTAGGATAGACGATGTTCACATAATAGAATTGGGATGCAATCCTTGGCTATTTACATAGTTTAAAAAATTTGCTGTCCATGATTTAAAATAGCTTCAAGCCTTGCAATACATGGTGTATGATCTATCTTGAAAAATATCACAAATGATATTGACAGAATATTAATTTGATCACTTTTAATTTACAATCCTTTAAGTTAATAATCGTTGTGCATTTATTGAAATGGCAGTCATGAAAGGAAGTACGAGAAGATTTATTTAGCGATAATTGTTATTGGTCATAACTTTGTAATGGCCATGGGATAGGTTAGGTGTTTCTTATAACCTCCCCCAATTTTTTATGCTTTATTAAAGATTATAGCCAGTTACAGTTTCTATCAGGAATGCATTGTACAGCTTCATAACTGTCGATTGTGTACTTATTATCATAACACTCGAGTATCTAATATATTATTTTGATAGCAAAATGGAGGCAAGAGAGGCAAGAACAAAAGGCAATGAAAAAATTGCTTTGGAATATTTATGCTATCATGTTGGTGATTATTATTAGAATGACAATATTCTATTGCTGGCATTAATTCTAAGGAGCGTAAACGCGTATACACTTTCATAATAGGCAATTAGTAAATATTCCGACAGCACTGATAATTACATCGACTGGAATATGAATCTAGCAAGAATCGTTGCTATAGCAAGAGTAGAGAGATAAATGAGATAATTAAATACGGAATAGATGCTGTGAAAGCGCACATTTATATCATCATTCACAATATCATTTTTAATTCTTGATTCTTTCAATCTATCCGGCTCTTTAGAGATTTTTTGCTATTTCTACATAACCCAATAGGATATAGAATACTTTATCACAACTGTAGTTTAATATATTGAAAATTTCACTGACCTGCATTCCACTTGTATATCCTGCTCCTAAAATTAAAGTTAGCTTACCTTAGCAGTAAGAGACGATTATTTTAGGAGTGATCGAATACTTAAGGCCTATATACTATACATACAGTATATCTGATAGCTATAGTTCTTATCATTATAGGACACTTCATGTGATTGGTGAATAGTAAATTTAAAGTCCTTGAGACCATACACGTATAACATTAATAACATTGCTTTTATTACATAAAAATAAAAGTAGTCCCCGTCTGGATGTGGTATACACGTGTACTACTGAACAGTATCTACGGACCACTTACTGCAGAGGAATTGCTCTATTTGCTATTTTTAATCATTGCATCGTGTAAACGACCAGCCTAAATGACCCGTCGGCAGCCGAGTATCTCATAAGTTATACAGTAACATGTACAGTAATTACTATTCGGAGATATAACCCCAATACTGTAATTTGATTTTAATTCATAAATCGATTAGTGACATACGCGTATACCTGAAGTTCTTTGCATGAGCTATCTTCAATATTCAGTGTAATGCAGTTCCATAGAACAATTATCATTCAGCTATGATCTAAAAAGTCAACTTTTCAATTAAAATTATAGCGCTAGAGATGGATCTGTTTCGATTCACGTGTAGGACTACAGGATATTTAGATGATGAACCTTTGATATAATCTCAACTTTCTCTTCTATGATTTACTAATCCTCTGAAAATGCTACGCTAATAGAAGGCATTCAAAGTTAGCCTGTGATCCATTAATGCATTACGTGTACGCATATAGCTGCAATATATAGTCATCAAAGTTTACACATCGTCAATTGGTTCATAGGCTGATAGAAATAGACATGATGCAAGTTAATATCAAGAAGTAGTTTTAAGGCTAGAAATGCAATCGCGCTCAATCAATTCCACTACAGTATAATGTTGGATGGATTTTATAAGATTAACCAACTAATCCGTAAGTACTACGGCGAAGTAAGAAATTGCACCTAACAATACCTAGTGAAAATGTTGGCGTTCGCATGCTGCATAACTCATCAAATTAGTTTTTCACTTTTTAGGGAGTTTTTTTATTAGTTAATTGCACCGATCGAAATCGCTAACTTTTTCTATCTCCTGAAAAGTTGCTACTGCCATCAACAATTTCCATTGATCAAATTACACTTCCATATTGGCATTGGTCAACATAGATGATGTAACTTCACAAGGATAGATAACTTTAGAGTGAATTGTTCGGTTGCTACATTCTTTTGAAAAGCCATTGTTATGACAAATAAAATTAGCAGATTACAGAATATAAGAGATGAGTTAACTCATTTTAAACAGTACCAAATATAGATGCACTTTTTTAAATCTCACACTTTCTAGAATACTACAAGTGACCTTATCTGAAGGCTGCATAAAAAAGCAATTGCAGTATGTATCATACAAAATGGTGCCACAGGTTGCAATCGAGCCGAAAGTTACACAATAGTATTTAACATTGTATGCCGTGATTCCTAATAAAATACTGTCGCAGCAATACAGTACATTAATGCATTAAATGAAATGTTCAAAGTAATTTATAAAGCCTGTTATTCTTTACTTTAGCTTACTCTAGGTACTAACAGTGCTATTGGTTTACAACACTGCTAGCAGTCTTTCAGAGACAACGAGTTGAATGGCAGTTACATTGCTCAAGCGGCGATTACTCTTCCGACATGGTTTATCACGGTCACAATAGTACATCCTTACTACAAGGTAATATGCTCCCTTTCACTTTTACCAATACAAATGACACAGCACGAGACGTATAATAATATTAATAATTGTACACGTAACCAAAGAAAGCTGATTCATACGTACAGTACATATTTCCATTTAACGATTGTTAATTAGCTTCGTTTGCCTATAGAGCTTTCAACATACTATTGAAAAGACCTGGCTAATTCTTTAAGCCAATGCAGGAAATTCTAGCTCATTGCTGACGTCTGGGGCCGCTTCCCGGCGATCTCTGTTAAAGTGATCATTTCCATTGCGACCATGGAAGTCACCTCGGCCACGTCCTCTACCACGGCTACGGCCGCCTCGGCGCCCACCGCGACCTCGTGATCCACCGTCATGGCGAGGTTGCAGATTGATCTCTACCTGATCTGTTAAGTTTTTCTGATTGCGATATGATTCCCTCTTTCCTCTGTCTTGTCTTTCGAACTAGCATAGAATGATGATCATACAGTTTAATACAAATAAAGGGATTGCAATTTATAGACCAATATTCCATGCTTCAATTGATTTCAACCTTGGCATTTTCAGTGGCATCATCCCCTTCTTCCTTTTCTAGTTCCTTAGTATTTCTCCACTTTGATTGATCTTCGTTTTCACCACTTCTTCGCAAATTCTTTTCCGGCTTACCTTTCAACTTGGCCTGTTGCTGTTTGTATTCATCCAGAGTCAGTTGGCTAATTGCTTCCTCTTGATCGTCTTCCACACTATCGGTTAAGATTTGTATTGGTACTTTTAGTAGATTATCACTAGTGATACTGTTTGATTATAAAGCTCGATGCCGATCTAACGGTTACATCTTTTACGTATAAATTGTCTTGTTCAATCAATTCAGGTATAACGCGACAAACACCAAAGATTTCATTTCTACACTTACTTTTCACTGTCATCGCCCCAATCTCGCGTTTCTGCAGGTTGGTCACCCCAGTTTGCAGATTCTTCTGTGCTGTCATCCCAATTCTTTGATTCCTCTTGAGTATCTCCCCAGCCTCCTACTTGGTTGGTTTCGCTTGAGAATCAAGTATGATCAAAAGTGAATTGTTAAAATGGGTTTTATCTAGCATTGCAAGCAGTCTAGTAATGTACTAAGAATAGAGTTCAACTAGTCGTACTACTGATCAGCATTAACATAACATATATCGGTTGTTGCAAGATTGTGCGGTAAGTGCAGTACCCTACGAGCACACATGGTTTAAGTTAATGTAACGTAAGATCTACAAGAATGAGGCTAAAATGATTGATGCTATGGCCATCATCCATACAACATGATATCTTTACGAAAGGATAACATTAAGATAGTGGTAATCTGAGAAAGAATATCGAACAGGTGTAAACTCATCGTTGACCAACGCTACACAGGTATTTAGCATGGATCACGTTATGACCTGTACAACATTGCTTTAACTTACTCTGCTTTCAGATCATCGCTAGGTTTGCCCCAATTATGTGTGCCGCCACCTTCACGCTTTTCGAAGGACTTGACACCACTAGTATTGGAAAAAATTATTTGAACTTAGACCATGATTGCATTATCGGCATGGCAATTGTCAATCTCTGCATAAGCAACCACTACACTACTTCACATGCAGTGGTAACAAGGTGATGATGATGCTGTCCATAAATACGAGTATAGTAAGAGCATCAGCATTCCTTGATCACCTTGAGTCAATTCAAAGTACATCACACGAAGGTATATCGCTAAGAAATGAGATATGTTAAAGTACGAGTTGATTGGTAAGGCGATCACATATTGTATATCACATGTGATCAGACTAGGTAAAATTTGGATGAGAATGCTATTACTGTCTATCAATGAGTTACGTTTTGGAGCTTCCAGAGCGGCGTTCGAATTCTCTTTTTCCAGCAAATTTGCCACTGCCACTGCCACTAGCGATTCCGCCACGTCCGCGACGAGGAGGACCACCTCTTCTACCGCGGCCACCACGTTCACCGCCGCCTCGTTCGCCTCCTCGTTCACTTCGTTCACCTCGCTCTCCTCTTGGGCCTCTGTAACTTTCTGAAAAGTTGCCTTCTCCAACACCGTTAGAAACTTCGTCTCTCTGACGGTAATCTCCGCGACGATCGCCGCCACGACCTCTTCCACGATTGCTAAATCCACGCTGGTTTTGACCTACAAAAATAAAAAATTGAAATGATTTTCAAACATCGTGGGTGTGATCCATATCGTCAGCGTGTTCTGTTCAACTCTTTCCTATTTGCAGTCATTTTTAACTACTATTGCACGATGATACTGCCATCTAGTTATGGATCTATCTACTTTAGTGCATGAAGAATACGTTGATTGCTTGTACTCTTTGCTAGGCAGCGATTCCATGTCCGAATCAACTCAAAATTGATGTAAGAATGAGCAAGGTTAGCCTACCAACACTGAAATGCTAGCTGCTTTGCCCATCTACAATACATGTGTAATGACAACGTACTAACACGATAGACCCAATTGTGCAACAAAAATGATGATAAGAAATACCTTCTCTTTTGCCAGTACGAGGTCTATCAGTCCTTTTTTCAGTTTTATTCTCCGCTTTGTTGGTCTTCTCTGATCTTGCTCTGGACGATTGATCCATCACTTTCTGCTTGCTGCCTACAGCAGGCGTAGTAGCAATCTTCTTTTCTACTTTAACATCTTTCTTTTGCCGTAAAATCCTTTCTCCACCGTCTTCGCCTTCAGTACTCAGCAAAAGGGCAAATCGATTTCCTTGTAATAAATTGTTTTCCTCTTCCATCTTCGGTTGTCACCGATTAACGGCGATATTGGATGGATTCAAAAGCGTGATTCTACAACCTACCAAATATGGCGCATGAGTGCTCAAAGCAGAGCTTGTCAGCTTCGTTGTTTGTATGATCGCAGGCTATAGTGCTTCCTTGGCGATCTGCTAGGATGGCATTGTAGGCCATCTCCAACGGTACGATAGACTTCAAGCGTGGATCCATGCGTATACGAGCCACGTGGACTAGCGTTATCCTTGGTTACAACTACTTATTTTCAAGTAATGTACTGAACAGTATATAGTACTCAAGTACAGTGGTACGGGGCAGTCTACTGTGCCATCGAGATGCAAAAAGATGTTGACTCCAGTACCAATGTTTTCAGTTGTTTCAGTACGACAGTCCCTGGCAGTTCTTTACCTCAATTTCCACCCCCCCCCCTCATTTATTCCATGGTGTGTCCAGTACAGTACAGTACTGGATACTCAGCATACAGTATACTGTACTGTAAAGTACAGTACAGTACGGTACGGTATGATCGTATCCCGCAGCTGCGCACAAACTAACGCCATTTGCATGCAGTACTGTACAGTACGGTTGATTTTTTTTTTTCTTGAGTACTGTACAGTACAGTACTGTACTATAGACTACAGTACAAACCCTTACAGTCTGTAGTGTAGACTACAGTACTGTCGACGGTGATTTGATTCGATGTAATATTCTGATGAAAATTGAGTAAACATAGAATCTTTAAAGAGTTTTCTACATAGCCATTTTGATTGCTACATTTTCTTATAACGGTTGCTATCGACAGAGCAAGTTTTGCTTGCATACTCAAGCAATCCTTAGACACATTCTAATGATTGGTATAGAATTGACCACAGTACTAAGGACATTGTACCGATATCTTACAGTACCTGCTAATCTTAACTTGGTATGTCCATCACCGTATATTAGTTAGCATAATGTGCTTTGGACCATCAACTAATCTTAATATAGCATTTCATCCGTCAATGCATTATTGAAAAGTAGTATTCTACAAGCATAGCTGTGAATATCGTCATGCCTAGCTATTACCGGGATATAAATAACGTCGAATGGTAATACTATCTGTTAATTATTAACAAATAAGTACATTATCATAAGCCGTCAGCAAAGCAACGTGAGCTTGTACTAGTAATTTTGATTACTGCATTACTGTATTGTACATACTGTACTGTACTGTACAGAACAGTAGTCAGTACACCAGTCAGGACACTAGTCAGTACTGTCGTTGGGGAAAAAAAATTGGAAAATTGATTTAAATGCCCGTCGTCATATGGAATATCAATCAAATAAGTCAATGCAAATTATGAAGGCACAGTGGCAATGCAAAATATGACTGCACAGTGGAACTAGATTCAGTATGGATTGTATCGGACAAAACTTGAAACTTTTCCTTTATTCCATGAATTCACAGACAATTTTGTCAGCACATATCAAAACCGTGCAATCGCTTCTTATATCAACTCTGCGCTCATATCCTACTCATGATCGTCATTTGAGGACACGGTACGCAAGTACGAGCAATTAGTAGTTCAATTGATGTAATTTCCGGGATCGTACAAGCTCATTGACTACAAATTGACCTAAAGTTAAATGATTTCAGAATCTGTTGTGTTTAAATGAAGTTTGCAGGTATACATGTCCACTGTGTACTGTAGTGTAAGGCCCGTCCATAATAACCCCGATGACTCACGTACTCAGCGTCAATAGCTTAAAACGATGATACATTCATTATTCCAGGAGTCTACTGAATTTAAGTTTACAGGTATCCATGTCCACTGTGTACTGTAGTGTAGGCCGTTCATAATAACCCCGATGACTCACATACTCAGCGTCCATAGCTTAAAACGATGATACGTTCTTCTTCGAGTCTATTGAATTAAGTTTGGAGGTATGCATGTCCACCACTGTGTACGGTATACTACTGTACAGTACATATATTTATTGTACTGTATATTCAAGATTGAATGCGTCAGCAGTGGTGGAACTCCATTAGTATAGTGTAATAAACCTTTGATGCATTACCAGGAGTTTCTGACGAGACTATAAAAGGCTGGTGCCTGAAGATTCCTTTTTAGTTCGTTAGTCGGTTAGATAGTCAACTAGTTTTTCAATTGATATTTAATTGTAAAGACTATAATCTTGGGTGCCAAGATTCCTTCAGTAATAAATGATAGTAAATCTCTGACTATCTCGTCTACATCATCTGTGACGCTATAATTGTACCATAGTATTCGGTCGTTGGAACTGAATTATTTGGTGATATAGCTAATCTCGCCTCTTTAAGTTAGTAAGTGGCGTTCTCCGCAAGGATTGGCGTGTGTAGACTACTTTGTCACTAGTGGTGTGTGACATGCATACCAATATCAAACCTACACAATCGCAATACGAAATAAAAGCCTATCGAATGATGGATGCCGTTTTTGCAAAGGCGTCTTACCCATAGCTTAAGCTATTAGGAGCTATCAATTGGACAACATTCGTACAATAGAAATGATAAGTGCAGCATTACGAACTGATCTGAACTAATTATTTAGCATACATGCATCTGATAATGATATTATTCATTCATTAGTATGCTGTAGTACGTTTTTATTATACGTACTATCACCCAAATAGGACTCAGTAAGCTAAGCTATGGTACATAACTCCAAAGATAAGTAGAGTATGATTATACGAGTAAAAGAGTCCGTATGCAACTCTGAAGATCAGTCGTATTAACTGCAAAAAGATTTCAAGATGCAGGATCTCCAGTTATGGAAGAAATAATAATGTTGCATGATCAGATTTTATTTATTTTAACTATCATTATTTGTGTTGTTTTGTGAAAGTAAAGAGCTAACTCTGCCAAGTTGTCCTTACGCCCTCTGTGCTCCAGATTTCCTGTACCACTATCTTTCTTTATTGATTAGTTTCGATATTAGATATTTCTTACGGAATGAAACTGGTGATAGATTACTAATTTTTTTCATATCAAACTACGATGTTATTTCTTACTAAACTTAACTTACAGCATTAACATTGTACATCCGTACACTAATTAGGTCGACGTCATTTTGACTCTACAAAATTGACTGTCACCGAACTGATACTTGTATAGCTTTCTGTAGCATTGACATAATATATATCGGCTAGATAACACTATACGTATATTTATAAGAAAATAGAAAGACAAACGCACCGTATATTATCCTAATACCGAACCATGAAAGACCTGAAAAGTTGCGAATTAATTACGCCTACAGTATGTTGCAATTCTATGAGGGGAATTAGATAGACACCCGCAAAAAGTATTTTAAATATAACATAATCATAACAAATTAATTATATATCGTAATTAGTTCCTAGCTAAGATATATCGTTACTGTTTAAAATGGAAAGTATGGATATGCAGTACCGTAATCCGCTTAGGCATGGATTACTAGCTTAGGTCGGATGAGAATCAGCTGAGATGGTCATTAAAATTAAAATTACTCACATGCTGTATACGTACTGTACACGCCCGCACAGTCACGTCTGCGTACTGTACATATATACTACAGTGTACAATACAATCTGACCAAATATGGTAATACGCGTACAGTATTCGTATTGTCCAATGTTGTCATTTTAACAGACCTAGTGTTGACCAAATGGTGCTATAAATGTATTTCTGAACTAATCCTGTATTATCAAGTATTAACAAGGGCATCAATGAATTCGATATCATCAGAATTATGCATTTACTGTGGTATATGTACAGTATTTGCTATGAACATTTTATGGTTTGGATTGTATTTTGAAATGGACAGATTCATTGATACTACAGCAGCTTAACGTCCTGTCACTTCGTTGATAGATTACAACTCATTACTTTCAAATTCGTAATAATACAGCATCATGGCGAGTACAGGTGGATATCGCTGACTGTGATCCTGTAAACATTGCAAGCCAGTACCATATTTGGAATGCTTTTCAATGAATTGATAAAGGCATGCATGAACTCTTAACCCTATACCATGACTAAGAAACTATTTTACGCTTTATTTGTGCAGGGACTACTCAAAACCGGAGTATGCAAAAAGGCCGTTGTGCGTATGTTGTAGAGTACGCAATTCTGCACACTAGCTTAATGCATAGAGTGCCTAGCTCGCTTAAACAAGGGTAATCTTAATTGTATTTAGCGAGCTCATGGTGTTTTATACGAGATTCTGTGACGATGCAGTTATTTACTGTAGTCTATACCGCCTAGCAACTTACTGTACGAGTATAAAGAACTCTCCAACTTGTCTCTATTTGCAAATTGTTTATGCATTGATATTATTGCATGACAGTGATATTATCCAAATTGACTTATAAATAGAATTCTTATGACCTATATAATCAGCATTCCTATGATGTAATTTGTGCCTATGCGACAAGATCAGACTTTCCATGAAATCATACAATGATACTATCCAAATTGGCTTATGAATAGAATTCTTATGATGTATACAGTATAATCAGCATTCCTATGATGTAATTTGTGCCTATGCGACAAGATTAGACTTTCCATGAAATCATACGATAGCTTATGCCCCTGTAATGTGACCATCCTATACTGTATGGATCCACGCCCGTCATACAATACAGTAGTCATAGGTAAATGTTGAAAAGAGGCGACTTTATAGTCAAATTAAAGCGTAAGTTATATTTATAGCAGGTGACTAATAAACTCTTCTTATTCTGTGAATTATTATTATTTAAAAGGTGTTTCCAGCAAAATACAATGACGTCACAATGAGTCGACATTCAACATACCACACACCTAATCACACCTTATGGCTGGATCATTGTTGTTTCTTTCTTTTGTTTGAGTGCAAAACTTTAAAGCCCATACCCTGGGCTAACCCGGACCCGGCAATGCCACGTTTGCAGATTCGCCGCAGTACGATACAGTACACGGTACTGACTGTACTCACTTTCCCTGATCAGTGGCGTTTCAATTTGGACGGAAATAACTCTCTAAAAAATAGATAAAATATCGTACAGTAGTATAATCTGATAAAATATTTTGAATATAGAATTCAGGATGGTACAGATTGATTCCTTCTCTGTGCTTTTACTTGGTAGCAATGAAAAAATACTTTGATGGAGATACAGGAATAAATTGTACAATGTGAAGTACAGTTGTACAGTTCTATACCTACTAGATATATCCATCCTATTTACAGGACTGTACATGACAGTATAGTAATCTCGACAACATACTGGCCCCAAATTACTGTACATCAATATCTCCGCATTGAGATACGTTTTAATTAGGCGCAGTATATTGTATATATTTATATTTTCATGCCTTGGAGAAATTACAGTGATATCATTCATTTTGCCGTACTAGAGTGTACAAGTCTACATGCACTGTCAATGGATCTGCAGCGGAAGTTATAAGAGTTCATGGATAATTAATACGACTAATTATAATTGTTCACTTGCCTACGTTTTACAATACATGACACGGGAATGAAAACTCGTGATGACTGCTGATTAGTGATTACATCATTTAATTCAAAAATGATCAATACCTCATTTCAAACACGTTTGTATATTTACGGTAATTATAGCAATTTAGCGTAGTTTTTGGAAAATGAAATCTGATAAAAAATAAAAAATAAATCTTATTATAAAACTCATTAAAATGATCTACTGTAGACTTGACGGCGATACCATCCATGTTAGCCGCTGAAGCGAAAAATGAGCTTATCAATTGATGATAGCTAAAATGGTCAGAAGATAGAAAGTTGGCCACTCTATAAACTGAAGTAATACTGATCATGATTTGCGTACATCACAGGTGATTAGTGGCGATGGTACTTATTGGCACAGGCTGATACAAGTTATAACAAATTTGGACTATTCAATGTACTGTATATGACATACTATACTTCTCGGTGAATTTTTAATTTTCTTTTTAAGTAATGATATGGCGTCAAGGTGACTCTTGCATATCGCTACTGTCATCGTCGAAAGGATCAATTACTGTATGCGGTTACTATATAAGATTGGAAAGACCTTTCAATTGAATTGAATTGAATTTATTTACTGGCGCAAAGATAACAGCATAGGGTATCAATGATGACATCATGCATCATTTTTAGCACACAATGCTTACGCATTATAGATGCTTTGTTTACCGCTATTACGTAAACATTATACGGAAAGAAATCCGACAGCAGGATGATATAAATTGGGCGTTCTGCATTCCAAATTGCTTTTCAAGACGTTACCACATTTGCATCACTACGTACGACAGTTGTTATCGATTGCGATTTACCATTTAATTCTGAACCAGAAGTGATTATCCAGTTGAAACTAGACCATTGGAACTATTCGTTACTTGGAACGATTACAAGGTCAGTTGAAATCTGCCATAATCAATCATTTCAAGTATCATGAAATCGGATGTCTAGTACTAGCATAATCTTGGTTGCATGATTTTGAATATCGTATTATCAAAGTGATTGAAAAAATTGTTAATTTTAACCATGATATCAACATTGATTTACTCTATGTCTCCATACTACTTGCTGATCAATAATGACATCGCATTAATTCCATTCATGGAAATTATAATTTATTGACTGTTCACTAATTAATACTAACGAATACGCCACGCCGGTTATACTGTACAGTACAGTACAATAATGATGAAAGGCTTTGGCGATTTCGTCTACTGGTACAGTGCAGTGGGTGCTGGAAATTTCCAGCAGTCCGTAACTCCATGTAGTATCATTTGTACGGTACACCGCTGGAGCTCTTACTAACGTATACAAACATTGAAACGTGTGATGGGGTGCTGATAGCTCACCATGACCACAGTACCAAGTCTACAGTACTACAACGGAAGTTTCTAGAAGTTCTACTGTACACTGTACAGTAAAGTGGTCACTGCGCACTGCGCAGTCGACCACTCCATGTTGTTGATTTATGATTTAAATGACCTTTTAACTTTCTAATTGCAGTATTCTAATGCTAATGAGATGATGAATGAATATTTTGCATTTAGAATGATTGATACCGCAGAAATGGTTTATTTCCCGCCGAATGGCATTGCCAAGGTCGATAAAGAGCGCGATGTTGCTTTTCAAAGTTGTTTAGGCAGTGATTTAAAGGGTCCTTGGCCATCTAATTATTATTACACAAGTAGTATACCGCTCTGTTATAACGGCTTGATGGGTCTTCCCGCCAAAAGTTTGGGCCATGGCAATGCTGCCGGTCCACTTTATACAGTCTTAGCACAAAATGGAGCTGTCTTAATTTTAACGCCCAATCCAGCCATTAGTCATATCAATAATGACACCATCTCCAAGTTCAATATTAACGCCAATCTTCATCATATTGATCCACGTACGATCGAATATGTCCAATCACGTTCACTTTATCTCTCGGCTAATGAAACTATGTATGCCGATACGCCATCTCAGCCCAAGATGGAAAAAAGCACCAATGGCAATAGTAATAAGCCTAATTTCAAGAATAGTTTAAATGATATCAACTCCAGATCGGATAGTGTTTTGACAACAAGTAGCAATGAGAGCAGTTCCAATAGCAGCCAATGTGATTCAGTGGAAAATGAAGAAAGTAAGGAAGATGATCAACATGATGGAAAGACCATTATAAGAGGTCGACCAAGGACGGATAACATTGCTTATCTACGTCGTGTTGGTGCTAAATCCAAATCGACAATACGATGCGAAATCTGCCAACGCACTTTTCCTCGCGAGAAATCATTACAAGCTCATAGGCGTACACATACTGGTGAACGCCCTTATGTCTGTGATTTTCCCAATTGTGGCAAAACATTTGCTCAAAGTGGTCAACTCAAGACTCATTTACGCATTCATACTGGTGAAAAACCATTTATGTGCTCTATCCAAGGTTGCACTTCGCGTTTTACTCACTCCAATCGTCATTGCCCTGATCATCCATACGCTGCTTTACAGCGCAATGATGACGAAGCTAGTATCACATTGCAAAATGATGATCCGCTGGTCATGCAATGGCTTGCTAAACTTCAACAATCGCGCCGAGATAGACAGTTGAAGAGGTTGCAAAAACAACCACCTACTTCACCACTAGCGGTCGAAAATCAACAAAGTAATACGCTTGAGGATGCCCCTGATAAGAAAAAAACGGCTCGTTTACAAGCTAAGAAACGTTTAGCTGATCAACGAGCAAAGTGGAATGGAGCTATCGCTTTAATGGAACTTTCTGAAAATAAAGCGGATGTATAAAGCATGATGACTTGGCATAAACAATCATTGGAGAGTAGGAGAGCAATTGGATATGGTCTTTCTGTGCAGCCATCGACTACAAAAAAAAATTATAATATTATACTGTATTACCCTACGAGTGTAGGAACACCGACTAGCTTGCTTGTCACGGTCATCTTTAGCAATTCTTTTTCTTGCCAACCGTTTCTCTTTACCATTATACTAACTCTACTCTATACTCACTTTGTATACGTTAGCAAAGAAATCGTAAACTTGGACATTATTTCTTAAACTCTTGTAGGTGATATCGTTGTGCGATCTACTACAGTCATTATTGTACATTTAAATACTTCTATTGTCAAAATTTTTTCATATTAGTTTATTATTTTCAATCCTTTATGTTGCTTGAATTTGAAGTTGCTATGCCGTAGTGCAATTTAAATTCCACCTTAGCTCAGTTCGCAGCGCGTACGTCTAGTTATTGTTGGTTAGTAAAGAGGATATTCTTCGATATCATCGAGAAAATATCCGAGTACAGTAGAATGCATTTAATCCCTAGAATACAATTGATAGCTATTGCTAGAGCCTTTAACAACAATTACATCAATATTAGATATCAGCTTTTTTATGCGGGCGATAGATTAGTTGCTGCTGTAATATAGCAATAATTTTAACTTTTTACAAGAGTTTTAACAGGAGTAAAAATGAAGTTTACAACCACTTTTTATAATACGTATAAGTTACAGGATGTTTAGTATTAATTCTTGTGGTTAATTTTGCTTCGATCTTGCAGTATTCTCTGTTCGATCCTATTCACATATACCGTAACGATAATGTTATCTCGACTTATTCTTAACAAAAATATCAAATGCTTGTTTTCTAACATTTGCCATATATATTATTAACCAGCTGTGCTGTGAAAATCTCGTTTTTATTCAATATATTTACATACTCGTATAGATATATATATATATATATATGTATATATACATACATATATACATATATATATGTAATAATAATATATATATATATACATTTACACTCTAGCATAAAGTACTATATCAATACATAGATAACCAGCGATAATAATGTTTTTTATTAATTATTTAAGTTGAAAACTTTATCTTTGACTTAATGAAAAATCACATCAAAATTGTAATGATGAAATAATTCCGTTTTGTAAAATATAAATTATATTGGCTGTATGTGTTGTTGATTTGACTAAATCATAACTTTAAAATTTTTATTTTTAATTATTATCGATGATCATTTTTGAAAACTATATTTTAGCTTATAGAAAACTTCAACGTAGATATTAGTCAAATAAAATGCAAACCATTTCTAGGTATGGTACTTCAGTAATTTCATTATGTAGATCGATTTAAAAATAATTAAAAGAATGACGATAATGCATTGAATACCTGTTGCTGCAAATGAAATTTGCAGCTATACAATGTTTTAATTATATTAAGTCGGTGTGGATATATCATGTCGTACTAATAATAATAATAAAGAAACATATGGTCAGGATCTTGAACTGGCATCGTTCACAATTATGAAGTTCAAGAGAAAACAATAAAAAAATCTCTTTCAACACAAATACAAATAATTCTCTGTTGCAATTTCGTTTTATTAGTGCACATACACGAATATTAGTCAAGTTTAATAAAGTTAAGAAAAGTTTTATCGAATGAATCATAGTCATCAACTGCCTGCTGCATGTTGCTGCTTCAATGGTGTTCGTCTGATTAATTTGTAAATTACTTTACCAACAACAAATTACTATCACACACTATTTATTTATAACAAGATACGCGTATACGCGTGTTATAAGGTATAAAATACTTTTTTTAAGTCTTGCACTCTCAAGTATAAGGGCGTACTATCAATTAGAGATTCATTCTGACTACTGAAAAGTTAGAAAACAACAAAAACATCCGGTAATAATACTTAATACATGGTTACTAATTGTAGAAGCATCCATTGCCAGGAGTATCTATACGAGTATATCATTAATTACAGTAATTTTTGTCGTAGACTGCATGCGTATATTTGATGAGAAATTTTCACAACAAGAGTTGAATTATTCATCCGCAATTACATAATAATTTATGCCAAGCTACATGATGCAATCCTAGAGCTCTATTAGTTTTAGAATATCAAACGTTGCAGTTCAGTTTAGACAGAAGGATAATAGATTTATTACAGTGCAATAACATTATATGGTAGTGTTCTAATTGCATCAATAGTTAATGTAACATGCAAAAAATTTTGTAAGCAACTTACTTTACCGTATTACTTAATGGTCACTACAACAGTGACGCATATAGACGTGGTACATAATGTAACAAAAAAAGAAAATGAAAATGAACACACAATACAAGAAATTCAATAATACGGTTTAGAAGTGCTCTATTTTTGTCTGCCAGTAGATATTTGCTGGCGCTATATATATTGTAGCTGTAGTAGAATTAGTACCGTGAAATTAGAGAATTTTTCCTCAAAGTGAATGCACAAATAAGATATCAATCATACAATTGGAACATAGATTCGTATTGACAAGATGTTAAGTAGATATTTTTAAATAGAGATAAAAATATCGTTATACATTCATAGTACTATTTCACTCCAGTACAGTATTTACTTAGACTTAATCAGTTCTCATTTTATCATTTCAATGAGTATTTTATGCTACCCTAAATTAAGGTCATATTGGAATAACACAACCATGACAATCATAATAAAACCGTGAAGTCTAAATATCATTTATATTCGTATAAGCTTAGCATCCTGCGCCAGCAGAACATTTAAAGTTTATAAAAGAATGAAGGATCATAAGTATATTTAGTTTAGATTATTGTATACTTCAAGGATTAAGCATGATTACAAATTGGTAATACTGTGATTTTGTATGAACACTTAAAGACATCTAACAATTTGCCAAGGCTACATGCATCTGGAAAAGTTATATCGTGGAAATTATAATTAATTATTGTTACCTGATCTATTTGTCCTTTTTGACAATTAGAATTATTATCCCATTATACATTGACTCTTGCAAATCGACCCAAAATAAGTTTTAATTCAATAGAATATTATACTATAGATAAAAACTAAATCTTGATAAGATAAAATATTCAATAACTTTTAGCTTAATCAACCAAAACTGATACGTTACATATAAATTGTGAAATTTACAGTCAACCCCATCGCACTCTGTTTTGATAAAATTTAAAGGAAATACGAGCCCGATCAAAACGTCCGCGTAACGATGTCTATTATTTTTAAGTGCTAAAATTTAATAGTCTAAAGTAATTAACTTAAAAACAGCTTTTACGTAAAGCATTCAAATTTCTATTATTCCCCATCTACGAAATACTTTCCTATATAATTAAAATACAAAAAATTTATAGTATAAGTAGTGAGTTGATTGCAATTACAATGATGCAAAATAGTAGCTTGTACCTGCAGTGATTTGTTTCTTAACAAATGAAATCTTATAGCCTTTTACATCTGCGAGAGATATATCTAAACCGGAGAGTGTGCTACCTGGGCAAGAAAATTTTACAGCTACTCTTTTGGACTTGGTAGGTCCAGAACTGAGATCAAAGTGTCCTTCGATTTTAGATCCTAATAATGAAATCAATAGGAACGTCAAGGCATGTTAAATAAATATCAAGGCCGATTAGTGTATGGCTAATTGATTTACTATTACCGCTATTACTATTTTCAATTCTAGTTAATTTCCACAAAGCTCTATCTAGTTCTTTATTCCTAAACACGTAAATCAAAACACCATTTCATTAATAACTGTATAAAATATATTTGTGCTGAACGAAATCAAATCTAGTGTATTGGGTCAATGGAATTATATGCTGACCAGGTAGCTTCCTGATTCATCTGATGATTTGTTACGCCTCCATCGACTGGGGCAATAAAATTGACATTTGCCAAAGGAATTGCTGACGATAAAGCATCCGCATTATATGTATATTCTATCGATACATCAGTAGATTGAGGTTCGCACTTCCATTCTCCACGTAATTTCAAGGGTGTACTCTTTCGGTCCGTCTGACTTTACCTAAGAGTGAATTTAATTTAAAAATTCAGTTCTAGTAGCTTTAATTATCACAGCCAAAAGCAACGGAATAGCATTCACATCATAAACTGTAAATTTACAGCAATTTCAGTTTATATGACATACTTGATATTTTAGTACATCTACATTATGATACATAGATGATTGTTCAGATTGTTGACTTAGGTGGGTAACCAGATCGGACATTTTAAAATCGATCCGGTAATCAGCATCAGTAAGTTGGCTAGAACTGAGAATTATGAAAACAATGGCCAGCATGAACAGTAGTTATCACACGTTTTCTTCTGGTCTTATCATAATGGGCTTTGCATTAATTTATACAGTACTGTACATACCTAGTAACAAATAGATTATTAAGGGCTACTTGTTCTAGATTTTTCGAGCCAGTTAGCCTTAACTTTAACGCCGGATAATTTGGGTTGTCATGAAACAACTTTAAACTTTGCGTTGGAAAGGATATCTTCATTTCTCCAGTTATCTTTACTAGACAACTATAATTATATATATATTGATATATACGCGTATGAATAGTTGATTAAGTATTATAAAATTTACTATTAATATAATAAAATTAGCATGACACTGTCATTTATCATTTCGTAACTTGCCTATCATCAGGTTTGAAACATGCATTAACAACTTCAGTAAGGGCAACAGCAATAATAGCTGATTTTTCTGTCCTAGCGGGCATGGAGGCACTTCTAGTTGCTGAAATAGCGGTTGATAAGGTTTTTAGAGAAAGGGATGGGGAGGAACCTTCATTCCTTGGGCCTCGGTCATCACTAGTCGATCGTGGTATAGACTGAATTGTTCCAGAAGGGGTAATAGAAATAGTAGAGCTTCTAACATTGGATGCCATCAGTGGTGGAGGTAATTTATCCAAAGTTGGCGAAGTTGGTCCTGCAATAAATAACGGCCCATTTATAGAATTCCGATCTTTCGCTTTTGGAGGTAGAGGAGGAGGGTTTTCAGATGGTGAAGAAACACTATTGAGGATAGTTGCTTTCTTTACATCCTGTAAAATAATTATAATACTTCAATTTTGAGACCAAATATCAAGTATTTCAATAAACTAAACACATCTGCTAATAAGAGGAAAGTATATTACTTACGCTTGGCGGTGAAATTTCAATTTTTGCTGTTGAATCTACACTTTTTCTCTTTGCTAAATAATGATAAAGTAAACAAGCGATGAGACAATTGGTGATAAAACAACTGATTATTTTACAAACTTACGTAATCCAATCTTAGTACCGGCCAGTAAAGACGGAGAATTATCAGTATCATCTTCATCTAGCATAAGTAGATTTGATCTATAGATAAAAAGAGTCAATAATTATACATCTATGTGTGAATACACAAAATAAATCCAAATAGTATGCTCACAGATTTCTCTTTTCTGAAACTGGTGTCGAATTCGTACTACATGCTAAGAGAATATAATACAGATGTATCAACATGTTTGCTACAACGCTTTTTATGATGTTATTTCAAACAACATTTTATATTTTATCGAATCATTATGTACTGTAATACATGAATATTTAAAATAATATTCTGGGTACCTGCACTACCACCTGGTGATTTTACAGCTCGGACCTATGTATCAATAATTAAGAAATTGTTGTCTAAACGTTTATCAAGAACAGCAAGAGCATAATCTACAAAGTTCAAATGGCAAAGTGCTTACTCCTGATGATAATGATAGAGAACTACCAATAGCCCTAAGTTGGTCAACAGATACTTGACTTTTGGTTTGACCGCCAGACACAGGCTTTATCTTAACATGAATTTTCTTCTTGTCATCTTCTGTTATAATTATGTTTTACATAGCATATTTCTTTATCGAGCGTAGCACTTTATGATTGTACTGTAAGTTAGCATTATACAAATTTTTTATCTTACCATCATCAGAGGAGGAATCGCTATCTTGAACGGTTGCCTTTTGTGAATTAGGTTAAGGAAGAAAAGCTACAAACAATTTGTATTCAACCTCGACTCGAGCATATGTATAGGTATATGTATACGTAAACGTGTACAGTATATATACGCGTATACATATAGTAGTATATTTTATTAGGTTGAACATTCTTTCAAAATACATATAATCAATTATACACGGATATGGATTGCGCCGCGATCAAAAATATCGTCTGGTCTAATAGAATATCCTTCTTCGTCTACAACAGGTGCTGGTGTTGTAACCTTGAGATATAGAAATTTGTAATGTTTTAATGTAAAGTTATGTCCAATAGTGACGTACCGTAATACCCAATATATCTAGATATCCTAATATCTAATATTTCGAGACAACTATACCTCATCTTGATCGTTAGCACTATTTGACAAATTGTCGTTTGTAGAGTCTCTGTATATGAACGGCAAAATAAAAATCAAAGAAATGAAGATTTCTAGTACATACAGGAAAAATCCTATTTACTACGGATACCATACCTATCTACCTTCTTCTTTTTCGTTTTAAAATTGAGTTTAAACAGATGACCTTTATTGAACAATATGCCAAAATTTAGAATGAGAGAGCAAAATTAAAAACGTAAATACAGTACTATTTTTCATTCTTAATTTTACTTTTGCTATCATCCTTCGTTGGTTCTTTGGAATGTGACCGGTTATAGTCGTGCACGCTATCTTCATGAGGTTTATCTTTGTAACTTTCGAATGGGATATCAACTGAAACACAAGATGAATCAGGATTGTGGTTAATTTTTAAATAAAAAAGAGTTGGCTATTCTCAATTTAAGTTACCTGGGATATCATTTCCAGTGCCCTTGCTATCAACGAAAATTTGTAGAAGATTTTCCGTTCTCATCGAAGTTAATTCTTTAGTTAATCTATCATTTTCCTATAGCAAATAAATAGGTACATTGAAAACCAGTAAGAATTTATCCATTTTGAATAAAGTCTAGTTCATTATCAATGATAATATAAATTTCATCAGCTAAAGTGATTAGACTAACTTTCTGAACAACTGAAGTAAAATAAGATTGTAATTCTACAAATTTTTTGACCAAAGTTGCCATTCTTTCTAAATGAAAAGTTTCATGGGAATGAAATACCTACAAAAAGGAGAAGGGGCAAGGACTTAATATATTACCTAGTAGACTGCAAAAACTGATGCCGAGATGTATCAAGAAACGAAATGGCCAAAATAAAAAAGCAACATTATCTCCTCCTACTACTTACACCACAACTTTTTGTAAACTTTGTTATAAAATTTTTACGAGCTGGTGGAAACTTATCCAATGCATTCTTATAATCGTCACCTAAGGCAAGACGTGTTATTAAAGGTGGCCAAGTTTAGTAAGATTCATGGCAAAGTGTGAGGTAGTCTACGATACTATTAAGGAAAGACTATACTTACTTGCTTTCTTTGCCTTTGAAAGCATCTATGGAAAAAATGAATGTAATTTAGATAATAGAATATCGAGGATATCGCTATATAGCAGATCAGATGGTTGGCTTAATCAAAGACAGCCTTGGCGTCTATATAATTTACAAACCTTATCGATATCTTTGGTGGTAGCATTCTCTCTGCGTAGTCTTTCAACTTCGCTTTCGCGTCCATGATAGATATCTCTAGCCTGTATAATACAAGTTTTTTTAATATCAAATCAGACATCCAATTTGAGGGTAAGTATAACATGGAAATCTCCGAATGATCAATTTAATAATATTCTGGAAAAAATTGTACCTTGTATATGTTTGCACTTAAAATTTGCAATGTTTGAACATCATCAGCTGTGTTTGCAACTGAGTCTTTCGCCTAGGTCAAGATGGAGGTACTGTTAGATCACGGTTTATCGTCGCGATGGAATTGCTCTAATCTTATTCAGTTTGGACTATTTGATAGGGGTACATTACTACATGATTTCTTTAACAGGAGTAAGAATTTATGTTGCAAAAAGGCACACACACTAAAGGCCTACAGTAGATATCCTTCGTTGCCGCTAATAACTCGATTGATTGTGATACCTACCGCCATGATGTTGTAGTGTCTACTCTATTTAGTAGCTAGGTGGTAAAATTTCGAAAGATTTCTGCACAACTTACTAGTTTATATTTTTCTTTTAAAGTTTCACCACATTTTATAATATCCTTGATTAAATCTTGCATTTTTCTAGCATCTTCTTGATATAAATTGGATACGTTTTCGGTGCTTTTGCGTATGTAGTTGAAGACAGGTTGAAAAGTTCTATAATTTGATTGAAAAAATAGCATTATCGGTGGATTGATCCTGCTGTATGAACTCTTAAATTGTTAATGGCTGCAGAGTTGGAGAAGATTGATGGAAAAAATAATCATTATCTAGATATAGGTACTAGCTAATAAATTTATTATGTTGCAGGGTTTGAGTCCAATTTATGGAAAATAAGAGCACAGAAAGGCGCGTAGTCTGCTAAGGGAAAAATCATCAGCGTAGGGAAGTAATGGAAAGGGAAATATGATTGTAATAACGTCAAGGTAAAAAAGATCCAGCGAAAAATTTGCCATATTACTAAGCTAGGATAGGATGGCCCATTCAGTAGGCGAAAGCCTACGTTTTTCCTTCCACAAAGCACAGCCATATTACTTGTCATCTTTAAGATTCAAATGAATTTTTTTGCCATCCAATTGGCTCATCTTTGCAAAGATTCTATTCATGAACTCATTTACTACTCAATCCAAGTAAAATGAACAAGTAAATAGATGTAGTGGATAGTTTAAATTTATGAATCCAACAATATTATTATCGAGTGAGCCAGGAATAGTGGGATCATGGGTCTTTCCATCTTGATTTACCGATAAGCAGGATATTTTTTTTACACTTTAGCAAGACTTACCCTAAAGCATTATGATTTGCATAATTTTTAGCCACTTTCATCAATGCCTTAGCAAAAGTGTCTTCAGCAACGGATCTAGCAGACGATAGCGACCCCCAAAAAAGTGAGAAAAAAAAAATCAATTCAATTCAATCATAATTTCAGTTAGGTGAGAAAATTGGTTAATTTTTCTCGGCCATTTAGTAATTAATGTAGAGAAAGTTGGCTATTATTTTGACTTGGATACGGGGCTAGAAAAGACAATCTTGTCAATCGTAATTCAATGCAAATGTCAATATTTTTATTGTAGAACACAGCAAGAAATCAATATGAAATAGAAAACGTTGCCCTGTCATTGATCGACAGACTTGAATTATTCAGATCGACATGGAATTGTAAAGTAGATCATGACATCAACTACTGTTTGGTAGCGCTGGAGACTGCATTTAGTAGATCAAACACTGTCGACATTGTAAATGGAAAAGTAGACAACAAAAACCAGTCCGTATTTTGGCTTCGCTGGAGACTACATTGAGTGAAAGAAAGTCGACATTGAATAAAAAAGTAGACGACGAAATCGGTCAGTGTTTCGCTTTGCTGGCGACTGCATTGAGTGGAAGAAAGTCGACATGCGAAAAGTAGACGATGAAATCCATCCTCGTTTCGCTGTACTCGAGGCTGCTTAGAGTGAAAAATAGCACCGACACTGAGTTGAAAATCAAGCGAGATGTCAACAACTGTTTAGCCATGGATTATTCCATGTTAAGTAATCGATGGTTGAGCGTGGTAGAGCAAAGGAAAGGCCATTTGCCTACGCGCTAATCAATATGGGGAAACAATCATGTTGTCAAGAGCATTGGTAATCGTTGATCAAGAGAAAGAGAAAATCTTTCAACTTGATATTCAAGTTAATACACTAATGTAAATAGACAAGATGATGACTGAATTCAATACATGACTAAGCCATAACAAGTAGATTAATGCCAGACAACAATTTGTCGATGACAAAAGCAAAATGGACAAATGATTTAAGCTAAAGTACTAGGATCGATTTCTTGATTTTGCTTCTATCCAATGATATGGTATCAAGTTAATCCAGAGTCAATTGAAAATCGTTCCTAACGAATGGCCTATTCCCCACTCGATGTGTATTCTAATGAACTTTGGATTGCATTCAACGGATACAGTATAAAATTGAATCAATCACAAATAGTGTGAAATTCTATCCTAATGAACGTCCATGTCACTATTCCTGTATAACTTTGGTACTAGGATCAACATTTTTTATTGTCATTGCACACGATGTGTATGCCAATGTAGTAGAATCGTCTAAAAATCAATCAAGAACAGGGCGAAATGCTTTCCTAACGAATGTCTCTAGTATTCTATTGCCTTTTGCACTTACATTTCCTTCAAGAAATCACCAAATACTTGATTGGCATTGCGGCAATGTTTCATATTATTGTACAATACATCAAAGCCAGCATACTTTTCGCCCTAGATAATCAAGATTATAATTGACAGTTAATGTTCATAAGAAATTGATTGACATGATGGCAAAAGATTCTAATTCAAGACTAGACTAAATACTGAAGGTTTGAATGAGATTGATGGCAAATTTTCATGCTGCTACTTTACAAGGGCGACCTTTTGGTCAATCCACAAGGGCGATTGCTTGGTCAATTTAGCAATCAAGACCAAACTAAATGCTGTAGATTTGAATGAGATTGATGGCAAATTTTCATGCTGCTACTTTACAAGGGCGATTGCTTGATCAATTTAGCAATCAAGACTAAACTAAATGCTGTAGGTTTGAATGAGATTGATGGCAAATTTTCAGGCTACTACTTTACAAGGGCGACCGTTTGGTCAATCCACAAGGGCGATTGCTTGGTCAATTTAGCAATCAAGACCAAACTAAATGCTGTAGGTTTGAATGAGATTGATGGCAAATTTTCACGCTACTACTTGACAAGGGCAATCGCTTGGTCAGTTAGCAATCAAGACTAAACTAAATGCTGTAGGTTTGAATGAGATCGATGGCAAATTTTCACGCTACTACTTGACAAGGGCAATCGCTTGGTCAATCCAGCAATCCATAAGAGCACAGGAGCATATTAAGGTGCTACTTCTGATGGATGTAGACTATTTTAGGGCTGATGATTGCAAAAAGCTGTTGAAGACAAAACTATAGGATGAATCAACAGGGCTGATGAAAATTTTGAGGATACTATATAGTAAGGGCGATCGGGTAGTCCATCCAGGAATGAAGTTATTTTTCGCTGACATGTAATTACAAAAAGTGGTTCAAAACGAAATTGCCAGTGGATTTGAACAAGGCCGATGGAAATTTGGATGATTGATCAATCTATCCAGTATTCAATAAGAAGTAAGTTTGACCATCATGGAAAAGGGAGCAACAAGGAAGGAATCCCATCGATCCTAGTTGAAAGCTGAGTGCTATCAAACATTCAGAAGTCTTGATCGAACTCTAATTTGTATTAGCGATCGCTCCATTGCAAGACGAAAACGAGCAATGACACAATCATGTTGGACTACTTGAAGCATAGATCACATTGCAAAATAGCAGTCGATCTATTTGACTCAATGGATCACTAAACAACCAAATGGGCTATAGCAACATGAAGTAATATAGGCATCAAGGATAGCATCAACAAGACTGAAAAATCATCCAATGGATCGTCGATCCATCAAGCAGTAAAATTATCCATGGCCAGATCAAGCAGTTGAGGCATTTCTATTTTTCAATTTTCTACTCGTCATCTCGTCCATCAGGAGATTGCTAAAAGAATCGCCCGATATACATCCAACAGGATCGTCGATGATGATGGAGTAAAGGAGAAATTTCCTTCTTCACGTATGGGATGATGATGGCAATGGTAGAAGAAAGATCGATTGATGGACATGTAAAGGGGATTTGTTTTGCTCTCATGGGCAATGATTGAATTGACTAAAACCGTATGATGTTGATGATGACACAAATGGCGAGAAAAGAATTGAATCCGTTCTCGTTCAAAGGGTAATGAAGATGGATATCAATAAATAGGATCCACTAGCCATCATATTGCTAGTCTGTCAAGAAAGTAATTGTTGTCTTTATGGAAAAGGAGGCGATCCATGTTCTAGGGATCCGACGATATCCATTTCAGAAGACTTTTCATCTTCGACTAAGGTAGAGGCTATGGAGCGGAGTAGCAAGCCGGCGTGTTTATAGTACTCAATCAACATGATGGCTATGAAATGAAAGAAAAACGATTGGATAGCAGATTATGTATGGATCGTGGTCAAGGTGAAATTAGCATCCACTTGCTTGAATTGGATGCAAGGTTGAAAAGGGAAAGAATTATTTTTCTTTACCTTTTACGCCATCAACTGTCGTCCATAGCGTAAAATGAGAGGATGAACAAGTCTGCCAGTTGATTTTGTTTATCAAGATGATGGCTGGACCGTTGAAAGCAAGGACCCAATGGTAGCTCGATCATGTATAGTATTGCAATGATTGAAATCAAACTAGTTTATATGATAGACTGTTACTGGAATTGGAAGGAGATTTACCCATGGATATCATTCGTTTCCTTTCTATTTTACTTTGACACCACGCCATCATGGATCCAGCGGACTAAACTAACTGGCTGATCTGCGTCTTGATTTTCTTGACTATCAATCAACATCATGGTGGCAAAATTGAAGGGAATGATCCCCTGACGGATCTATGACTGGCACCATTCAACATGAGTGAAATGAAGACGTTGATTGCTAGTAGAATAGTGTTGGTTTTACAGGTGGACGACTTGAATAGATGATCATCGCCAAAGGAAGCCAAGCTTGCCCCCAATTCAATACTCCATGGCATGATGGATGGCAAAACAACGTTGTTGTCCAAAGCGGATTGAAGTTGAATCAGCGGTGGCATTTTTACAAGTCGTCGTAGTCGTAATATTGGGATCAAAATGGCCAGTATGTACTATGATGAAAGCCGATTGCTCATCGTCTAGACTACAGTAACAAGGTTGATGCAATGTTGTTCCTTTTCTCCATGCCGATCGCCATGACCGCGATGCTATAGGATCCAATTTTTGGGGGTTGCCCCTGCCTGCCTACCCGATGCGTTGATGATGGCTCATCGCCGAACCCCCCTTCACTTTTCCATCTTGTTCAACCCTTTGAGAACAACATGACTTGGACTAGCATGGACAAGGGTAGAAAAAGACTTGATTTAAAGTGGATTGGCCATGGCTAGGCAAAGACGAACGGAGAAATAGTTGGCCATTGGCATGCCATAGTGAAAGCAAAATCAAGTCTTGAGCTACCCCCCCCATTGGAACCCCATCTCAAGGCCCTCGGTCGAAAATCAAGGTGATGCAAGCAATCATCAACACCACAAATACTATCGTTTCTTACCCAAAAATTCTCTTCAAACAGCCCCATCTTGTAATGGCTTTATCGGCCTGCGATCAACTAAAATCTTATCCAATAGAGACGAATAGAAGAGTGGGAAAAATCAACCAAGAACCTGCAGGAAATCGCCAACAAATATTGACGATGGTGGACTGGATAAAATCACCAACCCATGAACTGACTGAGTCGACTCAGTCAGTCCGTCCTGTCCGACCAGCCGTCCTAGTCGTTGCTCCACTTGGTACCGTTTGCTAGTGTGTGTAGGATACCAAGGTGGGCCAATCGACTCGGCTATACTGTGTCGGATACCAATATCCATGAAACACTCTTTTGACCAAGAGTGCGCAGCGATTTCAACACTTGGAACTCAGACTCGTCCAGTCAGACTACTGGAGTCTATGCGACCTTTCTTCCGTCCGTCCTGTCCGACAGGTGTGGAAATCGATGGCTATCCAGTGTCTCATACTCAAGCTCGTCATTCAATGTTTTAGCTAGCCGTGTAAGATCGTACAGTCATACTATTCTAACTCAGACTACTGCAGTCGATGCGACCTTGCTTCCATCCGTCCGGTCCGACAGACGTGGAAATCGATGGCTATCCAGTGTCTCATACTCAAGCCTGTCATTGACTGTTTTAGCTAGCCGTATAAGATCGTACATTGATACTAGTCTAACTCAGACTCCTGCAGTCGATGCGACCTTGCTTCCATCCGTCCGGTCCGACAGGCGTGGAAAATCGAAGGCTATCCAGTGTCTCATACTCAAGCCCATCATTGACTGTTTTAGCTAGCCGTATAAGATCGTACATTGATACTAGTCTAACTCAGACTCCTGCAGTCGATGCGACCTTGCTTCCATCCGTCCGGTCCGACAGGCGTGGAAAATCGATCGCTATCCAGTGTCTCATACTAACGTCCGAAATAGAATGTTTTCACTAGCCGTGTCAGATCGTACTGTCATACAACTCCAACTCCGACTCCTGCAGTCGATGCGACCTTGCTTCCATCCGTCCGGTCCGACAGGGCGTGGAAAATCGATCGTTATCCAGTGTCTCATACTAACGCCCGAAATAGAGTGTTTTACCTAGCCGTGTCAAATCGTACTGTCATACAACTCCCACTCAGACTCCTGCAGTCGATGCGACCTTACTTCCATCCGTCCGGTCCCACAGCCATACCCAGTGTACCGTACTAACGCCCGTCCGTCATTGACTGTTTTCTTCCATCCGTCCGGTCTCACAGTGGTAGAGAAGCGATCGCGATCGAGTGGATCATGCTAGCGCCTATCATTGACTATTTTTTTACCATTAGCGCCTATCTTTGACTGTTTTTTACCATTAGCGCCTATCTTTAACTGTTTTAGCTGATGGTGCAAGATGGTAAAGTATGACACGACACAGATTCCCATGAGGTTCTACTGTACTAGCCAGTGTATGATAGATTTTTCTCTTCTTACCTTAGACTAATCAACGACCTTTCTTGCTTCTGTCTGGTCTGATCTGGTCCGGCGTCTGTTCGATCCTAATGCAAGCTTTCCTATGGACATTTGGACAGTCATGTCGACAGTACACTGTAGATTGTGATTGAGTGTGCGTCCTATCGTGTGTATGATAGCAACGCCCAACGCATGCATCAAGCAAGCTAAACAAGCGCTAGTTAATAGTTATCCACAGTAGACCTAGATGGAAAACACATGTCGTAATTTAAGCGTCGTTTATAGTATAACACCAAGGAATAATACGACATCTATTTTACACAATTTAGGTTACGTTATTATTGTTGTTGTTTTCCAAGCAAAATAGCCGTTCGCTTTCACTAACAGATCCCCATCCAAACAACAATGTCAATATGTGTCCTATTTCATACACAAAATAAGATCTTTGTCAGGAACTAGGAAAAGAGAGAAAATCTCTTCAGTATAGTAACCCCTGTTATTAACTTATTCTTCGATTTCACCTGCAGGATACTGACTAATGCTGACCATCAACGCTTGCATCAAAGCAAGCAATACAAGCACTTCAAGCTAGCACGAACTAGTCATTCACAGTAGACCTAGATGGAAAACACATGTCGTAGTTTAGGCGTTGTTTGCACTGTAACACTAAGAAATGATACGACATTTATTTTACACAAGTCCTTTAAACTAACACGAACTAGTCATTCACAGTAGACCTAGATGGAAAACACATGTCGTAGTTTAGGCATTGTTTGCAATATAACACTAAGAAATGATACGACATTTATTTTACACAAGCGCTTCAAGCTAGCACTAACTGGTCATTCGCAGTAGACCTAGATGGAAAACACATGTCGTAGTTTAGGCGTTGTTTGCAGTATAACACCAAGAAATGATACGATATTTTATTTTACACAAGCCCTTTAAACTAGCACGAACTAGTTATTCACAGTAGACCTAGATGGAAAACACATGTCGTAGTTTAGGCGTTGTTTGCAGTATAACACCAAGAAATGATACGATATTTTATTTTACACAGGCTCTTTAAACTAGCACGAACTAGTCATTCACAGTAGACCTAGATGGAAAACACATGTCGTAGTTTAGGTGTTGTTTGCACTATAACACCAAGAAATGATACGACATTTATTTTACACATATTGCTACAGGAAACTGATTTTACTGTAGTACAATGTAGTGCTACATCAGCAGAATAAATGAATAATGGTACAGTCTTTGGCCTAAATTGGGTTTAATCAAGAAATACAGTACTTTCTATTCCTAGTCTGCAGTATTTTATCTCCATGTCGCTATACATTTCATCGTATCTTGTTAGTGAACAATAATAACCTTACCAGTAAAATAGTTTTTTTTTCTGCCAGTCCTCTTACCTCTTGTCGACTACATACAGTTCCTATTGCGCGCAAAATGAATGTCGCTCAATGGTATGCTTACACCTGTTTTCATACTGATACATACTGTACCATGGGTGACATGAGCTCTTTTACAAACCAAGACACTCCATTATGACACGATTTGTATAGCAACCCTAGCAATGTCAAGCACTTTTACCCATGCTAAGCCATTACTATTGGCCATATTGGCTTGACTGAGTAACTACCGTTCATTTCTATCAAGACGAAATTTCCATAGTAACCATCGCCAAGTAAGCTAGCGCTAAAAACGACCTGGACTAATTAGCCCAGTCTACGCCATTCGCCAATAACATCCAATTTAAGTCGACATAAGATGAACTATCACATTTATTCCTACTCTATTTTCCCTTTATAGTAATCCACGATAGGTCTTGGATTGTATAGCATGATCGCACTATCGGCTTGGTCAGCAAATTGGTCAATGGCGTGTCTACATACCAAGCGATAAAACGCTTTTCCAGCAGTTTTACACTACAGCAATCGACGCAATCAATTAAATAATAATATAATGATCATGCTAATCATCATCAAGATTTAACTTCAATATGACTTCTCCAATCAATACACCCTTCCAATTAGCTAGCTCTGCGTGGCAAGTTATTCAATCAGTAGCACCGGCTAGTGAGATTGATGAAATTACCAGCATCATCGGCCGATCGTTGACACAGCAAGTGGAAGAAATACGCCAAGAGGTAAAACATACAGTATACCACTTTGTCCATATATTGACTCGTCTTCGTTACAAGCCTTTTTAGTACAGGATCACCAGTGTTCGTAGACAATCTTGGTGAACTTCAATACTCTTCTACCCTGTAATCATTAGAGACGAATTGCAGTGTTTGATAGAGAGGCTACAATCTCTCTAGCGCCAGTTGTGTAATTTATAGCGTAAGGTTGGAAGCCTGCCGACAAATTTCTATAGAACGAGTATTTTACGAATTGCAACTCCAAAGTCATAGTCCATATATTCAAAACATCAACTACTCCTATCAAAAAGCCTTGATTGATCGATATTTCAACGTCAAAGCTTGGCCTAGCTTAGAACCTACTATACTCGTACGCATCTGATAAATCCAATCGTAGGCCTGCAGACCATGATATTTATCCAAAGTACTCTACTACAACTCCACATGTATGGTAGGCATATCTAGTATGATAATTGTATAAAAGCCTATTGGATGGATATTTGAATGCCAAGTTAGACGAGCCTGAGGAATAAATTCATTGTACATACAGTACTAGCTCTACCTTGTATCATTATATTAAATCTCATCATGAGACTGATACCTGCAGACAATGATCTACAGCATCCTATTGCAATTCCAAATGCGTAGTCTGCGTATGATAACTAGCCACATAAAAACCCGTCCAATCAGTATTTTTCATCGCCAAAGCTTGCTCTAGCCTACAACCTACCATACAGGTCCATATCACATAAATGAATTAACTGTACGAGTATAGTATTTCTATTTTGTATGATAGTGTCATATCATGATAGTGATGTCTGCAAACCATGATTTATAGTATTCTATTGCAACTCCAAATGCATGGTACGCGTATCATAACTATTTACTTAAATAGCTGGTTAAAATTGATATTTCAATACTAGCTAATACTTGGTCTAACCTGTAACTTACGGTATACTATACCCAAGAACTGCAATATCCATCTATTACGGCACGACGTTGCCTAAATTTTAGAGTTTAAGAAAGTATTGTTGCTAACAATGTTATAGTATAGTTGTGAGCTTTTTCAAAGGGTACTTCTTAGGCGTTATAGTAGCAGTACTATATTCTTACTTGATCTTTCGGCAAATTAGGGAAGTAATCTGTAGAAGCAACTCAAAGTTAGCGCTTTACGTTAGACTAGTAAACTTGTCAGGAAGTAGTCTGTGACACCATCTCAAAGCTCACATAATATATTTTTATACATCTTCAATTGTTTTTTATAGGCAGGATATCTATTAGATATATGGCGTGACTTGAGACAACAAACGGATAGCTTAGTAGGTAAGGCAAACTCTTAATATACAACCCATTTTCTTCTAAGATACTTGACCTACAATGTGCTTTGCGTAAGATTCTATACAAACCTCTCATCATTGATATATCCAATATACTAACAGTTGTCTAGAATGGTTGCACTCATACATATCATTCTATCATTTCGTTCATTTCGTAGCTGAAAATCCAACTAAATTATTACCTGAACCTCCCGAATTAAGAAATAGATTAAAACAAGAAATTACTATGTTGCTTGACATACTCAAACAGAAAGATGATATGGCGTAAGTCATGGATTAATCTCTGTGCTGACTTCATCCTACTAAATATTTCTTTAACATAATCGATAGTATATTAAAATGTGATCTGTATCGTAGACCAGACTATCGATAATTGTAACAAGTTTAACGCTAATGGATCGGCATAGTACGAATATCTCTCATACTTTCATTATTTTTAATTTCTTACTTAGGCACAAGCAGGATATGTTACAAGATTATAAGCATATTGTCAGTTACGTTACCCAACCGAGAGGTTTGCTTAAACTGTTGAAAAATGTTCAATTTGTAATTATTGACTGCTTGGAAAGGTTTATCGTGTATTTACATACAGAAGTGATCTTGCTATATAAGCAACCTTTTTTACCATACGATTGTATTTAACATCATACAGAAAATCAAGTTTCACCTTTAAGCCGTCCCCAATCTGCTTGCAGCAGCCTCGATAATCGCGAAGTACCAGTAGTTCAATCATCATGTAGTGGACGGTAACAGACTTTTTCTCTACCTAGAATGCCTATAATTGGCAAACATTTTGTCAACTTACACCTTGGAAAAAGTAAAAATTAACCAACCGCTCGCTATTGCATACCATATGCTGTATATGTAGATCATCTGCTGCTAATTCAATGTTGGATGATGAAGTAAAATCAATCAGCGACCGCGTAAATATAACTGATATTGACTCTATCGCTGAAGCTTTAAGGTAAAAAACTTGACCAATTTATGGGCATACACTAATTTCCCCAATGAAGAACAGACAGATATATTTAAAAATACTATTACAAGTACCAAGTCCACTGCATATCACTATATGATATAATTTATTTGCATTTTACTAAAATTATTATAGAAATTTGCTAGAGGAAGAATATGAAAGTTTAAAAGGTGATATAGAATACCTGCAAGTAAGTACTCATGTCTTAAATAATAGCCAATATTCTATCATGAAAGACATTTTAGAAAAAACATTGTGTATGCCACTGATTATAAATACTACTAGTAGTGTAGAGGATGTTAAAAGTGTTACCTCAAACTTACTCATAATTTGATACCATCAAGTCATGTCTAGAAGATGAGTCCAGTTTCCAGCATGAAACAAATTCCATACCAACGGAACCAACTTTAAGTGGTAAAATAACCACCTCAGTTTCGATACATTGAATACGTTATCTTTCGATATTTCCGGAGCATAATAATATATATATTTAACGTCGTCAGAATTGAGAAAGTTTGGAACACAGCTGGAAAGATCGGTATTAAGTACTGTTGGTAAACCTCCTATTCCAGACAAAACAATAAAGTAAGAAATTTATACTGTCAAGGAAAATATTATCACACTTGGGCATGGATTCTTTTCACTGTCATTAATTAACAAATTTAATATATATTTATCGTAGAAACGTGGATCCTCTTTCCAAACCAGCCTCTATACCTAGAAGGCTCCATTCAATCAATAAAACAAAAAATGATGGCAGCGATTTATCTCATAAGATGGAATTAGTCAAGATTACTAATGCAACGGCTGATGGAAATATCAATAAATTGACAAGGTCTACATCAAACAAACTACCAGCTAACATTGCACCTCGGCCTCCTGCGACTAGACCGAAGGCAACGGTGAAATCAAATAGTGCTGGCTCTCGTCGTAAATTAGCAGTATATTTCGACCCTAAAGACCACGACAAAAAGGCCTTAAGCGATGGTAATCAAACGACTCCTGTACTAATGGATCACCTAAAATATGACCCAACTAGCAAATCTTTCCTTGCAAGTAGAGATCGGCAGTATTCTGCTTAAATAAGTATATCCGACGATATTGTAATTACTATTCTTTCGTATAAATTTAAAGCATAAAAAATTGCATGGGCAATTTAACCTACTGTATGCATGCATTGCATAACTATGAGTAATAATCTTCTATCATTACGTGATTGTACCAACAATGCAGCAGTGTATATAATAAATCTATCCAGGTTAACTAGGTTACTATAGCGAAAGATGAATGCTCATCGATATTAATATTATATGTTATGATACAAAACAGTGTTTGATACTTTGATAATCATTTAGTGCAGGTATATATCATTAAAATGTGTTCTGCGATATAATTGTAATGTAATAGAATATCTATTTGGCAATCATTTTTCAGAATATTGTGACAATGATTCCAATTTTGTGTGTTCATTGCAGTATTTCTTTACGTTATCTATTTATACCATGCTCTATTTAGATCGTTTTGTGCGACCATAGGCATGAGATTGGGCTTAATTTTGACCTTTGCCTAATGGTCATTTTTATAAAAAGATTTTATAAAAATGTGAATAAGTTCAGCTTACAAATTTTGTGTATAGCTACCCTTATTTTTCTGATTTAACAATTGCTTTAATTTTCATATAGAACCCTCCTAGACTGCTTCCGTTTCCAGCAGAATCAATCTTTGACATGCGTGATTTGATACTTCCGAAGATCGCATAGCTAGATTATCTGCTGTATGTGTAAGACTCTACTGTACATTATACTACTATATAAATATACCATTAATAGCAAATGGTTATAATTTAATTCTCAATCAAAGCAATAAAGTTATTTCTTTTAAAGTAAATGGTGAATAATTTCGATATCAACGATTACATGCAGAAAGATATGGATATATCAGCGATCTAGTACTACAGTAAGCTCTATATATACGTTAGGCACCAACACAGAATGCAGTATAAAATGATGGCATGGTTTTACGATGCTATCCTATAGTTAAAAGCGTTATTGCCATTTACCAACTGAAAACAAGGTTGGTAATCATTCAACCACGTACGCGTACAATATTGCTCATTTACTTTAATCCTAATTACCAAGGAAAATCATTTTTTAATTTTTTTAGTTCTTTGAGAAGCGAGCTGTTCACTTTTACTCCATTCAATATCGTCATATTAGTGTCTACTGGTGAAAACCTAAATTGTAAAGTAATTTTCTACCTATTTACTTTAATATAAAGGAAAAAGATTTTTTACGTTAAAAGCACTAAATTCAATTACAAACGTTTTTCGGTCGGTCATTGAAGGATATAGAAGGGCAAGATTATAACTATAAGAATACCGTAAAATAAAACTCAAAAAATGTTTTCGATAATATAGTAAGCAAAATAGTAGTAGGGTAATGTCGACTATAGACTATTAAATACCAATCTTTAATTAAAGTACATGTTCAGGTATAGGCACAGCCATATGAGCTTATTCCTACAGCTTTGAAATGAGACTCAGATATTTACGGAAAGATTGATATTTTTATTTCGATAGACCACAAAGTAAAAGAATAATATTAATAACAAAACTAAATTACTAGAGATGAATTCGTAATAATATTACTTCATTAGTTAGTGTTACAGACAGACAATATATCATGTTATCATTATCATTATTTATGGTTATTTCATCTTCCATGTAAATTGCAATGATAATCATAGACTTACTATAACACATAGAGTTTAATTGCAAATGATTAATTTGATACGAGTAGATTAAGTTGAGGCAAATAGTAAAAACTATTACTTCATTTATCAACTGCAACAAGTGATAAATATCTGATCATTCTATCTAAATAATATGAAACTTGTGTTAAGTAGGAACTCATGTACACTGATATTAAGATTTCGCTGATTTAGGATCGCATTCTTGTAAAACCGATAGCGCATCTTGCCAAGCTTTAAGGCACTATTAGGATGATGGTACGAAAATAGATTTGCATATTAAAAGAGTATAAACGTTTATTCTACTTATTCTATGCTATAATATTCAAATTGTTCCATATATTATCCTATTTGGCTCACCTTTTGAAAGTAGACGATATTTCGATCAGCAAAATCGATAAATGTCGCTTTCAAATCGGAACGTTTGGTTTCATTCCATTTATCATATTCTGCCTTGACTGTATCATCGGCATCACGCATTTTTTCTCCTGATGCATCAACCTGTTTATTTAACTATAGACCAATTTTATACCGTTAGATTCATAAGCAATGACTTTGGCTATAAGCGCTATTTTCCGTTTAATTCTTTCAAGTTTCTCGTATACTTTTTATGGTATCGATATATCATACTGATACTAAACTCAGAGCTTAAATGCCTTATCCATAATTTGGCTATTTAGAAAGTCTACGGCAACTAAATAGCATAGTTTTGGAGTAATTGTACAATATTGAATAGCCTTTATTTTATATTTTAACATACTTCATCAATGCGATAATCCACTTTTTCTATGCGTGTTTGCTTATTTGTTTCAGTATCTTTTGCAAAAAGCGTGCTGATAGTAACAGCATTTGGGTTTTCAAGCATCTAATGATAGTAATTTGAAGTAAATTAGTTGGCATCAGCTTTACTAATACATTTTTTTAACAAACTAGTTAGAAACTGATCTCCCATAGCGAGACGTAGATAATTCTTATATTCGCATTACTCTTCGCTTATTTTCTGTCTTCCTAGCTACTTGTTCGACAAGTTGGTCATGCTGAACTTGAATTCGGTCTCTTTTCCTCAATGTAGTCTGGTTAAGTATAGTCAAACAACCGGAATTATTCATTTTAAATTATGTTTTCTACCGCAACAATGTTATCTGGAGAAAGCTTAAAGTAGATATAGTAACGAGATCACAACTATTTAAGAATTATCTAAATCAAAAAAATGTTAATTTAATTATAATACTTCATTACTTTGATAGATTCGGTAAATAATACATATTCATGTAAATTTTCACCAAATTTTTCATCTCTGCTTTCAACCTATAAGAAATTTTGTAGAGTTTAACATACTTTTGTTCGTAATATCTAATTAATATCTATTTAACAGCTACGAGAAAGTAAAAATGTTTAACTATAGAAATAGAAAGTATCAAATTGTTGACTATACCAATTCTTTTAATGCTTTGTTATTCTTGTCTACGCATTTAGAAAGAGCGGTTAACGAATCCGCTAAACGATGTTCAGAATTAGCCCAATTTAGGAAAACAGGTGCATATTCAGATTGTTGATCCATGAGATCTAATTTGTATAATGTTTTAATATATGAAATTTAAAAGTTTTAAGATGATATTTACATAATTTGGAGCATACAACATATACAAGGTGCTAAAAATTTTTCTATAAACTGATGATATCGCCAGTATTTAATGTTGAGTGACAGAAAACTATAACCCAATCTAGATAAAGCTTTATATTAGCAGTGCAAAATTATTCTCACTATAACTAAATCATTTTGACATTGCGGTTAAATTTGTAATTTTATCTGTCTATGCAACGTTAAATGACATCATTTTTTTTATTAATGATGTGTATTATAGCAATCGGTATCAAAAGTTAATTTACTATCATATTAGATGGGAATAATCATGAGTTGGAAACTTATGGATAATATTAGAATACTACATATTTATGTTCTCTAACTTAGGCATTAATACTCTAATGCTTCAAAAGCAATTACAATAAATTGAGTTTAGCTAAAGTGTAGATTTCTATTTAGTACAATTGGTATCAAAGCTAACTTACTATCATATTGGACGGGAATAATAATGGGTCGGAAACTAAAAGACGATATTGAAATACCACATTTTTACGTCTTCTACTGTAATTTAGGTATCACTACTTCGATTCTTTAATAGCAATTACAATAGATTTAGCTCAGCTAAATAGCCAATTTTTTTATCTACTTCGAACGTTTTATCGTATATAAATACTGTAAATTAGCTTTGATATACGACGATATTGTCAATATTTGCATCTATTAGAACAAGACAGATTACGTTATAATGTCTATTTTATACTCATAAATATTGAATATTATAGGAGAATTACATCTATTATCAGATTTAAAACCGTCAAGGAAGCAGAGATAGCTCAGATGATCATTGCAAAGGTTATGTAAAATGCTCTCAGGTCGTAGAGACTTTTCATAACTTGTAAAAACTATAAATCAGGTTTGATGTCTAATATTGTTGATGCGCCGTTGATGATCTAAGAGGGACGCATCTTAGTGAGATCTATAACTATCGAATGAGCAGATATATTTTAGGTATTAGAAATCTTAAGAAGGATGTTCTCAATTTATAGAACTTGGGATATTTTATAACATAAATACTGTATATCACGTATTATGTCGGTAATGTTGATAGTTACGTATAATTATTGAACACGATAGAATATCATATCATATTTTATAACTTGGTAGATATTTTAATACTATAGGTATCTTTACAAGATCTATACTATCAAAAGAATAATCGCATATCAGCCAGCAGTTGTAAAATGCTGAACAGAAAGTTCTCATTAGCTTAGGTATATGGTACTTTTGATATATATGTAAATACTATAGGAGGACTGCATCTTTCCAAGATCTAAAACTATAATGTGAGCAAACATATTTAGCTAACAATAACCGTAAAAAGCTGTGCAGAATGTTTTCAATCTACTAGGGGTATCTTATAATAAAAATATTATTACGTTGGTATTCAGTACTCTTGATGTATACGTATTTGTAGATCAAGATAGATTACCCAATTTTATACTTTAGTATTTTCATATTAGCGAAGGACTGCGCCTCCATAAAATTTGTAAATATATATTATTGATTATTTCAATAATACAGTAATATTTTCTAAAGGATCAACAATATCAGTAGGCTTCCACTAAAACCACGATAAGGTTATTGCAAAATAGTATCAGTCTTTCTTGAAGAATTTTTTCATATGTAACATGATATACTCTAATTATGTCTCGGAATCCTGTTAACATTTTGTCTAGCAGTTGTAAATTTACATGTTGGAATCTTATACTATTGTTGCGCACTATTTCTAAGAACTACTGGTCCTACTATTTGGATTTCAACTATAATAACAGTATCAGCGATTTGAGTTAAGGAAACATGCTCATATTTACTAAAAGTTAATATTAGGTATCATTGATTTTCAGATCTATTTTTACTACTGTATTCTTAAAACTGTGTAGCACTGCGGTACTCAAGTTGGAATTTCACAAGAATATTTTATGTAGACCGTTTCTAATGCTAAACAAACTAATACTCATTTTTAACCAAGTGTATGCTTTTTATCCGTTCTAAGTATAAAAGTACGTCTTTATTATGACTTACCAGACTGATCTTTACTAATCCGTTGAGAAATACGATCTATTTGTGTTAATTTCTCGGATAAATTAACAACGTAATCGTGCATGAGTACAAAATCCATATTTCGATTTTTAATCTTGATGGAGCTAGCATAATTTTTGACTTGCTCGATTCTACCACCAACTTTATTAATGAGGCCTGATGTTTGCTTTTTAGCCGAGGTTAGTTCCTAATAGAGGAGTGAAAACAAGTTGCTCTAATTATTTGGAAAAGTACTGTATGTAAATACAAATTGAGCCATTCGCTATTCTGGATATATTAGAAAAAAATCTTTACCCAAGCTTTAGCAGTAAGGAAAGTTTTTAATTCGTCGCAATTGGTCAATTTTTCATGTTTTGCCACTCTTACTAAAAATTTCTCTAAAGCTAATTGCCTTAAATGGATAAATTCTGGAGTAAAGCGATCAAGACGTTTAAGGACTTGTTTCTCAGGTAATGGCTAGATTGAAAAGAATGAGAAAGCAATGGAAAGAACTGAAATTAAAGTGATTTCAAATATCTAGACATATCGACAATTAACTATTTAGAATCAATATTATTGGGTGATGTCACATCCATTTTCTACAAGAAATGACATTATACTTTAAATAAATATTTCAGTCTTACAGGGATAATAACTAATGGGAAATTTTCTGTTAATCGTGTATGAAGCCATAAGAAATCTTGATATCTTCTTCTAACACTATATTCCGCTGCATCAAAGGCAGTTCTTGTTGTCTAAATAATTCAATCAAGATCACCATAACTTTAACAAGTAAATTAATATTGATCCTCGATTATTTTGGATGGTGTAATGGTTTGCATAGAATAAAGTACGTCAGTGTAGTAGCAATGAGGCTATTATAGATGGCTAGTAATCAAATTTGATGGCATACCTACAAATATTAAAAGCACAGTTGCAAAGAAATTTAGGTGCATAACTAGTCGAATTCTTGCTACTTTGAATGTAAAGGATAGGTTCAGAACAATTTATTTATCACCTAAGTATATTAGATATAGGCTACTTCAAATTTTGACAAGACTGATCGATTTTTAAAATGGCGAGTAATTACGTAATGATAGCACTAGAAAGTTTACGACAATAATCAGCATTTATTTGATCAATCTTGAGATAGCCGATTCAATCAGAGGATAATATGTCCGTGCTTGTTAGGTCATAGCCCGTGCCTATTTTAAAGTTTAGTCGTAACGAGTCGATAGTGGTAAAGCTTGTGGAACTAGGTTACGCTCTGTTCTCTATCTTATCTTGAGTTCTATATAGGTATTTCTAATAGGAAGGAATGATGGCTACTTAATAGTATTTTATTGGTCTTGGTTGAGGGAAACAATCCTATCCGTTTTATATCACACTTCAAATGGGATAAACACAAGTTTACGATATTCTAGTTCTATAAGTTATGCTAGGTATCTACGCTCTCTTAGCCTAAAGTATCTTGCCGTGGATGTTATAATAGACAACTAGTGGATACTTTCTTTGCGATGTATAACGTGCTGTTCAGCTTAAAAATTTATAATAACAGTTTTATCGTTAGTTATTACTAAGCTAAAATGATCTGGATAGTATTGAATATTTGACGGTTAAAGGATAGGCTATTGTGCAGCATAAAATTGAAAATTGTGTATACATGATTTTATATCGATCTAGTTATATCTACGCTCTCTTTTCCAAGAAATATTTTTACGTGGATGTTATAATAGATAGCTAATGAATATTTTCTTCGTGACATATTAGACATTGTTTAGCTTAAATACATATACGCATAAATGTATTTAGGTCAAATTATTCGCGATATCTTAGTTGGATTCAACATGAGTTTATAAGTAATCCTTAAGTAAAACAGAATGATAGCTATGACTATTACATAAATTTACGTACCTTAGTAACGACATTATAACTGACATAAGCATCTAAACCTGATCCATGTTTTTCCGGCTGATTAACAGCGATGATTAAATCTGGAATGTCGTTTGGATCTCCGCTTCCAAATGACATCTTCGGATAGTTTTTCTGAGAAAAGAAAATAAAAATAATCAAGACTAAGCTTATGTCATGCAGCTGTAATCATTTTTCTTAAAAATGAAACGCTGATAAATAAATATAAAGAAAGAAGAGACATGCTTCCTTTATTTTTATGTTACTATTGATTTTTCGCTTATTTCGATAGAATATATGGTATAGATATAAAGTTGCATACCACCAATGTTGGCTAATTGGCGACATTAAATAGAATTTTATCGTGACAGTACTAGTAAAGCATCTCTTAATATGAATCTTTTGATTCCTTTTTATTATATGTCACAGTAACTAAAATTTAAACGTAATCGAAAGCCTCGAAAAGTTCAATACTAATAGGATTTTGGCAGAATGTACGGATTTTTAGAAAGAGTTTAAATCATTTTGTGGTCAAGGAAAATGACAATTATGGAACATAGAAGAGAGTAAGTAAAATTCTATTGATTTTTCATCTAAATACTAATCTAAATCTAATCTAAAGACTACGAGATTCAATACTAATACATTTTGGTAGAACGGGTGGACTTAAGAAACCTGGCATGATTTGTGGTCAATAAAATACGATGTGGAACATAGATGACCAATCTAAATCTAATGTAAAGACTACAAGCCTAGTAGAATTCTGGTAGAATATGTGCATTTTAGAAAAACTTGCACTATTTTGTGGCTAAAGAAATACTATCATGGAACATAGAGGAGAGTAAGCAAAATTTTTCTGATATTTGATCTTCTAGAGGAGGAATTCTGCAATATAGGTAGTATTGTTGATCGTCTAAGTTGTTTAATATATATATATATATATATATATATATGCATGTAATAGATTACTATATTGAAACTAGCTATGGCTAGAGTAATCCTTTCAAGCATGATTCATGATCTGTGAAGATTTTACAACTTTATTTTACCTCTTACTGACAGAGATAGCACTTAAAGTCAATAAACCTTGATATTCAATTAGGCAGTTTTGTATCGTAAAATTGGATTATGTCATAGCCGAAATCCATCTATCCGTTATAGTAAGATTGAGTTGGGATACTGAGAGGTAATTATTATGCCAAAATAAAATATTTTTTGCTTTATCGCCTCGAGTATTTATTTTTTACAGTAGTTTTAAATGAATATAAAACGATGTTGGATTTATTTTAAAATCGAACACATAAATAAGGAATGTATTGAATTGATGGTATCTATCTCTGAGAAAATGAAGCAATATTCAATAGCAATTACCCCTAATTTTTCTTCGGCCATCATTTTTAGTCTTTCAGAGGCTTACTTGCAGTCTTGGGTTAATTGCTATCTGTCCAGAATTGGTCAACGCTACTATTCCTTATCTCGTCTAGGTCGTTACAATATAGAGAAGAACATATGTTGATGGCCATTTCGGTCATTTACAACCATATGCTTAAAGCTATTTGACGTATTAATAAAGTATTAAATACATGATCTCATTACTATCGTATATACAGTAGTATATCACTACCGTCAGTGATAGTTTCTTCTTTTAGTTCATCCAAATTTTTATTTATTTGTGCTATATTTTACTGTTTAATAATGGCTTTATCCATGTCATATAATCATTTGGTGATCAATTAAAATTTTCACTATTAATCGTTACGAATTAGATAGTATTCTAAGTTTCATTTCTCTATCGTAACACCCAGTATCCATTAAGGATCGATAATTACTACAGTACTCATATCCAATAAAAATTGTTTACTAAATTGATTCTATAATTTCATCATCTTTTACAGCTTTGCTGCTTGCATTGCATTGCATACGAAATGGTATACAATTATACATTCTTGTTCGTTGAATACTACGTTGTATTTATAGCTTTTATTTCCTTAGATATAGTCTTCTCCGATTGGCTACTAACTAGCATTTCTCCGTATTATACGCTACTGATATCGAATAGTCAATAGACCGGTAGAATAATTAATTTGTTTTGCCTTCCATTTTCTCATATTTTGTGTTGATTTCTTCTATCTTATGCTAGATGTATAGATGGTATTTGTGCCGGCACATTACAAAGGTTGTGTTAATGTTGATAGCTAAAGATTGTACTCCTATTGGAGGTCCACGGGCATAGATGATAGATAACTTGAGGTTATGTTATGGTATAGGTGTATCGTTAGAAAGCCAGTTATGAGTTTTTTTTTACAAAATATTGTTAAAGCATGACTTTCATCATCGTCAGTGATTACTCTTGTTGACCGTTTGTACTATTTATGATTGGAAAAGAAGTTACAACTTAAAGAGATTCACTTAGCCGCAGAGTCTCAGCATTGATACATGAAATCGGACCCTAGTTTACTCTAACCCTAACTCTAACCTAAAAGATGCTCTTAACTGCAGAGTCCCGACGTTGACTTATGAAATTAAAGCATGCTATACGCGTGCAGTAGAAAGGCTAGTTGTGAGTTTTACAAAATAGTGTTAAAGCATGAGCTTCATCGCCATCTCTGAATATCCCTACTGGCTCCTTGCACTGTTTATAATTGAAAGAAAAGTCTAATTTAGGAGATTCATTTCTGCTTTTATTCAAATAACTGTAATGTTGTGGCTTCTAATCATTTGGCAATAGGTCAATCTAGTGATTGTTTTTCTCTATCATGGAATTATACAGTAATATAATTGAAATTTTGGGAAACCTGGCTATTGCAAACAGTCGTCGAGTTATAGGCAATCGGTAATATAGATGTGTCTATAAATTTTTTTGGTCAATTTCCCTGAAACTAATAGCTAAGGCTTTGATTTTATTAATGATGCTTTAAATGGTCTATAGTCTAACATCAGAAATTCGTCAACATTTCTATTAACAACACTATCTCCCCATCTTTTTTTCAGTAGGCTTATTCTCATTTATATCTATACCTAGTTAGCCTAGATCGTATAAAAACTGAGTTAAAGATCAATGATACTTCAATATCACTACGCATCCATTATGAGCTACAATTGCGGAATTTCGACAACGTACTGTATGCTCCTAAGTCTTGTCTTGCTAGCAAATAGCAACTTGGCTATAAGCTGCTGTATTAAAAAATCTATATTAACAATTATAATTAATTATAATATATAGAATTCAACTGTAAACCAAACATAGACGAGTATACGAGCCGCTATTTCAATCTATAAAGAGTGTAGGAGTAGAAATCATCTACTTGATAAAGTTGCATCTTTTGTTTATACTAGCTTTAACTACGTTTACAATTTCTTGTTTCTTATACTTGTCGAGAATGGTACGAAATCTTTAATGCAGTTATTTGCTTTAGCCTAAGATTGTCATACACAAGGCCATCCTGCATTTATACTTACATAGTAACTATAGTCTATTGTAGTTAGCTGTTTCCGCTGTAAGCTGGTTTGTGAGGACATACTTGCTAGAATTCTCTATATTTCCTACATTTACGAGGCGAGTGCCTATTAGCTAATAAGCCACAATATTAGATATATAAACGGGATGCAACATGCCCATAATTATACAACTCATGGAATCTCTCTAGTACTTGTTTCACATGGGATAAGTACAATATAATTTAATATCATAATTACACCATATCTAGAATCCTTTACATGTTTTACATAGGAGAAATACAGTCTTGGCTAATAAGCCACTGTATTCTATATTTTATATAATCAGGGTGCATTGTATACCATGTATAGTTATATATATCATACATGCTATCTAAAGTCCGCTACGCAAAGATCTTTCACCTTCATCTGAAGGAGTGTTTAAGCTAGTATTGTTTAAAATGGAATATATGCATATAGTTATAGCATATCTAGAAACTTTTACATGTTGTACATAGGACTCGTGCAATGCAGCTAATGGACCCTATTATTTATAAAATAAATAAGAATTTTGTAGCAATTGTGAGTCATTAGTCCATGCCGTATTTTGAGGAACATGGAATAGAGAATGTTTATGTCCTCGAATGATGTTAATTGTCGTTAGGGCTATCGCTAAATTCAATACATCCCCGGTTAAAGCTAATTTGATATACAGTACATAAGGACTATATGTTACGTACATTTGCGTATATCTAGAGCTTATTTCTGTTATTTTTAATACGTAAACAAATTCACCATGTTTATTTGTACGTGACAGCACGTAAGCATCCGTTGCACTTTAGTCCTTCTAATTTGCAGTCTAGCCAGGGTTATTTCCTATAGCTGCAAATTATCGTTTATCGTTCTAATATTTTAAAAAATTTGTTTTGCAATTGCATCGATATCCTACTGTGAATTGTCCCCTGAAATATGTTTAACTAAGAAGAGTTTAAAACGTTTTATTCTATTAAGGCTAACTCTCATAATTGACTGCGCTATTTTCTGAAGTTTGAGCTCCACTTTGCTCTTATTATCATCATTCAAGTTATTTTGGCTTTTGCACTGTTAGTAGTAAGGTATTGAAGGCTATTAACTCCTATCCTGTATATTTTTTTCACTTGTTATGAAAATGTTACATTGTATAATTATTATATCATTTATTAATGTACATTTCTACGAAGATTTTAGGAAACATTAATCGGTTTTATCACCTATTATAATATGACTAGTTTTTGTTACTTGCTTTAGCTATCAAACTAGACGCCATTATTTAAAATAATGCAATGCATGGTACAGTATATACGGAATATTTCTTGCTTCATATACGTCCAGTAATAAAGTGTTACATTTTTATCATTGCAGCATCATTTTATCAACATACTCCTACAGCTCTATTTCGTCAATACAGAAAATACTGTATAATCTAACGCACGTATATTTATTTCATCTATTTTAAAAAAATAGATGCTATTATTGCAGTATCATTTTATTGATATAAAACCTCTATTCCTTCAATGCAGAAAATGTTGCATAATGTAACCACAGTAAATGCAGAAAATGCTACATAATGTAATGTTATGAACTAATATAAGAAGCCTTAGTACTAGCAGTCCATGATAATGCGCAATGTATTTATTTCATCTATTTTTAAAATATCAGATGTCTTCATCCAAGTATCATCTCATTGATATCCAAGTCTACTCCATATGTACTAGTACAGTAAACAAAGAAAACACTACATAATATACTGTAATGTACGGTGTATTTGTTTCATCTACTATTAAAATATTAGATGCTATTATCGCAGTGTTATCTTATTAACATGCAACTCTATTCCTTGCGTAGTAAAAGCAGAAAACGTTGCATAATTAACTGCATAATGTCATGCCTGGTATATCTACTTCATCTAGTATTAAAAGATTGGATGCCATCATCACAGTGTCATCTTATTAATATACAGCTCTATTCCATGTATAATAAATGCAGAAAACGCTGCGTAATGCAATGCACGATATTTTTATATCATAACTTATTAAAAATTTTACATGCCATTACCACGGGATCATTTTATTAAAAACAGCGTTATTTCGTGTAGAGGCAATGCAGAAAATAATGCGTAATGCAATTATTACCATAGTAAATATATATTTTGTGACAAAGATACAACACCAGAGATATTCCTGGGTCTTCATCTATCTCGAACTACTCATCAAGATCAGTGATAATTATAAATTTCTCCCTTAACTTTCATGGCAAAAACAATATAGACTTTGTCCATATACGTAAAGGATAAATTAATGAAATCTCTTTATTGTGAAAAGTAACTCGCTTTTATACTTCTATCTATATTCACCAGTAGCTACAGAGTATAAACACACGGAAATTAATATTAATAAACGCTATTGCTGTCGTATATTCTTAGAGCTAAGTTTGTGCTCATGTTCAAAATATATTAGAGCATACATACGAGTATGATATTGGCCATCATCCAATTATTATTTTATTAACGTGCACTCTGTAACATTTTCATCTTTAATTAAAGCTTTATGTGTGTTATGTTATTGTGTTTTATCGATTAGAGAAAAAGATGTCTTCGAAATCAGCACACTCTGGACCTGATTATCCATTACCAAGTGGAATTGAAATGGACAAAGGAAGTCAAACTTTTGATAACGCTAGAGGCGGTTTAAAAGTGACATGGACTGATAAATTAAATCAAAAGCATATTGTAGATCTTACAAGTGAAGATGAAGTTAGCGTAACATTTCCTATTCAATTTGGCGGATCTTGGAACTGGAAGGAATCGGCAGGAAATATGCAAAGGACCGGTTTTAACGCTGCAGTTTCTTGGGTTGCAGCTACATTTACAAGAATGAATGAAACTAATCCAGCAAAAAAGTTTTGGGGTAATCTAACTGGACAACAATTATCTGGATTCTATGTTCGGATATCAGCTGTAGGATTTAGAAATATTCCTGCAGATCAAGGATTTTTAGGCGAATTAAAAGATCGAGTCAAAGATGTTAGTGAGTTTGCTGAGCTAGGAGCGAAAACAGCGGAAGAAGTGATAAAAATCGCCCAAGCAGCAGGAAAATTAAAGACAGGTTGATATTCATCAATTAAAATGGAAATTGGTGTTAAAACTTAGACATTGACGAAAAGCGCATTCGTAAAATTTTGATTTTGATACTGATCATCTAAAACAAACTAGCGATAATTGCTCAATTTCTGGCTTTTGCAAAGCAGATATAACTTAATTTTATTCTTTAAAATTAGTGATGATTAATATAAGCTGTTATTGCTATTCATGAGTTCATATTCGTGTAATTTGGTAGTAATATTCATAATCTAAAATAGACTAGTTACTGAATTCTTGCTGTTATAATACGGGTATAATTTTATTTTATTGTTTAAGTGAGTGATGGTTAATAAAAGTTATTACTGCTATTCGTACGTTCCTATTAGTGAAATTTGATTTTGATGTTTGTTGTCTAAAATAGATTAAGGTTCGAGCCTTTCGTTTTATCAATTTTCGTCCTATACGGATATCTGATCATGCTATCATTCTTGACAATAATGATCCATTATTGTTGCTGTTGCCGCCTCTTTTCATCAGCCATCTTCTCTCTTTTACCTGTCTTGCACATTAAACTTTATCCAGAATTCTTTGTTAGCATAATTGTCTTTTTTCATAAGCAGCAAAACTGATCTTGGCCAATATGCAATAAAAATATTAGTTAATATTCATTATTATCGCTTACCAACTAATCTCTCTAAACTAGTATCCATTTGTATCAATTAGTACCGTATGACTTTGCTCAGCTTATGTGTTGATTTGCCCTATCTTGAACTGGATGTATAATTGGTATTTGTGCTGATGCATTGAAGAGGTTGTTTTAATATTGATAGCAAGAAGGTTGTACCCATATTGGAGGTGTACAACCCAGTTACGGAGAAGTAAGTAGTTAAGGCTGCTGTAATTGTTACGATCTCTGCCGTCAATTGTGATGTTTGCGAAGATTAAGCGATTACCATAATCACAGTAAATTGTAAGAGAATAACTAGGTAAAAAAGTAGTCTTTATTGCAGGCTGTACGACGAGGAAAGCTGTGTTAAGTTACAGCGTGTATAATGACATGACTAGTCAAATAGCTACAGTAAGATAGAATAAGTAAAGCAGGAGGGTTTTCGTGTAACTGGCAGAACTAATTATCGTAATAAGTTGTTGAAGATAGCTTTTATAATGTAAGAAGCACAGCAAAATCGAGTTATTTATAAACACCAATGATTACTAAGAATATCTTACTTCTATGTTAAGGTAGTTTTACGATATCATGCAACTAGAGTATAAAAAATTTCCATGATTTCCACAATGTCAATTATTCATTAAACATAGAATATATAGAGTTGTGTTCCAGTGTCGTGGAAATAACTTTCACTGAGAATAGACTATACCGTATTTAGAAGCATATACTACAGCCGTCATACTTAAATTTGTATAAAACGTTTATTAACACTGCTTTTCTTACCTTTTGTCCATATTGTAGAATAATTACATGTCAATTTAAATGGCAAAGCAAACTAATATTCATATATAAGTTCTGTCTACTCGTTATTACTAATGAATAACTGGCGATATACTTTAATCGTAAATTTGTAGCATCAATACCGGGCTAATTGTAGCTGTCAAAATGGCTATTACCATTAGTTTGTTCTACTCGATAACATGGGTTGATCTTTCGTGACCAATGAAGGGTAAACAAATTACTCTTTGCAAATTTTTACTCATAGCAGTTTATTATTTACATCTCTAATTTTATTTTTGACTAGATTAAGGTCATGTTATCATAATATGTAATAAATAGAATAATTTACTTCAGTGATCAATATGTTATTTGCTCATAATAATATAAAATATCATTTTGTTCGGATTATCCCATTAGTTGATATCAACTCAACTTTAAAATATGCCCAAAATTGAAATATCAATTTAGATAACCAAAAGCGTTCCAAATAAATTTACTATATGGACTGATACATAATGTTGAACGCTGAAAAGATATAATTGTGTAAGTTGAATTAGGCCTAAACTCGATGACTTCTCAATTCGATCTATGTCTCTGCGGAGATATCCTTCTACTGGTATATATATATATATATGATAGAGGAATTTCAACGGAATACAAGTTTGATTTTTGAAGGAAGGGGAGACATCGAAAATAATCAATCATACAGCAATGATAGAGTTAAGCTGAGTGTAGTGTACAATGTACAGTACACTACAGTATGCACTGTGGGTACAGTAGATTCAGCAGCCGTCAACAGCTGTGGAAACGCATGCGTCCAGCCAAATGGATCCTATTACAGTATGGACTTCAACCGGCGTACGCGACACGCCGGTAGCAGTGTCCAACTGTCCGTTCCGCAGCTGAGTGTCAGTGTCAAAGTGACACTGCTATTTTTGGACGACTGACTTGCGCACTGAAGTGCTAGTACTGTACCGGTACGGTACTGGTAACAGCGCGACAAACGCTATTTTTGGACGAGTGACTCGAGTACTCCAGTGCTAGTACGGTACCAGTACGGTGCTAGTACGGGACCAGTACGGCACCAGCACGGCACCAGTACGGCACCAGTACGGCACCAGTACGGTACTGGTAACGACACGACAAATGCCATACTATACTGTTCTGTACACCACATAGAGTATATAGTCCTGTAGAGTACAGTACTCGCCCCACGGTATCCCCTTCAAGCAGACCATTTCAACCGTGGAAGCTTAGGTGGAGGGGCACATCGCAAGCCGCTGGTCGCCTTTCCAATGCACTTTCTAAATGGCGTCCAGTGATGATCATAATAATGTAACTCTCGACGACGATTCTTGTTGTACCTCCGATGGTGATCAGGATAACGAAGATGAGTGGATCGCTTACCTGATGAAAAATGATGAATCACCTGAAATTATTTATCAGCCTAAAATCAAGCATGCCAAATTGATTGGTAATCGCTACTTGAAGGGCGGTGTGTTAGGAGAAGGCGCTTACGGCAAAGTGAAAGAAGTCTTGGATACTTATACCCTAAAGCGATTAGCTGTTAAAATATTAAAGAATGCAAAATTGAAGCGAATCCCCAATGGCGAGCAAAATGTCCTACGGTAAGGACCCATTTCTATCCTTGCCCATGTTGTTGAATGCTAGGGTATAGTCTTGTAGTCGACGTGCTCTTCACCCAATATACATGACCTCAATCGTCATACTCTTACCATGCGATACCACGACATACTATTTTGCACATACCTTGCCTTCCTTGCATCATCCTCGATTGCAGCCATAAAGGCCACTCGCCATCATGATTGTCCAAATCCAATTTCTTCTCAATCCGTTTCATCAATAGCTACTCTCTTTCAATCCCCTTTTTTCCTTCCATTTATCCATCAATGACACATTCATCAGGACAAGGTTTATCCTTGTATTGCCATTACCATTTCACCATCGATTCCATCTGCGTCATCATCATCATCCGATTGTATTCCATCATCATTTCCCTCTTCTATTCTCAACGCGTCCATCTTCAATCTTTGTCAACATCATTGCCAATGGTGAATAAACCACCCATCAAACCTAAAGTATGACTCAAGTCAACCGTACCCTAGGACAATTTTCACACAAACTGCACTAATACTTTGAGATATTTTCCCTTTGGCTATCAAAGAATCATCCGACACTATAAAGGTGGAATGATAATGGATCAAGAGTTGTTGACGCTGATTGTTATTTTTATCATCTATCCAACATCTTTTTTCAACTTGACACCATTTGCTTGCAATCCTGCATGACAACCATAGTCCCAAAAAAGGATATAGCACTATGCTAGCAAGTTCTGTCGATATTTTTCAAATACACTCTTGCTATTATTTTCATGAGTGTTTTTTTCCCCTTAGTCATCGCTACACTCCAATAAAACTACACAAGGTCTATCATGAAAGCCTTGTCGTATAGTGGTATTACTTAAAGGCATTGCCATAGGGGATAACCAAATATTCACTTAATCCATTCCTTTCACTGTAAAGTTTGAAGGTGAAAAAGTGCTATCACTCACTTGTTTGTATAGATTATGACTAAAAATGGATTTTATGCTAATGGGCTGTCTATCCTTGCCGTGCTGAGTCCATGGATACTCATCACTTTTTGTTGTTGTCATGGTACACTGCGTAGGTTGTTGGGCTGCTAGAAAATAGATGATCGGCTTTAAAAACAATCACGAGAACACCATCTTTTCCTCTGTTTGAAAGATAAATTATATCGTGACCTGATGGACACCTTGTTCGCTAGAGTTGCATTCCTTCTTACATTGAGAATGGATAGATTGCAACATAATAGAGCTAGAAAAATGAAGTTTATTTATTTAGTCAAATTTATAGTTGATCATAATTACAACATGAATTTTGCTAATATTAAAGTGCTCTTCTACCCAAGACCGCTAAACTGTAGTTTATACAACATTTCCGATATTGCTATCGGCTACGGCTGATGTTTGCTTTCGTCAATGTTGCCATTCCACTATTTCCATCCATGCTATCCTCGTTCCTTCTTCCCTTTGAGACCTAGTGACATGCTTACGGTAGCCCATTCTATCATCGCTAAACGTGTTAGTATTGAATTATACCACACATTACAAGAGCATTGGAGATACGTAAAGTGCATTCCTATTCACACGCACAACTATCCATAGTAATGGAGCTATGGAAATGGAAAGATTGGATTGGACTACGCTTTCAATTAAGCTTAATGATGATCGCTAATGGAGATTCAATCGTTGAGCATATTAACGCCAAAATTGGCTATTGTCATGCCAACGCGATATCGTTTACGTGATACAAATCATGTTGATATTAGGCACCAATCACTCTTTTCGACAGCTACAAATGATAACTTTTTTATTCGATGTCATGGCCATTTCGATCATCTTGTTAACAACTCAGTAATAGAAGCGATCATTTTTATTCTTGACTTACACTGAGAGAACCTTGGCATAAACTCTACTGTACACATGTATAGATCCATTGCTATTGATCATTCTACCTTATCACTGCTACTTACCCGAGTTATTAATATTTGATATAGACATCATTAGGGTTTTCGTTGTGAAATAGAAATGTTACAGTAGCTTCAATTATTTGCTGTTATACAGTATTGTATGAAAACTGTATAAACAATTGCACATAGGCTATTATTTTCTTTCCTCTCATTGCTGCAGTTGGCGTGATGCTTTTATTCGTGTGGAGAGTAAAAGTCTTATTCTAGGGCAAAAATTGGATATTAATTAATTATTGACATCATCACTTGACGGTAATCAGAACGTAGCTTGAATTGTATCTCTCCTTGTGCAATACAATTTCAGTTCAAAGTACTTTTGAAAATAACCTCCATTTGAACATCACATGATTCGATATTTCCTAAAAGTTGGACATCAATAATAATGGCGAAATAGAAGAGCCGATAGTTAGGAAAAAATGGGAGTTGAGTTTTCCAGTTTCATCAACATAATAGTAATCATCAATTTTTTAATATTACTCTATCGGATTGACGGCGATGGATTCTATCAAAAATCGATTATAATAAATCGTAAAAGTTACTTTGTAGCTTAGCAACAGAGATTAGCTAGAACTGCCGGTATAGTATTTTTCAAATCTATATGGTTCTAATATCTGCATGACATTGATCTCTGCATATGGTCGGTACTATTCTGTTTTTACGTCGTATTTCGCGATTGGTTAAAGAATGCTTTCATGATTAAAATGAACCGTTGGCTTAGCTAATTACTACAGTATAGACAGTGAGAATTTTACGATCTGTTTCCGTGAGGAATTTTTGATCAAAGATCGCTTAAGCAGTGGTATACGCTTACTACAAGGAAGAGCTTAATCCAGGCGATGGGATCGTAAATATTTACAGTTAGGAGTATTACGATACCAACTGGGAATGCATCCCTGCACGTTTCCATAGAACCTTATCATAATTAGCCTACGTGATTCTTCTACAGTATTAAGTTAAGCTGCATGATTAGGAATACTATTTTAAAGTCATCGATGGATGCTTGATTACCTACAGGTTAAGTGGATATTTTTCCAGAGTATATAGTAATCATGACTCAATCTTGGAAAATGATCTATTTGCTATCGCTCAATCCTTTACCCGGCAAAGTGACGTTATATTTTAATAATGATATTTTAGCATACGTACTACATGCATAATTCGATGAAAGTTTTTATAAATACCGTGTCATAGCTGCGTCGTAAAGCATCCTTATTATTATTCTTGAAGTTTTCACGTAGGCTGATTGTTTACTGCATTTCTACCTGCTGTTAGTTATCTAATTGTTGCTCCTGTAATGTTTTCTACAGTAGTATCGACTAGTAGCAATACTGTATGATCTCCGCGATAGCACCTCACAATCTGTTGCAAGTATAACTTTTCCCGAAACAATAATACCATGGATCATTGCTACTGCTTACGCGTATACGTTGTTAATAAAGCGCTGCGTTTCTGTCAATAGCTATATCCATGCATTTTCAAGACTGTATTAGCCTATTCTGTTCATTGCAATTGTTGTTATATCGTTATAGATAAAATAGAAATTGATTGGACTTATGCTAACCGAAAACTATTTACATCAATCATGTCTAGGGAGATACGACTACTCAAAGGTTTATCGCATAAAAATATTGTCACGTTATGTGAAGTTGTTACCTGTGATGAGAAGCAAAAAAGATATCCTTTTGAAAAGTTTCTATTGAAAGACTAATTTTGCTGATATGTTTTGTTAGCTCTGAGTTATAAGGGCTATACTTTAAAATTTCGAATAGTTCTCGTAAAATAAAAGTTCAATTTAAATATTACAGATCACAAGATTTTATTATACTTTCCAGTAAGGTCATTTATGAAGGTATCAATTTTAGTGATTTAACGTAATATCTCAGTAAAGGATGCTGCTATTCACTAGCAAATTCTAATAGAATCCATATGTATCTGTGCAAGTATATTGTAAACTATTAATTTCAGGGGTAAAATTGTTATAAAGTTACCTGTGTCAATTTGAATGTTGTATAGTAAGTGTTTAATTAAGGTAGCAGTTGGTATTACAAAGTAAATATATTAAAATACAGTAGACAATATACAATCATAAAAGACTGTTTATTATAATTAAATTTTCAACAGTATGCACAACTTAGTTGTAATATCGATAAAGATTAGATTATTCATCGTACAGCTTTAAACAGCACTCAGTGATTTTATAAATTCGCGTTTACATTTTCGTAATTTTTGCAAAGTCATTGATTTCGTACATTTAGTGTAATTTATACCAGTACATACTGTAGTTAATTTATCGGTTTGTGATAATTAGCATCATTATTATACTCGAGATTCTTGCTAGTGCTACGTAAGGAAGGGTTTCGTATATTATGAATGATTTTTGTTATTAAAATATTGCAAGAAAATTGAAGTTCCATGTTATGGCCAATTGTTGATAAAAGCAGCTTGCAGTGCTTATATCTATGTCCAAATTTACACTGTTTGACAATAATTTTTAATTAGAATTACCAAATTTTATTACGGATGGGTTGAAAAATTTTCTTTGACAAATGTCAACATACATGATAATGGAATATTGTTTTACCGTGATGCAAAGCTTGTTAGAGAAAACACCCAGTGGAAAATTTCCGTTGTGGCAAGCGCATTTGTTAGTAGTACTGTTATGAAATTAAATTACTATTCTCATTTTACTCTCAAAATTTTATTATCATAACTCTTGTTTTACTCTTTAGTCTAGTCGCTGTAATTTTACTTTTTAGGAAGCTTCTAATGTAGCTCCCTTAAGTACTTGTTTCGAAATAGTAATGTTAGTATCCACTTATACTTCGAATTAGGTATTTTGCTCAGTTGGTCAATGGTTTAGACTATCTTCACAGTCGACGAATTATCCATAAAGATGTTAAACCAGGGAATTTGTTAATTACCCATGATCAAATTTTAAAAATCACTGATTTTGGTGTCGCAGAGGTATTTATTCCAAATGCTAGTAATAAATTGATTCATTTCGTTAGTATTGTATGTTATATCCTATTGTTTATACGTGTGTTGTTATTCATTTTTTAGGAGTTGGATCTATTCGCCTTAGACGATAAGATTTCTACAAGTCAAGGTTCGCCGGCTTTTCAACCGCCCGAAGTTGCCAATGGACACGATACATTTTCTGGATTTAAGTTAGATACATGGGCTGTTGGTATAACACTGTAAGATTCAAGTCAAATAGGAATATCTCCGAGATAATGATAGTAATCTTTCCTCATTCATGTTGAAATAAATTTAGGTTTAAGATGACATCTGGTGTGTACCCATTTGAAGGTCGTACTGTGTTTACATTGTTTGAAAATATTGGCAAAGGGCAGTATACTATTCCTGATGTTCTTAAGCACGAGAGTGAATTAAAGGATTTAATTAATGGTTAGTAGCACTCATGTACTGTTTTAATTATCTGGTCTATTTTCTACATATTCAAATTAAATTATGACATGGCGTATACTGTACATATTATTTTAGGCATCTTAATGTTAGATGAAAATGAAAGGATGGACATTTGGGCGATAAAAGTGCACTCGTAAGCTATTTTATCATACAGTAATTTTTTTTTGCAAGCTCTGTTCCCATGCCTCTTTACTGATAGTTGGTGTGATTGCTTTATAGATGGACAAGAAGGAAATTTATTAAGACTGCTGAATTTATCAAACCAAACGATAATGATGATATGTCTGTCCTTCCGTACTTAGAGGCCTTGCATCCTGAAAGTGTAGTACCGGATAATGAGGAAGACGATAATGTTTTAAATCGTAAGTTGTATAGAAGAATGTGAAATAGAAAAATCGAATTCTAAAGTAAATTTTGATGCCAATTTATACTATAATGATGTAGTCATTAAAGATGTCATTTCGTTAAATTTTAGAGTCAGGGACATCAGATCATTTTCGAAATCATGCCAACGTTAGCAATAGTAGTGCAAATCAATCTTCAGGAATTGCTCCGCAAGAAAAAAAGTCCAGAAAAATATCTGGCTGTAAATCGCAATAACAATGGTTTAGACGCAATACAATATTATATTTTTTTTTGGCCAAGATGATTCTCAAATGCATTACCTGTAGTCAATTTATGAAATTTATTTTTAAAATTTGTATAGTGCTTAAAAATCTGTTGATATTTGATAGTATGATGACTAGCTAGTTTCATTTATTTTCTATATATTAAAGCTAATGATTCAACTCGAAGGAGCGGGAAGAGTTGCAGATCGCTGTAATTAAAATACTAGTTCTAAGAGCTTTCAATTGATATGTCTTCATAATTATCATGCTGTTGGTTGTTTTGAATGCGAAAGGTATTCATTATATGTGGAAAGTGTATTATTTTAGTATTTCAACCAGATTGGTTTGACTGGCGCCGGTTATATAAATATAAATATATAGAGAGTTATGAAATTGTAATAGAATTTTGAAGCGGTTTCCGAAATTCGTGATTATATTTGCATAAGTGTTCAAATACTGTAAGTTGTTAGAGCAATTTTGAAATGCTGTTATGTATTGCATTAAGTTACTTTTGGTATTTAGAGATGGAACTATTTACTGTATATTCTAACCTTAAAGTATTGTAATATACCGTACTAAAAATACGGTCATGATTACGCTATTGTATTATACCGAATTTTTACGTATATATATATTATTGTCATATATATATGAAGACGTTTATGGTGTCAAGAATATATTCGTAACCGAGGCTTATTATTGTATTGTTTTCGATATACGAGTATTAGCGAATGGATCCCAATCTAATTAATTAATTAATTAATTAATGTATACAATCCCTGATACGTAAATTCGCTTTAACGTTACAAATTTATAACAGTTACTTTGATTTTACATGACGCCGTTTGCGAAATTTGTTCTAAAATAAAATCTGCTACTACTTGGTGGGCAATTTATGCATATCGATATAATGGTATTCTTTAAAATTTCGTATACTGTTAGACAATATTTTATCAACTTCGAAATGCTTAAATAAAATAGAAACTACTATGTTGAAATCATCTTCAATTGGATGTCAAAATTTTGGATAAATCATCGCTTTTTGTGCACTATTATCTTGTCTGATAAATGTATTAGTGATAGGTACGATATACGCTGGTAAAATAAATTATTTTATTGGACGATTAATGCATGATACAGAGTTATCGAATGCAATAATGGTACATTATTACTTTATTATAGTTAATGAACGGTTTGTCTATTTACATGCTGTACACAAATGCAAGTTTATACTTGAAAGAAAATTTAACCAGTATCCGCTGCATTAGTTTCGTACAATTTTTGTAAAATTAGGAATTTTAAGTGGGATTTATCAATATTTATTAAAATTCCGGTAGAACAGGGAGGATTAAATTGCCAAATTTTGAATCTTGACCAATGTAATAGCCTGGTGTGGTAGTTCTAGCGTGCTATTATAGTATTTGATAGTGAATAATTCATTTGTTATGATAAAAATTGAAAATAGAAGTAAATTGGTGGCATGAGAGCGCACCAAATTCTAAAACTAGGTCATGCCAATCGCTAAAATAATCCATTCTAACATTCATCTTTACCTGCAATGCGAGGGATATTTGATCATTGGAGCTAGCTGGGGCTGGAGGATTGTGGGAAGTATTTGCATCTTTACGTATCTATATCAAGTATGTGTTTGTTAAAATAACGTGGCGTAAGGCTACAATTACTGTCTACTACTGTAAATACTTTGATAAAAATGTATGACAAATACGCGTATGTTATTAATAGTATTGTGGATTTTTATTTGCTAGTATTAAATTCATAACTTCATAACTTCACTGCAACTATATTACTGGCTTATAAAACGTATAGTATATATACAATAATTAGAATGATTTATTTGCAATGGAAATATCCCATTGTATTACTTACAGATGATTCTACTTGATTTCCGGGTATTAAAGGAGGAGGACCTGCATTTGGAGGATTTCGGAGACTTCTTTGTTGTTGAGGGACCCTAGCCATAAATTACGATGTTAGAGATCGTAACTAATATCAACATCATTTTTTAAACTATTATTAAAAACGTGGTGCGGTGCGTATTACTGACTACCGTAATAACATGTATGTAGGTAGGTGTAGAAAATTATGATTCGATGACACGGCGTAGACTATCACTACTTAGAAGATATCAATAAAATTGAAGGTTGATAACCCGCTAAAGACTGTCGGATGTAATCATTATGTTTATTAATTATTCAATTTAAGAATATGAATGGTATGTATCAGCACCTGTATTATACAAATACACCTGATACATCCATCAGTTATTATTAAATAATACAGTAACAGTAGTAAAATTCAAGCGAGTCAAAAACGGTAGATTGTTTAGAAATAAGTAGTAATCGTTCGGTAATTTGAGGATATCAAAGTTTTCTCTACTTCATCGTAAATTAGTACACAACGGATGACTATCATCGTGTTGCCTGTCTTATCTTGGTAGAGGGACAGTTAATATAGGTACTATCGGAGACTGTCAGTAGGAGTAAATATTAAATAAGTTGCTGTATTGTTGTAAATTAAAAAGTTAAGATAAAGGAAACTTTGCAATTGTAAAAGCTCCTTTGAGCCATCTGCGCTAGTTGGGCCTATGAGATTTTACATTTTCCAATGTAAAATTATACGCACAAAAGGGAACAATATTTTTCAAATCCTTGTCAATATTTACAATAGTTGCAATTACAGCTACATCGACTGCGTTTAATAAAATACGTATAAGATGGTGTTGCAATATAAATCAAGTTACCAGCTGAATCGCAAGTGATTTACCTATGAGCTGTCGCAGATGCGGGTCCCTGGCTTCTAACGTTAGGTCGTTTAGCAGCACCATCTTTTTGAAATGCTCTTCGATTATTGATTTGATCTAAAAACGAGTACAGTACGCATATATTTATTGCAGCGGAAATTATGTACGTTATGCTATACGCATTGAATCAATTGATCAAGTACAGCAGTCATGTTTGTTTATTTCCAAGTTAAAGCGGCTGTTGATTGTTATTTATAAATCATCTTTTGTAGATGCAATTTTATACGCGTGTTTCTGCATATCGGTAATTACTGTATAGCATACACCGTGTATACTCGGTAATCCAATATTCAATGGTTATACAAGTACTGTATAATATAGTAAAGCAAGATATGAGTCTATGACGAAATAGTTGACCGACAAAATTTGAAAGTTTTCAAGGCTAATGATGTAAAGTCAGCATTGGAAAACTGAACTGTGAATTAGGTTTGCAGTACCTAAGATACACGTGTCTACTTTATGTTTAATACATATCTGTGATCAATTGCAGTTAAAAATTAGTCAATTAATGTTATCCTACCCGATTATATTTGATAATAAAATAGCCACTGATTCAGTCATGCAAGAATCATGCATATGGCTCTGCTGCATGTTCATATCGTATCTATCAACACTTTCTACTCTATCTGTATCAAGAAAGACTTTAGTATCAATGACAATTACATCCGACGTACAATAGGAGAAGCCCATTGCAGCCCATTTGACATTGCTCAATTTACATTCGATTCTGTATATATACATATATGTGCATTTACTGGGTATAGAGGAAATCCTAATTATTGCAAATATCAGTATTGAAGACTTTTGCGGTACTGCGAAGTTCATGAAGGGCCTATGAAGGGTTTTTATCGCATTTTTGAAAAACTAACAGTATTGATGGAAACTATATTCGACGTGGAAGAAGTCCATCGGAGACAACTTGAAACTGCTGTATCGGATGACCATCTACTATGCAAGGAAATTAATAGTGTTGCTAATGTCAGTCTAGGTCCATGGAGGATTTGTAGTCCTTTTTTAGATATTAACCGTATTCACGAAAAGTCGCATTCGACGTCGAAGAGTTGGATTGGGGCCAATTTGAAATTGCTAGTCCAATGATAATAACTCACTCTACCATAGTCAAAATATTTCCTCTAGTTTATCAGCTATTTCTATTTCTGTAGAATTAGCACAGAAAGTACCTGTACAGGATGATCCATGGTAATTTGCTCGATTTGATGTACTGTACAGCAATATATATATATAAGTTACCGTCGTTAAGGAAATCACTCAATACTGATATCAGTACTATGGATGATGTGAGCAATAGTACAGAACATGGCCCATCCATCAAGGTCCATGGCCAATTTACAGGAATTTATTTGAAGTTAAGTGTATTGATGGAAACTCCATTCGACGTAGAAGAAGTATATCGTAGTCGATTGGAAATGATTTACTCTAATCATGATCCACAATGCAAGGCGATCACAAACACTAGCATGGTGGATGGCGTTGAAGTCGTGTCCAATGGCCATGGACGAAGATTGTCGTGTTACCTTGTTGTATACGAGTTGATCGTGTCTAATTTTTATTTTTTTACAACAGTACAAGCTCAATGCGATGGTCGATGAAAGCGATATATCAAAGGTCTTTAGTCACTATAGTAGTCAAGGAAATCCTGTCTTACCTGCAGACATTTCTTGATGTAAAATGGCAGTTGAAATCAATGGAAGATGGAATAGCAACTGGCTTCTGCTCGTGGCTTACTCTCGAGAATTGAGCAACGCAAAGCAATCACACTGAAGGCGATTTACCCTTAGAGTGCAATTTACGATGGGCTACAATACTTTGTACGACAGAGAGATGTATTGTACACTGTACAGTACAATACGTACAGTACAGTACTGGTACGAAATGATCACTCGTACTGTACACTGTACAGTAGTGTTCACTATAGGCGAAAGAAATAGACTACAGTACTGTACTGAGTGTTGCGGTACTGTACTACTGTATACTGTACAGTCCAGAACTGTTACGGGTCGACTTCAGCACTGGACTTCGTTCTGTCAGTCTGTCCGGTTCAATGCACACTTGCAGTGAGTAGAATCTAAAGGAATAGAGATCGGTATAGTACAGTACAGTATGAGTACTGGTACGAAATGATAACTCGTACTATACTGTATACTGTACTGTACTGTCTAGGCGAAAGAAAATAGACCACCGTACTGTACGCGTCGACTCCAGCACTGGACTTCCTTCTGTCAGGCTGTCCAGTTCAATGCACACTGGAACCATCTCTTTTGGAAAATATTCATGAGCTTGGAAGACATTGAGTAGTCGATGCTGAAAGGTTCCAATGGACTTAAAACACACACCCTAAGTACTGCACAATAATGCACAGTAGTGTATATTGTACAAAATGAGGCCTTGAGGTATCAAGTAGAGCAACCCCATCAATGACAAGATATAATGGAAAACAACGATAGTAGAGCACATTTTCTCTACTACGTCATACGAGTGATTTGAAATGGATGTAAAACAAACTGCTGATAGGCATCTTTTCAAATCATTAGACCGATTGATTTATAGGGATAGGCACATATTTCCCTATATCAACAAATCTGTTAATACGTTGGAAGCTTTCCTTGGCTCCTTTGGAGTCTTTTTTGTTCGTCCCTAGAGACTCCCAACAGTGCAGCCTTAATAGTACAGTAGGGGAAAATCCAAAACAAGAATTGCAATATTTCTTTTCTCATTCTACCAACAATGGCTCGCATATCAACTGCTATTGTGAAGGATGTATCGACTGCGCAAGTGCAGGTGAGGGAATGCCCAAGAGAGGACCCATTGGGATTGAACAACACCACTTACTGACGACCATTTCCAGTGTGTTATACTGTAGTCTATTGTATCGATGTCTGTACTGAACAGTAGACAGTAAGTATTGTGGTCCAATGTCGAGTCAGCTTACGGACTGTACTGGACCAACCGGGACCAACTGGACCGTAGTGGACTTGGACAGTAGTCACAAGACAGCATTGGACATACTGTTGAAAATCGCAAGCACAGCAGCAGCAGCATCCAAAGGCTTGGCGTTGAATAAAAAGTGGACTGGATTGGGTAGGCAAGAAGAAAATTCAACAACGTTTCCACTGGCCAAATCGATTTTAATCTTGTCATTGAATCAAGTTTGACTATTTTATCGTTGTTGTTGGAGTTACGACTGTCCTGTAGAAGATACCTTGAGGTAAGTTGTAACACAGACTTGAAGTTTGAAATCCCTATCGATTGCAAGCTGTTGGTGTTGAAGGCCAATTCGTCCATTGCTCCTTTTTTTTCTGCCAACCATCCAAGAATTGTAGACGTACTGTAAAATGTCTGTATCAAGACCAAGCACCGATACCAAATGGCAACAAAAAGATGCTGCTGATCAAAATTTCGATTATATGTTCAAATTACTTATCATTGGTAATTCCAGTGTTGGTAAAACATCTTTCTTATTTCGTTATGCCGACGATACATTTACTCCCGCTTTTGTCTCTACGGTTGGTATTGATTTCAAGGTAAAGACCGTTTTTCGTAATGATAAACGAGTCAAGTTGCAAATTTGGGATACTGCAGGCCAAGAACGCTATCGAACGATTACTACAGCGTATTATCGTGGTGCTATGGGCTTTATACTCATGTATGACATTACCAATGAAGACTCTTTCAACGCTGTCCAAGATTGGTGAGTAAAAAGTCAATGTGTGTCGATTGTTGACGTAGTCAATCAATGCCTAAGCTGCGATCTTTCATCGCTAGCATTTGATCCCCTTGACTTTCTTTTGCACCCTTTGTGCTCCTACTACGCCTTCCATTATTCCATTCCAAGCTGGTACATGCACAACTGCTTACGATCGCATGGCCATGATACAATCGGCATTTTATACGCTAGAGGATAGCTTTTCCTCCAATGCTATCGATACAACATCAATTCATTGGACATCCAATTCTTTCTTCAGTGTAAAAGAAAAAGAGTCAATGTTAGTTTATGCCAACTTTCTCGATCTGTCATGGCTTCTTCTCCAGTCAAACCACTCACTGTTGATGACTGTACTATACACTAGGGTCAATAACACTCACTACGCTATACTGTAATGGTATAATGTACCATACTATACTGACAAGTACAGCAAACTCACCACGGTCGAGTAGAGCTTTTTCTCCATTCACTTCTACTGCTCCCAAGCTCAGTAGGGGGGGAAGAAAATCTTCTCGACGCCTTCATTGCAGTTGGATTTCTCTCTTTTTTTTTTTTTTTCCCCCCAATCTCTTCTCCTATTTAAAACATTTTAATGCAATATTCAGCTTTAGAAAGTATTGCCTACCTAGGAGTCTCTCATCAAGAATGAAAAAGAGTATCGTAACCATAGCATACAGTCTTTTTCCACAAGTGGACACGATGACCATTGTACTAAGGCATGCCATCTTCTCCACTCCAAAATCAATGCGATCCATTGAAACAGCTTGTGCCAATAAGTTACTCTTCTTTCTGACTTATTTCGTCGTAGCCAATTCTTTTCTACTGGGAAAAAGGACCATTTCAATCGAGATACAAGGATTACATCGATGTGTATTGATTGGTGTGTGCAATCATTTCCACTGAAGGATCAATAGGTTCGCTTTGATGCGATCAACTAGTCTACACACTGAGTACATAGTCGATGTGTCCTTTTTCAAAACATCAGTCGTATACGAAATGGATGATTTAGCCTGATAAATTGTCTTCCACACATGGACTTGACACCAGTGGATATCATGCAATGCAAGACTACTTTTCCAGTCCTAACAATTGTTATTAATTGACTTGACGATGAAACAAAATAAGCCTTAACGTTCAATGGATGTCGTACTCTATCGGATAGGCACGCAATAACTAGACGAGATAGTCTAGAATACTATGATAATAAGGAGTGGAAAACGGTCTATGTTTCGCTATAAAAATAATAATAATAATAATCAACGCGTAAGCCATTTCAGAGCGAGCGATAATAACGAATCATCCAATGACCATTTTGTTAATCAGTACACCCATTTGGCAATGGGTGTATAATGGAAACGTTGTACTGTAGAATCTTTGCCAATTTCAACATTGCAAAGCATGCCATTGCAATGTTCTATTCTAGTACAATGCTGGATAGTTTCTCACTGTAGGGCTTCTTAAACCACCATTTTCCTTGAAAACAATATGTACAATAGTGGGTAGCAGTTGTCCATTCATAATAGCTTGATCGCTTACAGTGATGCCATTACCTATCATCACTCAAATACGCAAGAGAGATTTTATTGCATCGCTTGGTTAAGAAGATCCAATTGTGCAGCCCAGTAGTAGTCTTGATGAAAATAAGTTGCTTTAACGTATCACCATCATCATTTTTTCCCCCTACAAAATACCCCCTTTGTAAACATTTAAAGTATAGATTTACTCTAGGTCATGATACAGAAAGTGATTCACGAGTATTGACATTATTTTTATTCAAGCACCTTACAGCAACGTACATTGGCTGCTTTCTTTAAAACTGCGGTAGACAACATTTCCCAACCAAACAGTAGTATTAGCGTATTGTTCGATTAGGATATTTACACTTTAATCGCTATGAAATAGGTGTCTACAGTAGTAGCACGATATCATTGACATCAAGTTCAATATTTCATTCACTGGCTCTAATTGATAGAAGTAAAATCTGCTGGACAGTATTGCCAATAGTTACTTTTAATTCACTATCTTCCATACATTCCACTAACAGGGCTGTAAAGGCTTTTATGTAAAATTCTTTCTTGACTTTTTTTATTCATTTGTATCGTTGTTGTTCAACATAATAATGTACTGTACTCTACTTCTTGACATTATTTTGTTTGAAAGATCGCATTGTACCTAGTGTAAAGTAAGCATCGTTTGTATAGCGTTCATTTTCCCTCATTACTATCTTTTTTACGCTAGTCTCTTTATCATAGAGGTAAGAAAGGCTTTATTTTCTCTTATATTGGTAGTGATTTTACAGCGGATAGTATACGCCAACGGTAGCACTTGCGACATAAGAATACGTCTTGTGCAATGTATATTTTGCAGTACTGTATGGGTGGACTTTTGTACCTGCAGTATAGTAGAGTAAAGTATGCCATCTATTTTACGGCACTGTAGAAAATGATCAGCTCAGTGCTTAAGCGCAAAAATATGTCTCTTATTACACCGACGCTCTTGATGAAATAATCATTGACAACACCCTTGATGATAGTGTTAGTAGCGCAACTGGCATACTGACTGTAAAACGTAATCACTCAAATTAAGATCGCTGTTAAGATACTTGAAATTTTTCTACTTATTAATTAATTATGTTACACGGACTTTGGATACGCGTCGAAAACTCGTCGTCCACTCTGGAAATGTTGATGATTCTGGGTGTGTCATGGCATGATTGTATCTGATGTCATACTCGTGTGTACATATGGTTACTTTAAGTTAATAGATTAGTACATTAATCGATAGTAGACTATACACCACCTGACAGGCTACGTCAATTCATTACAGTAATTAGTCATTGCTCAAACGTTCTCAACGTTCAGATGTCGAGTTACTTGGATACTGGATAAACTGCTAAAGTAAAAATTCATCTATGATGACGAATCATAATGGCTCGTTAAAAATGAAAAATTAGACATGATACCCAATAGAGGAGAATTCCCTCTCTTTGTGCTTCTACGTAGTTGATATAATAATACTGTCGTGCTATGGGACGACAGTCGATGTAAACCCTGCATAAGTTGATGATATGACATACTTGATGGAGAGTATTTTCTCATGTCTTATGAAGAGATAGCCTTCATGCAAATGGGTGAAGTTAAAAAGTCCCCTTTGAGGAGCTAATGTTGATGATGATAAATTTGTACACAATGCGAATGGAACATACTGTAATTATATAACACCACCATTGATAAAGATGTAAAGCTAATTTGTAATGATGGTGTGGTATTTTCTTCCTCATATCAATTCACTAGAAACAGCAGAAATGATGACATTTGCATATTATAATATCGTAGTAGAGCTATCTTCTCAAAATGATCCTATCGATAAACTGCAGTATTTTGCTTTAATAGGTACACGTATACTATTGATTTTATGCATGATAATGAAATAACATGCTTTAACATGTTGAGAAATATAAACGCGATTGCTATAGACTGCGCTTCTTTCTATGGGAAGATAAGAGTAACGCACCTTAGTTAGCTAGATTACAGCTTTGATTGTATGAACAATTTTTGCCATCATTACATTATAGTACCATAGATATTTACTGTAATTATGAAGCTACTCGGTATCGCATCTATAAATCTTTAAATTTTCAATAGTATTATAATGATTTATCTAAATTTTTTACTTGCTATTGCTGTGGAAGATTTCTCTTCTTAATTGCATCAATTCCATCATTTCGACTAGCTGAAAATGTATGGACTTTTATAGATTGTTAGTCTGTTGATGAATACATATCAGTATCGGCCGGCATCTATCCAAAGCGTAATATTAGCATTCGTCATCTATACAGCACAAATTACTGTCAACGGTAGCGATTAAACTTTCCAAATGTAAACATGGGTGTTACATTCTATTTACTCTTATATAAAGAATGTGAAGTCGGCTTTATACCAGTTGTGCTATCTTATTTGCTTTACTTTACTAAACTATTATTCGTTGTTAACGATTTCAGTATGTACCGGTATCTTTAATACAAACTACGTTATATTCATCTTGCTATTTTATAAAGTTCACTTTAACACGATTTTTGAAATTATATTACGTGCACAGCATATTAAATACACTTTTATTCCGAAATAGGTCCACACAAATTAAGACATATTCGTGGGACAATGCTCAGGTTGTATTAGTTGGTAACAAGTGTGATCGAGAAGATGAGCGCGTGGTTTCCATTGATCGTGGAAAGCAACTAGCTGATCAGCTTGGCTTCCCTTTCTTTGAAACTAGTGCTAAAGATAATATTAACGTCAAGTCAACATTTGAAACACTAGTGGACATTATTTGCGAGAAAATGTCTGAAAGTTTAGATTCTGATCCAACAGTCGTTAATCCAACTAAGGTGACTCGAATAACAGAACGCCCCTCACAGCAAGATGGATCGTGCAATTGTTAACTTCATCGTTCGCTGCCGTACTTGTTTTTTTATTGTATACGACCTTTCCAAATGAATGTGAGACGCTGTTTGTTTTGTTATATTGTATTTGTTTTTATAAAAAACCTATGCATTTAAGGAAAATATTCTTACTGCTTATGCAATCCAATGCCGCATCGTAATGTAATGCGCATACAATAGAATTGATGCTACCCGATAAATGAACAACAGCATTAAGTTTTCAAAGTTACTACTTAAACGTACTTCTAGTATATTCCAGGTGCCTTCAATACTCGTGTTGTCTTGGCGATTAAGAACAATTACTTAGCTTACTCTCTTGATATATTCATTAAAAATTATACTACTCTAGTTATACACAACAGTTAATTCACTGATAGTGTAAGCGTTTCTGTTTAAATGCTACTGTACTGTAGTGGGATTACTGTAGAGTAAAATGCAAGGCAATTTTTTTGCATTATGGTAAAATTTATATTGTATATCAACTATTTATCCAAATACCCTAGATAGATATATATAGATATATTATATAAAGAAAAATATAATTATATATATCAATCATGAGATAGAATGTACACAAAGTCGAAATACTTTGTTTGTTCTTCTGATGAGTAGACGATGGTATCATATTCTCATTTATTTACATTTTATTTATGCTGGTACTGCAGAAGCTTACAGTACTTAACAACATCAAACAAGTAAGACTATTTACTACATAGTAATCTCCCTTCGCAAACGAAATTTCATCATGCTTTTAAACTAATACTTCCACAGTAGCAATTCTAAAGTACGGTTTGAGATTATACACGTAGACTTAAAATTTCTTTTATTATGTTTATCTCTGATTTGCTATGTATCGACTATGAGGAGTTTTATCTTGTCTTACGTTATGTTTTGCAGTATATGTTATACCTAATTTGGACTTAATCCGGTGTTATCAAACACTCTGCTTTTATTTACTGCAATTTAACTGTCTGTTTACACATAGCACGTCGGAAATGAATCATTGCATCGTAAATATGACCTTGATCTTTAGCGTTAACCCTTTCCTGAATGATAAAAAGCGATTATGATAATTTATTTTATTGATATTGATTGATTAACTAATCTCAAGGTCTAGGGTTATAAAGTAGCACAAGGATTCTATGTCGACGGACTTTGTGTATTGTTCGATTTTAGAAAACGCATTGTACTGGGCTGATTTTTTTTATCAGCTCAGATTAAGGAAGAATATACTGAAATATTCGCTGACATGCTATATTACTTCAGATCAACTCAGCCTACGGAGTGACTAGTACGATCCATTAAACATCACTGAAATTGCACTTCTTTCTTCTCTGTGTGGTGTAGGCTATATTGAACGATCAGCATTTTATGAAACGTAGTTTTCGTTTGTTTTACATAACAAGAGTAAATAGTTTTGTAGCTAGTTCCTCTATCATGTAGCCGATTAGTATGGGGTGTTATCAATGTTATACAGATAGTACCGAATTTTAATGATAAATGGTAGTAATCTTTAATTGTGTGTTAGAATTTGTTATATTTAAAAGCTATTATTTCTGCCTTTTCTAGCCTGTTGATAGATATTCACTTATGTGTTATGCCTTGCTACACCGATCGATATATCGGTTTAAATGTAATTGCTATAATTTTCGGTTCTTAAAATATTATTTAGAAGTTAAAATTCTGCAGTTCATATACATATATGAATGTATATTAATATATAGTTGCTTATTGTTGAAGTTATGCATGTGTATGGTATTATTGTATGCGCCCTATTCAGATGATGGAACATCTGCGTTGTGCTGTATTTATTCTTGTCTATGGTATTGATATTAGTAAAATATTTATAAAGTTTTAGAGGAAACTTGTAGGCAATTAAAATTATTCTACGTAAGTACAGTATAAGACGTATTTGTTTTTAAGTCCGGCGTGCATGAGAGATACCGTACTCTCATAAGATTGATACAGCAGCCGACTGAGCAAATAACGATATATCAGTAGATGTAGTATTAAGCGATTAGCATGTAGTATGCGACTATCTTGTTGAAGCATCGGCAATTAGTGACAAAGGAGCTAAATGCAGCCAAACTGTTTAATAGATTTTAGCATGACGCATTACACATTATGCACGTAGGCGATATATTGTTAAATTCGATCATTAAGATCAAAGTGGACCGTTATTGATAATTTTTAGCAGCTTCATTTTATCATTACTAAAAGATTGCTTATACGGAAATATGAGGACTTTCTCTAGGAGTAACTATCATAATTTTCATTCATTCGTATGCATATATACGCGTGTAGTATTCAAGGGCATGAATGTAAAGTACACTTACATAGTATGTGTAATTGTGTAAAACCCCTACTGTATAGCGATATTGTACCTATCGATACGTATACTGAATGAAATAAGGTGGATAAACAAAGCAGATATATAAGTCTATATAAATTCAGTTGCCTGAGAATACTCGTATACCAATACGTACTGTACAGTTTGTTAATGAAATTTCAATTGTATCGAGTAGACTATCAGGAGGAAAGGATCGAAGCAAATACTACAAACGTTGTATTAACAGGCAAACGCTTCGTCATTTTATGTACGAGTATTATCATTTTAATTGCGTTTATTTATCGCACTGGTATCTAATATAACTTGATTTAATTTTACCACAATAACAACAAGACTTATAGAATTGTAGGACTTAATTAACAGGTCTACAATACATCGTTACCATTTTGTGACCAATTCGGCATACTTTATGATTATCAACAGACTAACTGCATGAATGTTGTTGGTGGCATTATTATAACAACACGAAGCTACGTTTTGCAAGATAAATTTTGTAAAACGATGGAGCAATCATGCCTATGCAATTAAAGTAATAAATGATAACAGGAGTCAAATACAATTATTACAAATAAATTAATCCATTCATGGCAGTATGTAAAGTTAAATTAATTCGTTACAAGATCTATTAGTATCATTTCAAAGATCGCTTTATCATAAGGAATTTCGACTGGGATACTACACTGATTATATCCAGATTTATTATAATTCATCTTTGGGCCCAATTTCAAGGAACTTCATAGCTTCATTCATGGATTGAATAACTAAAATCAATTAAGAATAGAAATGTAGATTATCATAAGAATTAGAAAAGCATATAAATTAATAAGGTAACGTGAATATGTAATTCTCATTTACTGTCAGTTTCATATCAGTACCATCTGTCGACTGTCGTAGTTTGAAACATGTTTAAGTGTACACTACCCACTGTTTAGGATTAGTGCATATGCTTATGTGGGATTATAATGTTATACATATTCTATTGACATAAGAAGAGTAAACTGATGATATTAAGCACACTTGACTATACAGAAGGACAGAAAGAAAAAATGTAATAATGCTAAATAAATAAAAAAAAAGGGGGCACCCGGGATTGAACCGGGGACCTCTCGATCTGCAGTCGAATGCTCTACCACTGAGCTATACCCCCACGCACCGTAGGTAAAGGTAAAAATTTTATATTTATAGCTTTCCCCCGAGAATTCTTTTCAACTATAGTATAGTAAGATATAGCATATTAGTGAATCTATATATATATATGTATATACAGTACGAAGGGTAGTTGACATATGGTATCGTCTGGTAGATGCTATTCAATTCTAAAAAAGTAATCGTATACTATAGTCTGTGATAGGCAAATCAATTTAAATTTTCTTCTCTTCTAGAAGATAATAAAAATGTTACGTCTTAAATGCTGATATTTTAATAATATTAATAATTCCGTATTTGTTACCGAAACACTTTGTAGCAGAGTTAGAGTGTGACATTCAAAGCTATAATATGCTCATAAATATATATTGCGACAGAGATCAATTTTGCTCCAAGTTTTAACAAAACTTGTGTTGTATATCCCGTAGTCAGTAAGCAATGCTTATTACTTTCGTATAACAACTATAAATAAGTTTAATATTAGTTTATAAGAGTAATTCAATATACTGTACTGTAATGTAACACCATAGTGTAGCAAAAGTTACTTAACTGAAGATCGCTACGTGGTATAACTCCATCGCTATTCAGCGAATAATCTCGTAACAATAATATGATACAATAGATTAATAAAATAAACTTTGACTTAAAACCGTCATAGCACAAGTAGTAGCAGAAAAATGAATAGTTGATAACATCGCGATTGCCATAGTGTGAGGTGCAGGAACAACATTGCATTATTTATTATTATCGATCGCTTAATTAAACAGTAAAGCCAACGAAGAACATGGACTTCAGCTACTGCAATCGACATCTTTTGAATTCAGAATTGCGCTCGTAAATTAATTTCTGTTTGCAAATGGCAGTTGACGGTACAGAATTACTACTGGGCGTACTTTAACTAGAGCTAAATTATATTATAGTTATTAAAATGATCAGCAGTCCTAGACTTATCCTCCAGCTACTACAGAGCTAATAGAGAGCAATCTGACTCTGGATCACTCACTGGTTTACAATCTTTGATTTACTTCTCAACAGTAGTTAAGACTAGCTGTTACTGTCAGTACTCCTTTGCGGTGTAATAGTCTTGTGGAGCAATGTTTGAACTCGTAAAACATCTACATCCACTGCAGTTTTCTTCAAATGCAGAATACTGGTATATAGGTTTATAAGTTCATATTATAAACACATGCGTTTAATCGCCTAACTAAAGCCCAGTAATATGCCTGACTTTACTTGAACAGCTATTACCGAAATAAGTATCATCTTTTCTAATCCGCGAGTCATTTATAATAACGACGCAAGTTTAAGATATCATTATAAAAGTTATTCCATCTATGAGAACGTACTTAGAGATTGTCTATAACAATCAACAATACGTTAATAGTCCTCGAAATTTGATATCTACACTCTATTGTTGTATCTAGTAAATTAAATCTGCTTACTCATGGATGGTTCGGAGTAATAATACTTGTATTCAGGGTTGCCTCCTTCGTTGAAAATATTTTCTAAAACTTCACCGTCACTATCTGTAATAATTTGAGCCAATTTCGTCATTAACTGCATACAGATGGCCATATTTTAATCAATGTATAACGGTATAATGCTTACTTAAAAAGAGAATCCTAGGATAGTAAACGCCATCAGGAGCATAAGCTTTATCCTCGGTTTCATCATCATCCTGTAAGTTGATTTAAATATTAAATAAGGTATCATATATTTCTATTCATGTAGCTAATAGTTTCCAATACTTATCAAATAGGATAAACATGAAATAAAGCACTCTTTAATTCAATATTCTTGAAATATTGACCTCAGAATTGACCATTACAAAGTGATTGCTAAGTTCTGATATTTCATTTGCTGAAGCGAACTTCGGTTTGAGTGCTATTAAAGAGATCAAAGGAGCTTTCATTGAACTATTTATTGAATAAGATGCATTCATAGTAACAGTTTACTTATTGTCCCGACATGCCGCAGTAATAAGGAAAATCAATGAATCTAACGTAATTTTCCATAAATTTTTCAATAGTCTAATTTACTGTAGACTAATCGAAATAGGTAACATTTTGTAAGCATATATGGTAAAAAATATTGTACATTACGTGATGAACGATAAATTAAAGTTTGTAACCGCTGTAAGAATAATAGCTAACCTGCACAAGCTCCACACCAAGATTTGTGAATAATCAGCATCAAAGGCTTGTTCCTACGAAATAATTGAGTTGTCAGCCATGATAATCCAATTTTATAAAATTTGGAGATATGATATATAAACTGCTAACATTCATTATACGCATAATTAATTACAATTAATAGAGTAATATATTGGAGAAAAAGTAGACGAATTGTAGCTTTACTATTTTTGGATCTACCTGCAAGCTGTTACCTTTACAGATGTCATTACTAAGAGCTAACAACTATTGTTCTGAGCACACAGAAAGATGCGCTACAGTGATTATTTTTACTGACTCTATGTACTTTTATAGAATATAAAGTAGCAAGATGTTGTAAAATTTACAACTATTAGATAATACTATTAGGACATTTCAGAGTAGTAGGTGATAAAATAACGATTTAATCAACTTAATTGTGTACTGTAGTCATATCTTGTAAACTATTTAAGCCACTAATTTTTGCTCTTTCTTATAAAGATGGGGCAAGTGCAAGACAAGATAACCGAAGTTTGTAGCACATCCGATGCAGTACGGTATCTGTGAGTACTAAAGCATGTCATTTTTATACCATGAGGGCAGTAAAGATATTAAGTAATAACAATGTAGGATTCGATCTTTTCAATATAGCAGATACTATGATTGCATTATACCGCATGTATGTTTTATAGTTATCATAGGCCTTAATCTGCCATCTACTAGATTAGAATCATAACGATACATGTTGAGTTGACTAGTATCGCCGGAATAGATAGTTGATAGATTAAAACTATATATTATTCAGCGAATCGTGTCTCATTACATTAGCAGCTTGATAGATGCAATGTCTCCATAATAAATAGCATTGTAAACAGGGCTGATCATACCTCAGTATAAATGTACGAGTACTCTATCTTACGTGATCATAAGTAGTTCAATAACTACAAGATTCGCAATTTTGCAGGTTTACCTAGTTATGACTATTTCATTATAATTATTAAAGCATAAGTTGGATGACTACGTATACGGTGACACACAGAGAGTTGATTACTATATCAATATACTCTATCTCGCAGCATGCAGTCGGTTACGGTTAAGTTATATCTGCTAAACCACAGATTGATACAAATTTAAAAATTAATTCGAACGCCTATAGAATGTTGTTTCAGGACTGCTAGGAAAAGTATTTGGATTAAGGCATATCAGGAAGGAAATTCCTATTATTCTATGGATTTAATGGCGTAAAATTCAGCCTATTCACACTACAACACGTGTTTTGAAAATGAGTTATTGAAATTGAATTAAAATTACCTGTAAAATCTTCATAGAAAATACACAAATGCACTATCGTAAACTAGACTACTGTATTGACTGTGCATTACCATAGGATATGGCGTATAACTTTTGTGAAAAATAAAGCATGGTAGTACCGCGTACAGTAACTGCAGTTGCCTTCTGATAAACCACTACCGTGTAAAATTAAGAGATGATATCATGGGAGCAACGGGTTTAATGCACAATAAATACGTTCCATTTCTGTCTTCCCAAGCTGATATTTGTATTAAATATTAAACTAGTTCTCATCCTTACTCTTCCTTTGCTGCAGCCAATCCATCATCTAGACTTTTCCACGCAAGACTGTCACCAAAGCCTAATTTTGACAAATTAATGTATTAATTGCTACCTATTAGCTCGCTATTGTTTGCTGAGTAAAGTAAGCACTGTAGAGAGTTCATAATTTTTCGTGCTTACGTAAAGTTACAATACCTTAAAATTGGATTGATATTAACTACGGGTATACTAGCACTTTTACAATTCATTTATTACGAGTATTTCTAAGTCTACTTACAGTATACGAAAGCTGAATATTTAAGACGAAGATACAGGAAATGAGAACACTTCAGTACATGGACAAAATGATATCATGAGCAACACCGCTATGCACAGTAGTTCTATAACAATCAAATTACTATGTTGTACATCTTACTCCAGCTAATAACAAAGTACTATATAGAGAAAGTTATGAAAGCAAGGCGACTGATCAGTTTCACAATATCATGATGCTGTTATCGATTTACTAGAAAAGAGAGAATAAAAATTGGACCCTACTGTAGGAATATACTGTAGTTATTCTCTGAAGAAGATTATTGAAGGGAATGCTACCATTGTAGTGTACAGTAAGTTTTTCTGCATTGAGAGACTACAACCAGTTTGCATATTTGCTAGGGCTAGTAGCTATTGAATGCTTGAACTAGGCTACTGTTGTCATCCGATGCTGATGCATACCTTTGCCTTTACTGAGATCGCTGCTAACTTCCTCAATATTATCTTCTTCTTCTTCTTCCACGGCTTGGATAGATTTGGGGAAACTAAAGAACAACAGTACAACTGCCAATACGACAGTGAAATAGACTTTAGACCTGAATACCGAGGAAATTTTTGCCATTCTTCTCCTACTTGTATAACACACAAACGGTTAAGGTTAACTTGTTAGGATTCACTTGCTATATGAATTGAAAATTCTTCAAGCGTTGTTGCAATTAAATACTACACGAGTACAACTATCTCCACCAGATCCACGTCACTTTGTCCAACACAAATACAAGCATTGGCAGCAACATGCAATGCAATCTTTCGTGAATGCGGCACCAACTGGCACGCGAGTTATTATTCAAGCTAAAAATGACTATCAAATAACGATGCACTTTGTCCAGATTGAGTATTCTTCCTGCAGAAATGGAGTGATGATTCTGGGCAAGAGTCGTCTTTAGTATGGGAACACAAATGCAAATAAGTAAAGCGGAGGGTAGAGTCAGTGAATAAGCCTAGCTGAACTCGAGTAGGTAGTCTGAATCATAGCATAGCAGAGTATACATTAGTATCAGTAAGAAACAAAACACATGTCTAGGCGTAGAAGTACTATCAAACAATCAGCATAATGGTGGACAAGGAGAATAGTTTAATTAATTAATACACTTTAAGCCAATGTTAATGCAGGGAATACCAGCAGAATGCTTTGTTAATATTCATCAAATGTAATGGTAAATAAATTCATTAGAATAAAACACTGTAACAACAGTATGGTGCTGAACACAGAAAGCATATCTGACAATAAAACTTGGGCCATTTTTTTATTCCAACTTTGGAATCTTGGAGCGTTTATTTCAACTTGATTGCATGAAGTAAAGAAGAAGGGGGAAACTATTGAAATTCGATCAATTATTCTACTCTACAGTACTCTAAATGTTGTATCCACTAATTAACTGGCTTGTGTGCTGCTGGATAGCAGACAATTGCAAGCGGATAATGTGCTATCGGCTACAAAACGGATAAACTGCCTATGGCTGCGTTATTGTTGTATTGTTGCAGTAGATTCAATTTTTTTTTCCTGACAGTATATCCTAATTTACCTTCATGGTGAAATATGTTGCCGATTGTATAGCACATTATTGTATTACAGTTGATAGATTGATGATCAACTCCTGAATAAGAAAAGACTATGGACTACTTTCACCTACAATTTTAGATAGAACTTAGGCGAGCAATTGAATCTTGCCAAATTAGGAGTTAATGTTGCATTGATTAAACTAATGCAGTAGCGTATTGCATGTTAGTAAAAGGTGCTCTCGTGGATGATTTGATCAATAGAATCACTCCCTCCATTAAGAGTAATAACTGTTTTCAGGAGAAACCATTTTTTGAGCTGATTAAATACCTTTCTCGATCGATATAGACCCGTAATATACAGTATACAAGTATGAGCTGAGATGGAATTCGATCAGAATGAAATCCAAAGGTAATATTGTTGACGTCCTTACTACTAATTAATCCATATGTTTTTACTACGTTAGTTATGATGGGAGCAAATGTACAAGACATTATGCCATCTAGTACTTGGCAATTGTATGACCTAAACTAGAATAAAATGAAGATTACATAAGGCGCAGATATAAAATTGTTGTCTCTTGTTAATTTTGTGTTGCCAATTAGAATAACGATAGAACAACGAAAGTGAGCCAGTTGTTCCTTCTTCGGATCCAATCGGAAAAATAAATGAATGAGTTTTATTGTATTGACCACATGTTACGTTGATCAATCAGGATTAAAGTACAGCCGTTGTCCTGGAAAAATTGTCTATGCCTGTAAAATATTCAAAATCAATTAAAACTAATTACTTTTATTCCTGTATTGCATTGTTTTAGCCAGGATAAAAGAGCGCATATGAGTACGCGTATATCGTCGATACTGTAGCAGTTGATTTTTGTCTTCATTTCACCATTTTATTATTGTCGTTTTCAATCCATTTTCAATTGTCGTCTTAATCCATAAAATGAATTTAGCAATCTCTGATTTAGGGTATCGGAAATTGTAATTCTTCTTTGTCTAAATGGTTATTTATTTACATCTAGATTAATTATACATATATATTTACCTTGGACGATAAAAAAATTGAATTTATATGCGATAATGGCTTGGTCATCGTAATCCCACAGTAGTAAAGGCAGTTTCAGTGATTATTCAAAAAGATTTACTTAAAAGCTAAAAACACAATACTGTAGACCTTGACTGCATATCCTTATTCATTGAGCCATTTTATTCTATTTCTAATGATTATTCCGATAGTAATATCAGACGGTCGGCCTTGGAATACTGCATCCACCTATGCAATCCATCACAGTGTCACGTTGCCTTCCAAATCAAATCAAGCAAACATGACAGAGTCTGTACATTAAATTAATCAATCGCCGTTTAATATTAGACGATCGGTCCGAAAATACTACCGTTGTCTTGGAGATTAAGTCAAGTAAATAACGTCTGTACATTAATCATTAATCAATCGACATTTAATAGCAGACGATCGGTCCTAAAATACTACCATCTACGGATTGAATTCATCAAAGTGTTACGTTGTCTTCAAGATTAAGTCAAGTAAATAACGTCTACATCAATCATTAATCAATCGCCATTTAATAGCAGATGATCGATCCTAGAATACTACCATCTACGGATTGAATCCATCAAAGTGTTACGTTGTCTTCGAAATTAAGTCAAGTAAATAGCGTCTGCACATTATCATTAATCAATCGCCATTTAATAGCAGATGATCGGTCCTAGAATACGACATCTACCTATTCAATCCATGACAGTTTCATGCTGTCTTCGAAACCAAGTCAAGTCAACATGATCACGTCTGTGCATTGAACTGATTAATCGCCATTTTTCCATCACCAAGAATGTTTTTTCATGTTCGTATTTATTGTAGTCATAAGCTATACTCTATTTTCGATGTGCCATTGTACATCGATAGTCAATATCGCATCGAATGATTACTAAACGATGGAGTATTTAGTAGTCCATGACTACTAAATACTATGACTATTCGCGTTCAACCTTCTCTAAATACAGTTAGGATAACGTTATAGTATCGATCGTATTGAAGGGATTTGGTTGCCGATCGCTATTGTAACAGATGCGTACCATAACTACGATGGCGATTCACAACTTCAATGCAGAACTCGCTTTCAACCATAGAGGTAAAAGATAAAGCTAAAAAGTTTTCTTTTACCTGTATGCTTTCAGCTGGCGACTTTTAGTCACAATCACCCTGACTTAATTCCTAAAATGAATTAATATTTGGATGTTGTCCATGCCACTCTATCTACATGACAGTACTATGCTATGTCTGTACGTCTGTATACAGTGAGAAAGAAACAAAAGCAAGACTGGGATTGATTCTTGACACCAGCTGTGACTGCTGTACTATAGCCAAGCCGCGCTGTTTGGAACGCTGTATTTACTGTATATGAAAAACGCGCTCAATTTTCAATTTTATTTACAGTACACACCACTACAGTGTACCGTACTTTGATACAGTACATACTACTGGATCAGAAAGTACTGTGGATTACAGTCTGTACACTGTACTGCATTGTGCAGTTGTACTGTAAAATTCAGTAGTAACGCTACTGGACCAATGCAACAGTACGTTACCCTACAGTACATGGTACTGTACTTGCTAGGAAAAGAACCAACGGAGAAGGCGCTCATTATGAATTTGTATCCACTACCAGTGTACCCGTGGCACAGTCTGTATCGAGTGTTAGCCAAGCTTGCTGTGACCATTAGCCTCGACGTTAATCAGTTGATATGACGTTAACTGAATTTTGAAAGCTACTAAAACAGTAGAGAAAGGCAAGCTGCACGTTCCACCATTGCAACTCGATGCTGGCATCCAAGCCAATTCTGCCATAATTATTGAGGAAAGAGCAAAACTTGCACAAGGAAAAAAATCGCAAATCAAAGCCATTATCAATCCAGTAAGTCAATCATACCAATACTACGTACTGTTATAGGCGTCAATCGACCCGCACATGACTTGCATGAACTTCAATACTACCGTTAGCGAGAGGAGATGCAAGAGCAATCGTCAAGATTGAATTTCTACCAATTGAATTTATAAATTGATTTTAGATTTCTACTCATCTACTTGGGCCAATTAATCCTTTCAAGAGGTGAATAAGTAAAAGGATGCAGACTGACAATCAGTTAATACGCGATAGAATCAATGGATATGCTTCTGGTATGGGGATGACCCACCAACATGCCAGTAATCAAGCGTTAAGTGAAGCTTCCAAACAGTTGGAGAAACATCTCGATCAGGATAGTCATTATTTGGATCTTTCTCGCTTACTCAATATATCTTCTGGCTGTAAGTCAATCACTCTAGGATAGGATGATACTGCTATCTGCTTGAAGTTATTCATCTTCATTCTTGTGTAATAACGAGTATTTTGCTATCGGGCTATCGATATGCAAGGTGATGATGACAGCAATTACACGTGCATTATCTTCTTCAATTTACCTGTCTCCTTCATCATAAGTCATAGACACGATCTGTAAACTTCGATACGATCATTCATAGTCAATGGAGTGCAGTAAGTATCGTTGCCACAAGCATGGAAAACTTACCCTTATTTTGTGCCATAATAAGGTTATGCCATAGACTGTAGCTACGCGTACATCAACGTTCATCTTGATGGAATAACTTCGGTCATGGATACACAGAGTTGTCATAGGCAAATACGGTAGTAACTGCATGCAGGGTTAGCTTTAGCTTAGTTTGTCATCCTCCTGGCCACTCAATCAATCTTGCTCATATAATATTATACACTAGTGTAGTGATTGGAGATAATGTGAATCTCCATATTTCAATTCCTTTTCATACGATACTGTGTATTCAGTACAAGGAAGCTTATTACAAATATAAGTGACATTGGTATACATGTTATTAGATAGTATTGGTATACAGTAGGATAGGATTTCGTCAACACTCTAGGATAGAAGCCAACAAATTACGTTACTTCTATATTATGACAACGGTTCATCGTGGCAGTACTATACTACACAAATAGTAGATAAATTAAGTAGGTACATTCTATTACCATCTCTACGGGTAAGAATAATGTAAACGGCTAAAACTATTACTGCGTCAACGTTTCAGCTATCGTCGATAGTATTGACCATACAGGTATGAAAATTCGACCTTATTCCATAAATAGGCATCAGTTGAATTTTCGGTATTGGAACTAGTTTGAATCGTGAATCAATGGCTACCAAAGTTTCCATTTCTTCAAAATCTCACTGTTCGATTCTAACAGACTGTACGTGTAACGACCCCTTATTGAACCCCGTTAGCAGAAGTTTCCTACGTTTCCTGCTTGACTAAATCAGGATCAGTTCTAGCGATAGTCTTTGAGAATTTCTGCAGATATCTGGTCATAGGAACTACTCCACACCTAGACTCATGAATTAGAATACCTACAGTACTCCAAATGGACGCACGATAAGTGATAAACAATAATAGAATTTAAATGTCTTGATTAACCGATACAGTACATGAACTACAATTAGCTCTATCACTTCACTCATGCCAAGGTTTGAATTAGTTGTAAATGTATTCGTGAACAAGCTATCTGTGCAATAGCTACGTGTATGGCTACAGTAATCTACCCTTGCGTTGTTACTATCGAAAGAGCAATGTTTATTGCTATGACGTTGTGCAGCATATTTGCTGCATACAACTATATATTTTATGTGTTATGTAAGCAATTTAAATTAAGTCTTACGATATTATAGCATGTGCTCGAACGCCGCCGGTGAATTTTCTATCGTTTATCAACTGATGTTTTGAGACGTATCGAAGCCATAAATATCATTCTCTGCACTACGCTTACTTTATTGCTTATTGATATAAAAGATTTGATAAAAATGCGCTTATAGCTACCTTTTGGTGGCTAGACAGTAATTTTTAATTCAATAATTGATAAGAACTATAATTTGATCTACTTGTGGTTTAAGCGCTTACAGATATACTATTATGATCTTGTTAGTTATATACTTGATTAGGGTTATAGTCTTTTACTGCAATGATTACCGTTTTAAAGTACATTTATTAGTTAATACAAAGCATAATTCTATCACTTTTTTACAGCATATACGGCTGGTATAAGTGGAATTGGTGAAAATGACTATGCTTCCATATCGGCCTTACCAGGGCTACAGAATGTACCGAACTTTGCCAATGTTCGCAGGGTACCGCTGCCAGTAGAGCTAGTAGAACAATTCAATCGTATCTTTTGATGAAAATTGATTAATGAACTAATTTGGGCACATCTATACTATCATCGCGTTGTAAATACTGTCTGGACACTGCTATATTGTAGTGAGAAGCTTTTATAATTGCTATACTTTACACAGGATATAAATTAATTAATACGAAATTCAGCCTCGATGACCGCTCACTTTGCTGCTGCTCTTGAAAGTTAACTAAAGTGATGTCGTAATGTATTCTTTAATACTATGGTGAACATATACTTTAGTCGTATGTACAGTAACTGTTTGGATAGAGGACGAAACAAATTGAAAAGACTTTCTTTAATGTTACAGACAATGCAAAATTCATTTTAAATGTTATAGTATTATTTTCGATCATTGGGAAGCAATTTAAATTTACTATATCGTCCAGGTATTACATATAACTGATTATTCAAGACTCTTCCACATTTTGAGTTCTAAAAATTTAAACGTTCCCATAGTATGAAATATATGATTTGCATTATTATCATAATCGATACCTGTATTCCCCGCCAATTTCTGGTTATTAAGACAGCAGTTTCTTCATCAGCTAGAAACTTAACAAAAATTTTAGATTTACAATATAATTGTCTAATGGGTCTATTTCCTGAAATTAAACGAGCTTGGTTATCTATCGATAGTGATATCTTTGTATGGAATTACGAAGATGGGTAAGTAATGCCGTATTTTAAATCGGATTCATTGTTATTATTCGTGAAGATTGATAACACCTGTGACGCAATTATTAAAAATAATTTATCAAATTTAGGCTGTTCTATACTTTTACCATTATAATTTTAAATAATTTCATGATAGGAGCGATGTTGCTTATTTTGATGGTCTCAGTGAATACATAATGTGTGTTGGACTAGTTAGACCCAAACCAGGTAGGATATGCTACATTACTGAATACATTTTATAACTTTCTGATAACGCTAGGCTTTATAGAGATAGTTTAATTAGCACTTTCATGCCCTGCTGACATAGTTAGTATCGGCCATCGGATTGCTATTTTTAAATAATTGAAAAAATAATATAATTAACATTGAACTTTGTTTCAACATAGGAATATTTCAAGATCATATCAAATTCCTGTTATGTTTAGCTACTGCTGTCGATGTTGTTCTACTAGGGGTTAGCTTTTCGGAAGCTACACGTGGTAAGATTTTAGTAACGACGATAATGTAATAAATCATTTGAATATTGATGTTTCTCTTATTTTAATTAAATGCCCTCAGTTAGCTATCGTTACTTCTGAGTTATATTTTATAAAAATTTTTAGTGAATGTTTCTAAGTTGATTTACTATCGTGCTGCACTTAAAACTCTGTCCTGTTATAAGCTCGATTTTTAATGATATAGTTATTATTATAGCTTATGTCTATTTGCTTCTCAACCGTTGTATGTCTTTATTTAACGGTATAAAACTTTAATTATTCAATTGCAGAAACGGCCGGATATCCTTATAAAGAGATGCATCTTCAGCCCGAGCCACTATTCGTATTGCCATTAGATCAGCAAATTGAGATTACATCCATCAGTGGTACTCGAAATGGACGAATATTCATGACCACCAAGAACTGTTGTCTATTCGAAATAGAATATCGAGTAATTAGTATTCTTTATTGAATCTACATTATTTTTTATGATAGTGACAAGCCAATCTAATTATTCGCACATAGGATAAAGCCGGTTGGTTTACCCAGCAGTGTCGTATTGTAAACCATTCCAGTAGTTACCTTTACGGAGTATCTGGCATCTATAATATTTTCATGAAGGTTGTCAACTTATTTTCTACAGAAGGTTAGAAGCTTTTATTGGTTTATTCGATACGTCATTACATTATATTTTCTGTTTATTCTTTCTTTGCCTAATGTTATTTGCCTATGAAGATGTAAATATCTGCTTTGTATAACAGATTCAATGCAACAGATTGCCATAGATGAAAGTAGAAACATTTTATATACATTATCTAAAGAAAGCACTATACAGGTATTAATATTGCTGATGTACGAGTAGGTTGATACTTACGAATGTTTCAATATTTCGTAAGTCGCTTTTTGTTGGAAATATGTTAACTTAGGTTTATGACCTTGGAAGTAACGGGAATCTGACTAGTCATGTTGTTACGTTAAATCGCGGAGCTATTTTATCTCAAGCTTCAAGATCCGCAAGGTACTGGAAGTGATCTCTAACTCGTAGAGCTTCCTAGAGTGTAAATATATTTGCTTATTTCAATTTTTTTATTTTAGGTACATAGATGCCGGTAACTTTGCTCCGGTTGTATATATTGCTCCGATCAGTAAACAAGAGTCTCTTGGCGTGCAGCTTATAGCCGTAACTAAATCAGGTTTACATTTTATTACGTAGCCTACATTAGCACTAACTGCTATGACTAATTTTTTCCCTTTGAACATACAGGTGTTAGACTATACTTTGTTGTCACTAGCTCATTTAGTGACAGACCATCTCACATTCAACTAGTTCATATTCGCATGCCTCCTGGTTGCACTCCGTCAGTTCCTGCAATACAACGCCCCAATAATATCAATATTTCATACTATAACCATGGTAATCAAATCCCTTAAACAGTTTCTTTGTGGTAAAAATACTGAAAGGAGACTTGCGAAATTGTATTTGTTAGGATTGATGCTCATGGCTTCTAGCAGTTCCGATGATTCTGACATATTATGGTTGACTAATCCAGATGTGTTTCCCTTTATGAAGTTACTTAAAGAGAGTCAGGTACATTTTCGTAGCTATGTGGAGTTAAATGTTCAGATAAGAAATCAAAGTAAATTGACAGAACACCTGATATCGACTTACTAGTGTACAACTGCAATTAACGGGCATATATGGGCTATCAATGAAACTAAAGACTTTGATCAGGTTGCAAATCCCAATCTGAAAACCGTAAAGTCAGATCCTCCAGCGATTGTTAGTCAACATGCTAAACCATTAAGACAATTCGTCATTTTAGGAGCTCAGGTATGCAAGAAATATTAGCAAAACTTCTTTAAATTCTGTACTAAAATTAAATAATTTATTGCTTTCAGGGTGCCTACCTTCTTGATAGCTTTCGACCGTCCGAATTACTGCGTTGTATCTTGCTAAAGTGTGGAAGAGTGGATCAAGAAGCTGTACAAACATACTTTAGTATGGACACGGTAAGAATCTCGAATTGATAATGGAAGCCAAAGTCTAATTTTTCAGTTTCTAGTCTAGCTAACGATAGTCTTTATATCTTATTGTTAGATCAATGCAGTGGTATCATGCCTCGTTTTGGCGTGCTCTAATCGCCCATCTGATCAGCATGTAAGCAATAATTTAGTCTTGAAATAGTAACTTTAGTAGTATGCTTTTTGTTAACATAGCATGATTTATTCCTGTGGTCTTCACGCTATTATACTTTTTGGGGGAAAATTATTCTAGGTTACCAAACTTGCTGCGCAAGCTTTTTTCTGTTATAGTGATGAGCCGAGATTCGAATTCCCAACTAGTTCAAACATTACGCAACCCGGAGTTGGCAGTCATCCTGGTGATACGAAGCCACAACCTTTTCAACAACCACCTTCAACGAATGTTAATCAAGCACCTTCGCCACCAGGTTTAGATGGATCGTATTTGTCACTTGATAGGCGAGGAAAACATACAGAATCTGGTCGGCCATTATCGACTGAAAACACGTTGCAGTCGGCCCCCACTGATGGAGTACCTGTTATGAAATTCTCTTTAAAGCATGATGGAGTATATTTATATCTATCTCGTATTCTCCGGTAATTAGTACTGTATCTAAAATTTGTTCTAAAGGTATTTTTTGAAACTTACTTTGTAAAATATTCTTGATAATGCAATAGACCTGTGTGGAATACGAATCTAACTGCGGAAGTCGTTCGAACCTCAACTAAGGTTGAATATGTTACCGTATCGCTATTTCCTTTCCCTGTAGTTACTAAATATGACTCTTTCTCTAAAAATGATTTAGATGGAAAGTCAATTCTCATCTGAAGAATTATTATGGCTATGTGAGCAAGTAGCTAGCCTAAAAGCGTTTATTGAGGAGCATAATCAGCTGTTTTCGGCTTTACAAGCGGAAGGATCAAAGTATGCTAGAAGTAACTAATATATCAAATTGAGCGTCTCTAATTAATTATTGACTATAATCTGTTAACAACCCAATACAGCTTTCTTAGTCCATCCCTTCATCATCATATGCTAAATGTTGTAAAATCTCAAGCTGGCGTCAGATCAGACCCAAATGTTCCCAACCGACAGGTGATACAATCGCAACTGCAACAACGCTATAAAGGTACATTTGTATTTAATGTTAGATTTCCTTTATGTAATCGTCGCATTGTTGGCGACCGAAATAAGTTTACATCTTTTTTCATTCTATATATAAGCTGATGCTGTATCTACTGAAAAAAGATCCTTTGAGAACATGAGTTCTCTTCTGACCGGATGTATAGAGTGCTTTTCTTTATGGAGTATTATATGCAACCACGATTTCTCTGTTGTAATGACTAACTTGAGCAAGGTATTGTGCTCTGATCGAATTTTACGAAAACATTAAATTACTATTACCTGATACTTTCAATCAACTTAATGTAGGAAATGAAGGACATTATTTTGAGAACAAAGTTTAAAGATCTAGTTCTGGGCGATGGAAAGGTAACGCCTCAGTTAGATAATCTAAGTATTTGACAATAATAATTACGTGCATAGACTTTTACATTTACAGTAATTAACGCTTGATAGCGCGCGTTGTAGGAGATCTGTCTACATCTCTTTACTATTAAAACTCCTTACAATTAAATGAAACGATAACAAAGAACTCATTTTTATACCAATCATTTCAAAAATAGATAACGAATGCTCTAATTGCTGCGTTAATTGATATGTACTTACTGGATAACGCTTCAACGGATCCCATTACCGATCAATTACGTATAAAATGCCCGTCATTGTACAGCAGTGATGATGCAACATGTTCTAAAGTAAGGATATATGCGTTTGGTTTTACTAGCTACTATTTTATGCTGAATAGGGGTTTTTTAATATAATTGTCCGAATCGTAGGCATATGAGATGTTGCACCAAGCTAAAATATCTACGGATATGAAGGAAGCTGAGTTGGCCTATAGGTCATCTTTACAGGTATATTGAATGCTAAAAAAAGTATCATTTATTTTTGACTATTATTTAATGTTTTCAAATCCTCTATATGTAACAGCTATTTCGTCAAGTAACTAAACATGTCGACGTGGCACAGGTCTGCCAACAGTACAAAAATGGTATGATTAAATTTGAAGTTTAAGTCATTAAAAATGAACTTTACATGAGTAAGGCATCTTTTTGTGTTTTTGTAGTATTTTTCTTCGAAGGTGTGATTGAATTAGCTCTAACAGCTGCTGAAGCAGAGGATGTCAAGGAATATGCTTTAAATTTTTATAAGAATGGCGATCCTCCTAACGATAACATAGGTAGAGAGGCTTTTACCAAAAGGTGAGAATTCACTAAGTTCATCCCGACGTGGTAGTCTATGTTTTGTGATGTACAGATAGTGTTTACAACAAAGGCATAATTATTCGTAGGAGCCACTACTACAAGTGTATTGTAGATTCATTGGATTACTTGATGAATGCGGCAGTAAGCGATGCTAGTCGGTCACCTTTAGGTTCAGTATCTTCGAAAAGAGCGAATACGAATTTAAATACGTTAACTGTAAATGAGGCCGAAACAATGGTGAGTTTAGCAGCTAACAATAGGAATTACTAGGAGACGAATCCGCTAATCCGTGTATTCATATTTTTATATCTTGGAAAAGATGGAAAAGGTTCTCAGTGATTCGTTCGCTTCTGGTGATGAACTGATTCATGTAACTTTATACGATTGGTTGATTGCAAATAATTTGCATGACAGGCTGTTAGAAGTACGATGAGAATTATGAAATACATGTCTCATTTGTAGCTTGAGAAAAAAGTAAACTTTTCTGTTGTCTCTATCGTAGGTTTCGTCCGTCTATTTAGAGGCCTATTTAAAACGTGCAACAACCTCCCAGGTTTCCGAAATAATCATCCATTTACTTAAAACTAGAGCTTTGATGCATTTAGTTACACAAGATGTAATCGATTTATTATTATAGCCTTCAAATCTAGTTGCAATGGATCTATTATGGAAGTATTACGAAAAGAATAATAAATATCAGTCAGCTTCGTTAATCTTAAGCAAATTAGCAGAAAGAACAAGGTCGGTACTAATAAATGGAGCTAAGTAAGATAAAAGGGTTGCATTTAGATGGTATGTAATTTTGTATTGTAAACACTTGTTTGTGTTTTCATTCGATAGCACGGATATTACATTGCAAAAGCGAGTTGAATACTTATCTCGAGCAATTATTAGCGCAAAAAGCGCGAGCTTTCCTGGAGCTAGTGGAAGTGCTGGGGATTTTCTTCACGAATTAGAAGAGAAATTAGAGGTAATGGTGAATTGAAAGGTAACCGTTGAAGTTATGTATTTTAGCTAATATCGATGCTTGAATTGCTGTACTAACTTAGGTGGCTCGTATTCAGTCGAAAATTCACGATGCGCTAGTGTTGCTTCAGCAAGAAAAAGGCCACTTACAGGAATATACTGAAGCTTTACGGGAATTAAATGGAGGGATATTTGATATTAGTACTGTAAGATATAGCCATTTAAGATTAAAATCTTGCCTTATAACTGGCTACGTGATAGCTTTAGTGTAAAGAGTATATTTTCTGTTTACATCACCCTGTAACCATATTGGTTTAACATTTGTTATATGCAGCTGTATAAGGACTTTGCAAGTAGATTTGATCTCGCTGAATGCAAACTCGCTATACTATACACTGCTGGCCATAATGATGTAAATCTTGTAGAGACTGTATGGAAAGACATTATAGACTATGGTATGGTGATATCTGCTTTATTCTGATTTAAAATTTAATTTCACCTAATTTATTAATGTATTTCGTTTGTGGTCTATTTTAGAAATTCATAGATCAAAAATGTTATCAGAAGGAGCTAAAATGAGCTCCATTTCCAATAGATTAGCTGAAATTGGCAACCTATATGCTCATTCGGAGCAGTATTTTCCATTACGTATGTTTTTATCCTAAAATTGCATAGATTATGATAATTTGCTAAGATGCTTACTAGTAGAGTTTCTATCTTGTTAGTGTACATATTGACATTGTTGGAGAAACGGAGTTGCGAATTGAATTGGGATCCAAGGCTTGCATATGAAACTATGTTACGAATTGATATATCTCGGAAGACCATGCTAACTGCTTATAATTTACTTTTTAGAGCAAAAGTAAGAGTATTTTATTTCAATAAGGCGATCTTACAACTGTAGACTTTGAAATCGTATCATTGCTGATAAATATATATTTCTTACAGGATCCTTTTTGGCAAGCTGTGAAAAAGCCTTTACATCTGTTTTTAGTTATACATAATTTAATCACGTCCTCGATCGAAGCCAAAGATTTAGTCCCCGATGATAAGTAAGTAAATTACAGGAATTGATATGATATCGTATTTTTCTATATATTTACTCTCCTATAACGTGATTTATTTTATTGTTTCAGGCGAGAATTTTGCATTTCTGCGTTAAGTTCTGTGGATAGTTACTTAGTCGAACTGGAGTCAATGAGCTTAAGTAGTATAGCTGTACAAAATATGATCAGTCGATATCGATCTCTGAAAGCGCAATTATCGCGTTTAACTTAATAGTGATTAGTCAGCTAGCATAAAATGAAATTATTATTTAAAATTAATTTAGTTTGTTTATATTTTTAAAGTGCTAATGAAAGTTTCCCTCATTTTGTCTTGGGATTGATATTTTATACATAGCGATTTATGTTTGCATCGATAAATTTGCTGCTCGGGATGAATATGTAATTTCTGCTATATTACGCTTTAAGTTGTTGAATGGTAATGAAGACATACTAGAAATTGACCGATTGTACGTCATGGATACACGTTTATTCGTTACCAATATACGCGAAACTTTTGTAGTGTACCTTATTTTCTGCCTCTACCAACCATTGCATCCAACTACTCTTCTTTTAATTGTTTTCTCAAAGATAGCACTTTGTACATCAGTAGAAGCTATCCATCGATCTCAACTGATACGTCGTACCGATTTGTACATTTTGTAATTATATAAAATTACAGTACAGAAATAGGACATTTTCCATCCTAGTTTATATCTACATCTATCTAGGTTAAACAGTATGTAATTGTAAGTCTGTTTATAAAATGATCTTCAATATGTCTAAAATGTGTCTCATTGTTTAGGTATTAGTTTTTAAGAGTGTTTACTAAGACCATGTAGACTGTGATATTGTATAATGTAGAAATTGAGAATTTTTTCGGCGGGATATAATTGTTTTATATTAAGATCGTAATGAACACCTCTGATTATCGTTCGCCTCCATCGTGAAATACATGCATAATGTTCATTCATTATTTTAAGTAGGTAGCACGTAGTCAAATCGTGTTTATTACGATAGTATTTATTGCTATGCATCTCACCTGATGATCAATTAGTACGAAGATTTTTATGCAACTCGGGTCGGATAGCACATTGTATACGAGTATCTACGCACGTCTGAATTCGATTAAGTGAAAATATATATGATTCCTCAGTCATCAAGCAACGACAAGGATTATTGGAAGACATATTAGTTCTCATTCGTTGTAGAAGTCTAATTCAAGTTGGGCCACAAGTACAGCATATGCATATACATCATCGTATCCACACACGTCTGCGCATACAGTATAAATGCATATCCTTATTTTAGTGATTTTTAAGTAACAATTGGGATAGGCCGATATCCTAGATATCAATGAAGTTTGAATCATTCAACGCCAGTCTAAATATAGAGGCACTTGCTTTACAAATTAATAGTCTTCTAGGCAATCCATAACCTGTCAACAGGGATAATGTTACTGTCAATCCCAATATAGCGTGTCGTTGTATAGTACATCTATGATCTAGGAAACACTGACGCACTGGGTAATTCTACTATCGCTTAATACGCGCCTAAAGGTAATTTATAGTTGAACAATTCACAAAAAATGATAGCATGAAAATGGATCAAGAAGACTATGCATACTAGTTGAAGTGGTTAGCAACTATGCTATCCTATGGAAACATGGAATGGAGTTGTTGATAGTAAAAGCGCGCGTAAAAGCCAGACACACCCGCCATAACCGAGAGCATCCATGTCAATTTCACAACTTACAAATTTTTGTAAAGAAGCGACACATGAGTGCAGTATAAATATAATCTAAAGTCCTTTTCTTGCATAACACACCATTGACATTACGCAGTTCAGTACAGAAGAATTGATATAGTACAATCATTATTTATTTATTGACTAATATTATTCAAGAGAAAAAATAATATTACATAATATATACTAGGTAAACGAATTCATCCTTTTCAATCAATTGTGTCGCTTAATTCTATATTGATGAATGCTTCAATGAGTATTTATTGCCAAGTCTATTTTACTCGCCAACTAGTATAAATAAAGCTCTATTTTGAATAGAATATTGATTTATTTCAACAAATACATAAACAACTTGATCAGTTTTTAGCATACAAATCAAGTCCAGTCGTCATTGGTAGGAAGCATTGAGTGCGTTATCTACGTCATCGAGTAAGAAAATATTTGACCTTATTTTTCATTCTCTGTGGAAAACCCTATATTTTACAATGCTTCAATTGATGGCATTAAATCGACGGCATGACTAATACAGATTGCTAAATGGAGTAACCTATTGGTGGGTCTATTTAGGAAATTGAATAATCCATGATTCTATACTAGACACAGTCATTTCCTTATGGTATACAGTACAGTACAATATCCAGAAGTGCCGTTGAAAACGATTGTAGTGTAGACCACTTGTCCAAACATATCTGCCAGTTCGTAAACAAAATTAACTCAGATCTTGGGTGAGCACCTGGCAGATTGAGCCAGAGATGATCTGCGTCGAATAACGCTTCGATTTCCTCACATTTGCTTATTTGGTCCTGTTTCTAAGATCTTTCTTAATTAGGTTACCACTTGATCGCGTGTACAGTAATGAAGGGCAGGGGGTGTACACTGTACGCTAGGTCTCTAGCGCATACGTAGAGACGTTTTGGTGGCATTTTTGGGGGGATCGATTACAGGGAAATGGCGGACAATGACTGTATAGTCTGCACTTTACGAGATGCTATTTGCATCTACTGATGAATCATGATAGGATCAATCGCGTATAAAAAAGAAATATGGAAAGGTTATACAGTATTGATTAAGGACTTGACGATTTTGGATTCTTTTACCTGGGTCAAAAATGGAAAAGTGTTTTGACTCCACAGTATCCAGTAGAAAGTACAGTACAGTACAGTATGTATACAGTACAGTAGAATGATGACAATGAGTTCCTTTCTTTCATTCTCTCGTTAACAATGTACTGTACACTGTGTACAGTATAGAATGATTACAATGAGTTCTTTTCTTTCATTCTTTTGTTAACAATGTACAGTACAGTACAGTACTGTACACTGTACAGTATACTGTACATACAGTACTGTACTGTACAGTACATGTACAGTATACAGTATACTGTATACTGTACAGTATACTGTACAGTACAGTATGTACAGTATACAGTAGAATGATTACAATGAGTTCTTTTCTTTCATTCTTTTGTTAACAATGTAGTACAGTACTATGTACTGTATACTATAGTGTATAGTACTGTACATTGTACACTGTGTAGACTGTAGAATAGGTCAACTATCCAGTCGTGAGTTGGTAGAATGATTATTTTTTTGTACAATGAGTTCTTTTCTTTCATTCTTTTATGAACAATGTACTGTACTATGATTGGCTGAAGTGGTGTCTCGCCGGCCATACTCATAAAAGAATAAACTCGGCGGGGGGTTCGAGGTCAATTGATTTACCTACAATGCACTCGTCGATATTAGTATGCATAGTATAGCAAGAGTTCATGTTTGGTTACGTTTACAGCAGATGCTTGTCAGTTGATTTCTCCCCCCAAAAAATTTCCATTTCTATCCAGCTGCACAAGTCCATTGCTAGTAGAGCACTGTGGTGTTGATTTGAATTAAAACAGCCTGGTAGTTGGTAAAGTTTACTGACACATTGCTCTCGTTGTTGATTTAAGAATTGTAATTTTCGCATCTCACCGCTTGGACTACCTACGGGTCCGTTGAAGCAATTGCAAGACTGACTGAAGACAGGACCAAATCCTATTCTACACTGATCAGCAAGCCAAAACTGACGTTGTAGTCAAGGTTTAAGGATTACATAGGTAAAACAAATCGCTTGCTCTCCATCATTGACTTGATTCATACTCCAACAGCTTGGCAAGAAATCCTATTGCGCTGCCACCATGTTGATGTGGCTTTTATGGCAGAATTACTTCAATCAGGTTAGATTCAATATTTATCGCTGTCTATTTCAAGAAGAATTTCTCCTACTTGATTCATGAATGATGGTACAGTAGTCATGTTAATCGATAATAAATATAGATAGATCTATTCAAGAATCTCCATGCTCGTATACTGACTTTAGTCATTCCAGTGTCAATGGGTTAATATCACTTTTAAACACCTTCAACTACAGCAGTCAGCAGTGGCTCTTCATGTTATGCTATTATCATCGATCATCAGTCTTGATAATGGGTTAGCATTCCAACATTACTCAAGGCTTTCTTCCCTTTTAATAGCAGTACATGACATGGGATAGAGAGACATTTTACACAACTTATTTTCACCTAGTCTTCACATCCATAGTAATACTGTACAGTAGATCGATTCAGAGTTTGCCAGTCTTCACTTTTATTCCATATTCACTGCTTGTAGTTTACATAAGCATTTCGGCACTCTGGCACATTTCGGACCCAGTTTTTACCTTGACAAGACAGTATACTCTGTCGGGATTGCATCATCTTATGAATCTTTCTTACTGAAGAGTTATTCCACTTTTCTGCATGTCATTGACCTTTTGGCCGCACCTTCATGCGATCCCATTTCCTATTCTAGTCCGATATACTGTAGATCAACACTTGGCTAAAACTGCTGTTGGAAAAAAAATGATTGATCGCAAGGTTAATCTATTCCACGACGTTACTATAATAACCTTCGATTAACCTATCCAAGACAGAATATCACATAGTACGATACGTACTACCTCTTTCTTGGCTTTATTACTGTCGTTAGACAGTGAATGTAGAGTCATTTGAATCTTATTTCGATCGAGTTTTACTCTTGCTCAGTGAGCAAGTAATCGATTCTAATTCTGCTCTCGTTTTAACTCACTATCATCAAGAAGAAAGAAGAAGAAAAATCTTTTTCACAGAATCAACTCCATTAAAGTTAGTGAACTTCACTCATGTTACCCTTCAGTGGACCCTCGCTCCTTTGAAAAGCAAAGTATAATCCCAGATGATGACCATTACCGTCGAATGCTCGGATTGGCTATACTAAGGGGTTGTCGTACTTCTTGCTTCAATAGATTCGTAATTCTATTAGTGGTATTATTAATTGATGAATTCAATGAAGTTCATAGTCCGACAATTATAGGCTAGAAGGGAAAATGAATCAAGTGTATCGTAATTGATTCTCTAATCCTATTCAGCAAAGAACAAAAATACTTTACCAATCATCGATCGAACAGCATTTGACGAGTCTATATACCCATATTAAATATCTCCTTCATCCAACTGCACCAGCAAAATTGCAATCTCCACATGCGGTATATCCTCCCATCGCGAAATAAAAATTACCAAACTGTATTCCTTCTGCAAAGGGTATTACCAAATTGGTATTTCCATGACAAATGGATTCGATGGTGGCATGGACCATCATCATTCCATTCTGCTTCGCAGCACATTGCAGTTACCCAAGTCGGTAAAGGGAGAAAAATATCAGTATCTACTGAGCATCCATGACAGCACGGCTTCTCAGCTACTCGATACCGATATACTGTAGAGATGAGCATTAGCTCTTTGCATTGCATACTACCAGCGCTGTGTAGATAGAATTAGAAGAGGCTCGCTATCGACGGATAAAATCGAATGGAGGATAAAGGAGATTTACATTAATCCATCATTTCGACAAAACTTTCCTTTGTGGTTATGATATTTAAATGCAGTTAAATTTCCCTCTCAAAATGAAGTAGGAAATCAATTGATACTTTAATCCAAAGGTAATTTGCCTCTTTCTGGATCCAATGACCATTTCATCTGATAACCCACTAGCAATGACTATATCATGATTCTCTTTATCACTTTTTTCATGATATCAACATTCTTTTAGTTGTTCCTAACATCAATATACTCGTACTGTACTAATTCCATCGATCTATCGATACACCCATCTTCCTTCAATGATAAGAAATTTACTTATATTCTAAAACTGTTGGCCTATTTTTGCTTCCTAACACCCAACATTAATTACGCAGTCAATGGTAGTACATCAATGATTCATTCATTTACATTTATTATTTGCGGGTAGATGTTAATTTTATTTTATTAGCTCGTTATACTTTGTTAAACCATACTGCACCTTGAAGCTAACTTTAACAAAGATAATTTAATTAAATATCTCCCTTCTATGATAGATACCCCCCTTTAATCTTTTCTTATTATCCTGATGATATAATGTACCCTAAAAATAATCGTATCCTGTTCAAATTTAGACAATAACTCGTATTAGTAAAAATGCTACTAACTAATTAAGCCCAGCTAAAGTACCTAGCACTACTTACTTACGTGGATAGTAGTATTGACCTTAAATGGACGACTCTAACAGCAACATTAGCTTCTACTGGTAGTGACACGGTGTTTTTGTAGTCCATAGTAGTGACCATAATAACCGAAATCCCACCCTCCCAGCATGGCTTTTAAATATTGTTTTAATAATCAATATTTAAATACTGATCTTAGCACTCTCTCTTAAAATAAAATGATAAGCCGTCATTCGTGACATCATAGATTAAATGAACAAATATCAACTGAAGCAATGGACTCAGCATTACTTTGCTCCAAAAACGATATAAAAATCGTTTAAACTAGTATTCTAACCTATTCATACTCATACTTCATCAGCTTCCTTTATAGCTTCATATTACGTATGAGTATAGGATGCAATTAATTACCAAAATATTAAAAGTAATATCCTTTCAAAGTATGCCTGCTTAATCAACTTTAATACACAAGAACAACGATGCAACAAGTCAGCTCAATTCGATTGTAAAATTTCATCAATAATATTCATACTAATTCATGGTTAATCCACAACATCAACGATTCGTAAGAATGATAATACTTCAATCATTAAATCAAATACAAGATATTTAAAATGGGAGTCTAATTGAAGTAGTAACCAAAAAATAGTGTATCTTGAATGAGTTTTTATCCTATTATTATGCGATAAGGCGTTGACGATAAAATTGCCTAATATCGTATATCTTGCTGATCTAGTGCAATAGATTGTCTAAGCAGGATTCTATAGTATTACAATAGCCTTTCACTATATAATATATGTTTATAAGCCTTAACATAATCATTAAGTTACAGAGTTATGGGCTAATATTACTTTTACGATAAATTACTGATCACTATCATAGCCTTAGTAAAAATACTGAATTATTATAGCAAAACTAAATATCAAATTCATTAGTCTGTAAAATATTTCCCGTACTCAACCGACAGAAGATCGAAAGCTGTAGAATCTGTGCTTAAACATGAAATAAACCATTGTACTAAATAACTAACGGTCCATTACTTCATCCTGAGTTATTTCTTCTAGTCGATTTCTAATTCAGGTATTATTTCTCAGATTGAATGGACAATTCCAGATATGACTCATGTATAAGTTCAAGGCCAGCCAATTGGATCATGTTGCATAAAATATCAAATAAATAAATAAACATCTACCTAACCCCTTTTTAGTTCTTACTCACCCGTGGTAACATGGTGCTTAAGATCAACTTAGTTCATCAATTAAATTTGCATCTCATCGCAAGGTTTGATGCAGTTTACAAACCAACCAATAGGGATTTAAATACAGTGTAGGTACTGCAAATATATCCATACGTTCGTTCTCATTTGTAGCCCATCTATAACAGTATACTAAATAGCTACGATAGAATGAATAATATAGTTGGTAGATGTAATCCTTATTAATTAATTAAAAATGAATAAATGCGTAGATTTATTCGTGTTCGTACACGTATGGATTGAAACCAGCAAACAATGATCTGTTGCAGTACAAGCCTCGAATAACAGTAACGACGATAATTGCAGTAGCCGATAAATGATCGATAATTAATTTACCATTATTTACGGAGTACATGTGCGATCGACTCCTAATTCATATCACTTGCACATACTGAGTTAACATTAGACAGAACATCCTTGTACGCGTACGTGAATGCTAGCAAACCAAAGGAATAACTATAGTAATACTGTGCATGTTAGGTTTTTTTAACTCCAAAGAAATTATAATTAGCGAGATTTTAATTTTCTTAAATATTCGTTCCTGGTTTTACAAATGATAGATATATTACTCAATATTTATTACAGGTTCTGTAGTGCACCATAAATTCAATTTTTCACTCCTCATGATGTCAGACTACAAATCGAATGAAAACGTTTATTCGTATATCCACAGTATTTGCTAATTGTGTATAAACAGTGATATATCCTGTGGATCAATCATAAGCTATCACGCCTAAAATCCTCTTCAGTTCTGTTGTAGATATAAATCACCGTCGAGTCATATCACTCACTATAACTCTTTATGTTACATTGCTGCGTAAAAACATCAATATTGTAAATGTCGTCACTTATGGACGTATTGTCTCGACAGGCCATCAAATCATCGACCGCTCTAGCCTTGTAATAATCTTGAATAATTACAACGTGATATGGCTCCCTACTAATAGGCCGTGCTTAAACTCATAATGTTATTCGTATTAACAGCAGCCTAATATGTAGCTAGTGATGATATAACTTGTCCAGAATTGAAGTTACTAAAAATTTTTTACATTATTGAAAGATAAGATAATTTAATGATTGTTATGTTGATATTACAGTGCTACAACAATTATTTGTATTTTGCAACGTAGGAAGTCAATGAAGATCTGGAGATTCAGATTGTTCCTACAAATATATTTTATCTACAGAAGAGGACAAAGACCCAAAGTAGCTTTATCACTATGTAAGTAAGCAAGGACCTGTATCATGGTGTGTTCAAATATCAGTAGTTTTGATCTAAAAGTATTTTGGATTATACTAGTGTTACAGAAGTGATTCTTAAATTTTCAAAAAAGTTTTGTTTAGTGTATAAAGGAACGTCTTTCATGGGATAAGATTTTTGTAGTACCATACGCGTAAATAATAGTACGACATTACTTGATCTTCAAATGCAGACAACTACTGGCATAGATGACGCCTAATATTATATCTAATAGTGATTGATTGGATTAACACGGTTTTTATTGATTACTATGATGATAAAATAGCGATATTAAGAAGGTATCTATTTTACTATTAAAACACACTCAGTTTCTCTATCTGGAATATCACAATGGGAACATCTTTATTAAGTACCCCTTGGGCACTTAGCAAGGTATGGCTATTATTGCAAGCATATTTGATTAATTGCAATTAAGAAAACGCTAACAGACACGTTAGTTGGAGTAGATTAAAGCCTCACAATCAAGCGAATACATTTTATAACTGCTCTTTAACTATTTTTCTTCAAATACAGTCAGGGCTCCTTGCGGGTATCATTTCAATTGTTGGCATGAATGCTCTTATGCTATTTACTTGCTGCTTGATTGTCCGTAGTGTTAATCACTGTGGTAAAGAATAAATACTTACATATATATGTATATATTGTATGCCTTAGATACATTAAAAGTTCTTTATTGCTAATAATGCTGCTTTGAGTGCATTTTAATTTATGGTAGATATCACAATTTCCTGTTTAATATTACAGCATCATAACGTAAATTGTATTGATATTATAGAAGAGCCTCGTAAAGTAAACGATTTTTCAGACGTGTGTCGTGAATTCCTTGGCCAATGGGGTTCCCGCATCAGTATTTTATTTTCTATTGTAACGCTGTTCTGTGTATCAATTGTGATATGGATCTTACTATCAAATTTTTTGTATAGTACCGTATTTTATATTTATGGTATGTGGAAGTAGCTACAATCTATGAGATCGTTTTATTTATAAAAAAATCTACTGGTAAAACAAATTAATCAAATGATTTTATCTTATTACTGATGTTATAAATGGAAATCATTTCATAAAGAAATGCAACAGCCAAGGAATACAACCGTGATTAAGGCTATCCAGGGTGGTAACAATTATACTTATACTTATAAAGGTAGGTAATTCTGATAATTGTAAGTCTTTACTATCATAGCTAAAAGTAGCTGCTAGTTGACGCCAAGCAAGCTGTTATTTTATCTTCAGTTAACAGTTTCTAACTTCTTCAATTAAAGAACCACTTTGCGAAATTACATAATGATATGAGATTGAGTTCGTTAACTGTATACTCTTATTGAATACAGGATTGCTATGTCCCTCGCTTAGCAATTATTCACTTACTGATCAAGCTTCAACGTCAGAGCAGGACCGACTATTTCACAGGATATGGAATAAGACGGCCACCGTGCCTCTCTTTGCAATTTTAATCATTTTGCCCATATCTTGCTTTCGCTCTCCTACATTTTTTACTAAATTTAACTCCTTAGGTAATTAAATCTCTATTGCTATTTTATAGCGGAAACTATACCAATGCTATGTATTAAAATTATCGATATGTGATAATATAATCTATACACTCGTATAAATCTTTAGGTACAGTAGTATCAATATACATGCTTGCATTTGTAATTTGGAAATCTATTGGTTGGGGTATTCATTGGAATGTTCCTGGGACATCGCGTAGGTTTTAGTATAGTTAATAAATGAATACTGTCGATATCTAATTTAAAATCTTACTGATAAGCTATCTGTAATAATTTAGTAGCCGAAGCTGGTTTCCCATCTGTAACAGGGATGATGTCATTGGCTTTTTTTACACACAATGGCGTGTTATCAGTGCTTCGTTGTCAGAAACACCCTGAGAATAATGTAAGTTTTTGCTCATTCATGTTAAAAACTAACTGATAAAGATCTCAAATTGATTTCAATCTCCATGTTAAAGGTCAGAGATCTAACAATTGCCTATGTATGCTCCTGCATAACTTACGTGACAATTGGGTTAACATTTTATTTGTGCTTTCCATTACCGAAAGATAAATGTATTGAATCTGTAAGTTCAATTTTTAAAACTGATACTGTATGATATGAAGTGTAGGCAGTTATCATCGACCAGAGAGGAAAAAATATAAGATTACCCAATGTTATTACTCTCGTCACGTTCGTTATTCAATTATAGCAATAACTTTTATTACTTTAGATATTTCTGGATAATTTTCCTGCAGATGACATTTTATCCTTTTTGGGTCGATTCGGATTAATGTTACAAATTATTACAATATTCCCTTTGTTACTGTACATCATGAGGGCTCAGGTTATGCTTGTGATCTTTGGTGCATTTTATCCGAGGTAAATTTTTCTTATTATGTGAGATTAGTTGCATATGACGGTTAATTTAAAATTTTGTACTATTCAGTTTTAGACATATTTTCATTTGGAATTGCTTCGTAACGGCTGTATGCGTTTTATTTGCTGTATTCTTTCCTGAAGTTGGAACTATTATGAGGTAGGATAAATTTGAGAAGTTTGATGTATCTGTTTAATATCTAGGCGTTATTGATAATATTTTTCTTGAACAAGACGTTGCAATTTATTTAAATCTTAATGTCGTATTCTGATAGATATTCTGGAGCCTTCGGTAGCCTTTTCTATTGCTTTACACTGCCATGCGTAGTGACATATTATATCATGAAGAAAGAAGATCGATTATTTTGGCCAATGACTACTTTTTTGGGATTGATTATGGTTCTAGGCTTAAGCAATTTTATTTCTCAAATTTTTATTGAATAATACTACTGTACGATATCTCAAGGGTTAGCCACTAAAGGAAAAATTATTTAAATATTGGTGATTTATGCCATTATATTTAAGGGCATAAAATTAAAATCAGATCTATCACACTGTTTAAACTTTGATCTTGTAATATATTCTGTATCATACTGCATCAGTCTGTTAATGCAATTATTTAGTACGGCATGTAACAAAGACATCCGGGATATTTATGGCTCATGTTACACAGCAAGAAAAATATCTTTACGCCGATGCATTACTAAACCATTGTTCAGAACGGATGTACTCTAATTTATCTAAATACTTTGACTTGCTTGACTTGACTGTATGTATTTCTTTGTTAGGGTCAGCATACTGTGATACTCTATGTAACGATATTCAATTAATTGACTATCTCATTTATTTAATGTGCAATGAAATATGAACATAATGATATTGATAGTCAAATTTAGTTTTGTAACTTTTCCTTTCCTGTAAATGTAATATAGTAAAAATATTCAGTTTCTTACTTGAAAATATTTAGACGAGATTATCGATATTATTGGAAAATTATACATTTTAATGCTATACATGATAGGAGTAAAAACCAGGTGTTATATCTATTATCATAAAAACTTTACCATACGAACTCGAAGTGGTGTTAACTTCGATGCTTTTACAGCTCAGTATCACTAAACCATACAGTTATTATTGATCATGGCGTATGTTACTGTGATATTCACATCGTGTACTTTGTAGAAGGTATCTGAAAAGAAATTCTTTAATTTTTTAAATCGAAGTATTCAATATTTTAATAAATTATCTTGACATGTGTTTCTTTCATTTAGAGAATAAAGGAATAATTTTGATCGAATTTTGCCGTTAGGTCACTGTGATTAATTTTAGCCTTTCAGGATATAATTTTTAGCATGTATATCAAGACCTAGCACTACCTGGTCACAATCGAATACAGTCTAGTTTTCTAATCTCTTTTCGAAACCGCTACTGCTCTGATTTACAGCCTACCTGAGCTACGCTTTAGTAGATTCTTGCTGATCATGCCATGTGCAATTGTACATAGTCATCTGTTCTCCAGTCCAGCATCTTCATACGTTAAAATTTACAGTCCGTGGAACGTTATACTATTCATAGCTAAGAATCTATTTCCAATACTTCGGTATACTACAGCTTCTGATCAAAGACTAATTACATATAAATATAATAAATATATATAAATGTTGAAGAGCAACATTTTGGAACAACATAAAACGGGGAATGCTTTCATATTCGGAAGATGTCTTACTCTACTTGCTGGGCTTACCATCATCCCACCATGTGTACAATATACAGTATTGTGTAGGATGGGTACTAAATCACTAATTATGTAAGAGTGAATAAATACGTAGCACATATAAAAAATCTACGCGAAATTTCATCCATAAATTTCTAATTATTGTAACAATCGCTTTTATGAAGATCTAGATCCATATCATCACACCAGTGATTATTATATTGTTAATATCCCAGCTAACTAATATGATTTCAAATCGCTTGCTTTCATATAGGATACTGATACATTCAGTATTATCTCAGCTTACATAGGATCACAACGCTAGCTCGAAAGAGCTTGCAAAAATACTTTAAAATATTCTATAAAACGATGTAAATAAATTCAAGATTATAATAGGAGCTTAATTAAATGATTCTCATCACGGTATTTTCCTTCAATGTGTAGCATCATAAAAATATCAATATCTTTTAAAATGAATTGTATTATTATTACAATAGTTATGGATGCTCGATTCTATAAGCCCTCGCTGAAACTAACGCCTACAATAATATATTTTCTCTCCATATAGACCGTATGTTGTATATGTACCTGACAGTTTCCTCTGCAAACACAACTATTCACTCTCAGCTTTTGGAGTTTACGGATAAACATACAGAAATCGGAAGTTTTCTTTAATAGTATAGAGATCTTTTTAATATTGTTCTATCAATCTATATTAAATTAGGAACCAATATAAAAGAGCTATTGCTAAAGCATTAGTCAAACTTCGAAAATCTTGTATCTTTTTAATCTTTTTAATACTGTTCATTTTTATCAACTAAAGTTCCTTTACCCGTCGTCATACTCTTTAGTATAAAAACTTGGTGATATATGATAATTAGTTAAGCGCAGCATGTATGATGGTATGTGTAGGATTTTTTTCTAGGTTATACTCATAAAATTGTTGATGTTACGACATTTAGAGCATTTTTTTGATAAGATATGTGATAGGTTCTTCGCAACTATAACTGGTAACATTTCCTTATTGCTTTAGTCGCAGCTCAGAAACAAGAATGTGATGTGTTTAGTATGTTATTTTGCGAACCTCTTCCTTGTCGATTAGCATTGAGATGTAATGCAATGTAATGTAAGACTTTACGTATATCGTACGGTACTTTATATCATATCTTGCAATCTCAGACTACATTGTAGGCTAGATCTCTACAGCTCGAATAAAAATAATTGCTAATGGAGCCAGTACGGCTATTAATTTAAATGCTTTCTTTTACATGAAATTGTATTGAATAAGTGTTTATTGTAATTACAGCTCGTTTCTTGGCTTTTAAAGGGATAATTATGGTATTGGTTAGTCAGCGATTCTTGTTACGTTAACTACGATAAAAAGATGTGTTATCATTCAGTTTTTCTGTTTTTGCAAAAAATTTCAGCAAAAACAAAACATCGTGGCCACTATGCAAGACTTGTGAGCATTAGACACAGATAGTCTTGGCGATATGTGAGAAATGATAATTTTGATTACAGCTTGTTTATTGGCATTTAATGAATAAATATACTGTAGTTTAGTCAGTAATTCTTGGTAGTTTCACTATGATAAAATAAATCTGTTATCATTCAGCCTTTCACTTGCAAAGGATTTCAGCGAAAACAAGCCATCATGGCCACTATGCAAAATGCGCCAGTATTAGTCACAGATAATCTTGATGAAAAAGTCAGCAATTGGTAAATATTATCCGCGTATGGAGTATCCCTTTTATCTGTGATCAATCCATCGAGAATTTAGAACGTGAAGTCTTAACAGATGAACTAGAAAGGAAGATAACAAGTTCCTACAATATTTCTAAACGATTATAGCTCATTTATTATTTATTAATAAATAACCATGATAAATTAATTAATTTACACATTACACTATTCAATCTTACTCCATTAACTGCAATTTTTATACGATTTCGCGACGATAATTTGGAATAATTTGTACTCACGTAGCTCTTATTAGATCTTGACCTTTAACAGGTCTGTCAATTTAGATTTTACACCGTCAAGCCTTAATAGGCCACCTTTGATAACTTTAATACTTGATTAATTACAGCTTACTTCATGATCACTACTGTCTGTATTTATGAATGAGGATAAAACGCCAGATAATGCTGATGAGACGAATAGAACGATTTTTTCACTATTTTAATTATCGCCTCTTATGCATTGGTTTATTGGACCTTTAATGAATCCCAAATACCAGACACAATTGATAGCTTGAATAATTCATTTTTTTTTTTAACCTTTTTCATTTTATAGTCCATTTTTTAGAAGTTTATGCAACGAATCTCGAGTACCAGACAAAATAAGACTGTGCTTGAAAAAGTCTTGTTTTCATCAAGACGAGAAAATTGAATTTGTCCCATTTCTCTCTCTACCCTCTAGCAGAATTAGATGCTGTTAACTACCGGAAGTAATATAACAATCAACAATACGCTAGCAGAATATAATCGAAAATTTAAATTACCGTATTGCCAGTTTAATTGACTATGATGCGGAACAATATCAAGAAAAAATTGAGAATCTCATTGTTTATTGACAACATCATTCTACACTTAGACAAAAGGAAAAATACTTTCGTAGTAATGCGTAAACATTGGAAAGGGTGCATTTTTTTTTTCCTACTTTCGTCATTTTTTAGCAGTATAAAGTCGTTTGAACTGGCGGAGTGCAAAGCGGACTACGGTAAGAGACTTACTTCCATTGTATGGAAGATGGAAATGAAGACAGATTTTTCAAAATTCTGCTTCATTTTAGCGTAGTTCGTGATTGAAAAACGTTCAAAAGCAAGGACCAGTTAAGTTTGCTAACGTGGAAAATGGGTGGAGTCTGAGCTTGCGGTATTTAAGCTACAGTTTATTGGTTGTTAAAGTGTTATTTACAGTTTTAAACAGCCAAGCTATAGAAGCTCTTTTCCAAAACGCAGTCAGCAGCTTTACTGTACCGTACTACACTTTGTGTACAGTTAGAGTAGTACAGTACAGTACAATAAAACTGCTGACGATGCGATTTGGAAAATAGTTTCGCTGTTGAGTGTCTAGGAAAAAGAGAGGACAGAAAAAAATTTCCTTCATCTCTCCTTGGGGTGCACTGAAGTTTCAAGCATAACAACACTTTCATAACCATTTCTACATTATCATCTGGAAATCCTCTCGTAGCAAAGAAAGAAAATGAAATTTCGAGCTCAAACTATAATTGTCCTTATCCTTATATTGCAGATGCAAATTTCCATTTCAGAAGCGGGTTTACTGACATATGGGCTTTGCCAAACCGCTTGCAATGGTGGCTGGGTGACATGCTATGCATTTTTTGGATCCGTTGCAGGTTGATTGCTATTTATTTTGCAATGCATCGATAGCATACTCGTAGAATGGAATGATACCTATCGGATAGAAAAGGCATCAAAAATT